ACGAGCTACTAGCGGTTGACCTATAAAATGCTTCATCGACTGTATCTCATCCCCTACATTAAATTGGATTATTATACCAATCAACGGATGGAAATTGAGTGACTTTATATTGCTTTTGTAACATTTCCATTGCTTTGCTAACACAATTAAAGATACAATGTTTGACGACCTAAGAAGATACATGAAAAAGTTACTCAGTTTTGATTGGTTAAGATAAGTGTAATTCAATACAGAGAAGGGTTAACTCAGTGCAAAGAAGTAACAAACTAGACTGAACAATTTCTTGAACTGTTTAACCAGACTCTGAACTTTTTTGCACCTTAAAGATGTGAAATTATCATTGTTTATTATTGTTTTGATCGTACGTGGCTGTTTTGACCGAACGTACAATGTCACTTCCATGATTTGAATAAATTATTTTTGCACTTGATGCGCGCGCTTTACTTCTGCTTGATTATGATAAGCTGTCTCGTATTTTTTCATTATATTATTAATACGTAATCACATGATTTTTCTCGTGCAATTTGGAATAGATAAGTCCTTGCAATTTTTTTCAAAGTCTACAAATCGCACTTGCCTTAGGGGCTAATGCAATTTTGTTAGTCTTTGAAAAAATTTACTCATGCTTATTTATTCTAAATTGTACTCGAAATCATGTGATTACCTACACAAAGCGCAAACAGTTTCTGAGTTATTTTCCAGCATATTGTGAAATAACGTCAGATTTTTTTACTATAATGTAAATAATGTAAAAAATAAGGGAAACTCAGAGCTTGATAACTAGTAATAATTATATTTTTTTCATAGCTATCTTTCCATCAATGCGTTAAGCAATCTTCCACCGATTATATTTCAAGACCTGTCGAATCTGCGAGTTCTGTAAGTACCCTCCGCCCAATATCTTTGATACCAGGTCGCACTAACGGAGCTAAATACACTTTATTGCAATTGTTATAATATAATAGCCCATTTCTGAGTCTCGTGAGTCATTTGAGAGATCTGGTGCCAAAATTAAGGCGTGACAACAAGGCTGAATGCAAAGTTGCTCTCGAAGGTGAGAAATTATGAAGCCGACGAATTGAAAAAATGGATACTTCGAGGGAGAAAACATTACTGATTGGGACCGTCTAATTTCCAAGTGGTTTTATGCGGAGCCTCATTTACATAGTTATAAGAATTCTATGCATTACCAAGGTGTTTCCCACTGCTTGAAAAGGTAATGATTGTTGCGTAGCGAAGGTTTTCTTGTCTTTGAATGATTGTTTGCCATTGCAACATGCAAACGTTTTACAAACTGTAAGAGTAACACTATTCTCTTTTCCCAAAATCTACGGATGTTTGCGCTAACAGAAAATAGTTCTCTTTTTTGATGAAAAATACGTAAAAAAGGGTTCTTTTATCACCCTTAATCAATTTATTCATGCATTAACTGGTTTTTCACTGAAGCGAATATATTTACTGACGGATCATTCATTTGCTCATTTTGAAAGAAAGGTGGGAATCTTTAAGTTGTCTCACGTAGATCAATAAGTTACAGAGGAGAAACTTTTCATATTACCTCAACCTATTTTCAAATTAAAAAACCTTTAGAACCAAAGGCAAATTCTTGTTTTGGCTTAAGTATGAGCATTTGACCGGTATAAATAATCCTACAATGCATTTAGTCTTAAATAATGGATTAATGATCCATTAAAGAGCTAAAGCAAAAGACTATGTTTCTATGAGTAACTGAATAACTGTTATACGATTTCATGTACGTTAGTGAAAATGTTTAAATATTCCAGCCACCGTAATTATGATCGGATAGCATGACGCTTTTAACTGTGATAAAATGGTCATACGGAAGGTTTTCTTCCCCTTTCCTACAGGGATTAAGCTTGTCATAGTAAACTCCAACAGCAATTAGCTCGTTTATAGTAAACTGACTTGTTAGAGCTGCTCCCTTGTAGTACTAGTCATACTGATAGGATGCTTAATTGAAAAATTTGGTTTTATATGATATTTATAGCCTAATAACTCGTATGTTAATCATTCTGAACAGAAATTAAGTAAACAAGACTTGGAAGACTCAAAAAAGGCAAAAATGTAATATTTATTGAGCCTGGTTCAGATTACTGTTCAATTAAAAGGTTTTGCATGTAACAAAACATCAAGGAAAAAGCTTTTAAACAAAGAAAATATTTTTTAAAAGATTGTCTCTTCTTTTCAGAGATATCTCCTACAACAAAATCTCCACGCTGTCTAAACCCATCTTCGACAAGTTGCGAAGCTTAGAAACGCTGTAAGTGGACTGTAATGGTTGATGTTAATAAATTGATGTTTCGATTTTCATCTCCTAAAATTCTGGATATAACTCAACAGCAGAAAGACTCCAAAGGTGTAGTATATCATATCACGAAAAACGGTTTTAAACTTAACTATCAGACATTATAATCCCTGAAAGGGGAAGGCATTTGCTTGTTTATGTAAATCTTTCAATAACATTGCTTTCCTCTGGAACCTTAGCTTCGAACTGGCAATGATCAGCTGAAACTGAATTGGATTTGTATCTTGGTGCTAAAGATTTTGATTCCCTCGCTGTGATGTATAGATAGCTAGATGGTTTACCCTCTGCCGTAGTAATTTTTAGCAAATAATATGTTTTTAATCTATCATTAATCTAATTCATTTCATCGTCAGCAAAAAGGACAGAAGTGCTCAAATGTCGAGCCCCCCCCCCCAACCCAAAGAGATATCAAGCTCCTCGTTTTTCATACTTTGCTATTAGCATTATTCTTGTTTTAATACACCTTGATGATGACCTATGGTCGAAAATGTTTGGTTTGTTCTTTATAAATATTTTAACCCTGTAGATAGCTCCTTTTTGATCCGCATTTTTAAACGGAACCAATGGACGTTATCATTATCTTTATCTTTATTTTCATAATTATTACCGTAATTATTAGTATACGTAATAGGACTACGTGCTGTCCTATTTGGAAATAATTGGATGAAAAAAAATTCTGAGGACTGCCAAAATTGGACGGAGCCAAACGCCAAGTCCAATTTGGCTGTCAGAAGAATTTTTTTTAATCCAATTATTTCCAGATTGGACAGCATGTAGTCCTATTACTTATCAATTATATAGCTGGTCACTTTTAATACAGCCTTTTCAGGAAAACTACTATCCCTGAGAAAAGGCAGGCTGAAATATTGAAAATTTTAATTATAACAAGTCTACAGAGCAGACGCTATGCTTTGCGTTGATTGACTTATTTCTATCACGTGTTGTTTTTGCTTGGATTTGATTGGCTGGGATAAACTGTCCTATTTTTCTTAAATAGGGCAGCGTGTGAATTTGTATCTTTAAGTCCTCAGTGAAACTGTCCAGAATTAATCCTGCTGCGCTAACGATATTGGATTAACTGACCAGCTATATAGTTATTACAACTGATACTATCATTAATATTGTTTGACTTTTAGTACTATTAGAGTAGTAGTTTTAAAACCAAAGAGTAACACTTGAGCGTGCGTTCTGATCATCTGTGTGAGAGCATTACTCCAGAAAAGAACTGATGGTGGTAGTGGTGACTAATATTTCGACATCTTAGTACCAGTGATAGTTCTTTTCAGGAAAAATTGTCACAGACGATTAGACAACTTGATAAAAAGTTATCATTATCATTATCCTTATCACTGTTATTGTCATCATCATTATAACTATCGTTTTCATTATCATCATTGTTTTACTATTGTCGTACAGTTTTGTTTGATTGTAAGACATGTTTTTGATAAGTGTCAATTATCATTTTTTTTTCATAGCGTTCTTTCTCACAACGAAATTGTCGTGATACCTGCCAACGTCTTCAGCAGATTGAATAGTTTGAAAACTCTGTAAGTGTTGATTCATACATGCCAAAAACAGCCTTACTCGCTATTTATGATTTCACTATAAAATAATGATTCACTAGTGTTTTAATTCTCTTACAAGCTTCGAAAATTTTTTAAAGGTATCTGGATAACAACAAGATTGAAAAAATCCAACCGAGCGCTTTTTCTGGGCTTAGAAACCTTAAAACCTTGTAAGTATTACACTATAAACCAAATGGATTGCTGGTACTCGAGTCTTGATCGCAGTTATGCCAAACAATGCAATGCATTCACAAAGAAATAGGTTATCAAAAAAGGAGATAAAACATCAGCGTTATGCATGATTTCCAAGGTTATTAGAATGCAATACGTGCCAGTTTGGAAAAAAAATATAACAAATTCCGTTAACGAGGTATTTAACCGAGGTGGTTCTTCTCGCAAAAGAAAACTATAAAGACTTGAGATGAACAAATTTTTTTGCTCTTCGTGACAAAAAAATAAAAAAGGCTCCGATGCAAATCTCTTGTTGACTAAGACTGCATGATTATAAAAACCAGCCTGAGAAGGCTGCGCAGGAGCGAAATTTGCGTTACAAGATTAGCCATCAAAATTGGTCTGAGATCAAAAAATTTGCATAGAAGGACAACTTTAAGATTAACGTCTTCGTGGGTGATTAATTCTCTAAATTTGATCCCACACGTTTAAACACTTTGCAGTTTTAATCAAAGGAGACCATTCAAAAGATTGTTCCCCAACCTTTTCCCATAAATTATACTCCTAGACATCTACAAAACAATTTTCTCGATCGTATGCCTCCAGAGACGTTCAGCTATCTTAAAAGTCTACGAAACTTGTAAGTACGGAATAAATTTTAGTTGCTTTCTTATTATGCAATTAGAGCAATCAACACCTCTCTTAAATTTTTCAATTTAACTTCGGATTCTTTGCTTATCAACAGCTTTGCGCGAATTGGACAATCAAATTGAATAATTTAAAGCCATAAACACGGTTACTTTGCTTAAATCAGTGGCAACCAGGTCATAGGTTTAGACCTGGTTAGTTTTTGACGAAGAATTACATGTACTTTAATGACTCGCGCGACGTTAAAAATCATAGGATTGTTGATGCTCTGGTTATTTTACTAACAAAAAATGTGTGGTATTCCATCTCTTTCAAGGAGAATGGACAGTTTCTCACTGTGTTGTTACGCTTCTCTTCACCTTGAGAAAGTGAGCTGTGAGTATCCAAAACTGGAGGGTAACGCCTTGTCGAGTTGCAATCGCATGATCGCTGCCTCTGGTCCTCGAAGGAGTATCTGGTTTCTGGGTATCCTGGCTGTTGTTGGTAACCTGGCAGTGATAGCATGGCGTCTCATCAGGCGTGACGACCATCCAGTTCAAACCTGCCTTCTGACCAATCTGGCTGTGGCTGATTTCCTTATGGGAGTGTATCTCATGATAATAGCTATTAAGGACCAGATATGGGCAGGTATTTACATATCATGTACATATTATGCAGTATTTTTAAGTACAGATGATAGAGAAGTAGACAAATGGACCTCGCAGGTGAGCTGCAATTGAAAAAAACGCCGAAAAATATCCTGAAAATATTTTCGAACAGTTATAGATTGTGCTTTAGAATCACAAGCTATGTTTTGAAAGTAGTACATTTTTGTAAATGCTTGACGATGGTGGCGATAAAGCTTTATAGCATCGGGTTCACCTTTAAATTGCGTCTTAAAGACGTGGAAGATGCTTGTAAATTCATTAAATTTTGAAAATAATCAGCAACATTCAGTTTCTCTAAAGTTGAATAACTGTGGAACAAAAAACTCCTTCGTAAAAAGTGCCAAAGTTAATGTTAGGAATTCTCCCGCTAACAAATTAATCAAACACTTTAAGGATTTCATTCGTAGATTTTAAATTGAACTTTTCGACCTTTACTTTAATTTTGTAACTCAAACGAAAAGAAGCACAAATATCCTTTCATTTTAGGTACTTACTTCAGCTTCGATCTGATATGGCGGTCAGGAGTCCTCTGTAAAGTGGCCGGCGCCCTTTCGGTACTTTCAAGTGAGGTCTCGGTACTCATGCTCACTGTGATAACCGCTGACCGTCTGCTAAGTATTGTTTTTGCCTTCAGATGCTCACGTCTGACATTAAGAGGAACTTACATTATTTGTGCCGTGGTGTGGCTCTGCGGAACTGCAATTGCCGTGGTACCGGCTTTTGATACTCCCTACTTTTTCAACGTGGACAGAAGATATGGGTTCTATGGTAAAAATTGTTGTGCTCTTAGTTACCTTAAAGTTATCATTTCATTAAGTTTAAAACCATGGGGCATTCCATAAGTTTACGCCTACATCTCCCTGTGTGAAACCACAGCGTTTTCGTGTCTGTTATATCATGTCAATGAAGCTATCTAAGGGCGAAACAACTTCTGTTTTGAGAGGCTTCCTTCACTTGGTAGAAAAGATCTGTTGTCAACATAATGGTGGCTTAGCGCACCTTCTGTGCCTGAACAAACCACATCATCCTATATCATGATGCAGTCACATCCCCAAAGTAAACAATGCTTACTTCATGGACAACGGTATGATACTTGTATTGGTTATAATTCTCTTCTCCCTTAAAGACTGGCTATGTATAAATAATAATGAAAAACTGTGTTAAATTCTGGGGCTAAAGTGTACGAAAAAAGGAGTTGGTGTTCACTCTAAAGGATGTCCCTCCCTTTCCAAGGTCGTTCCTCGGTATGTCTACCTCTTCAGTTGTCTTCAGAAAGACTGGCAGGCTGGGAATATTCTGTTGGCCTTTTTATTGGTTTGAATCTCGCAGCTTTCCTCTTCATCATGTTGGCGTACATATCTATTATCGTGAAAGTGTCCAAGTCACAGAGGAGAGTCAAGGCTCACGGTGAAGCTGAAGTGAGCTCGAACAGCATCAAAAGAGAGTCCGCGTTGGCAAGGAGGGTTTTCGCAATCATCTTAACAGACTTTAGCTGCTGGATTCCTGTAATAATTCTGAGTATTCTTGCTCTAACGGGCAAATTTCACGATGAACAAGGTGTGGCGTATGTATGGTTTGCCGTCTTTGTTCTGCCGGTAAATTCCTCTGTGAATCCTGTACTCTACACTTTCTCGACTCCAAAGGTGAGGATGATATTTACCACTTTTCGCTTTTCAGTGGTATTTTTTTTCCACTGGGCCCAGAAAATTTGCAGTTCCTACGCCAATTAAGAGATATTAAACTAAAACTGTGGGCATTAAAGATGGTTACGTGTAGCTACTATTCTTCTCATCATCTTCGTAGCCAATCTTTTGGTTTGCTTGGATTTATATAATTTGCATGATTATTCCCAATTGACTCTACGTCGAAATCACCAAAATCAGCAATTTTCTTTCTAATTTTGAGAGGTTTTAAAACTTTTTTTAGGTAAGGACAGTCCTTGTAAGCTGGTTTTATCGCCTTGTGACTGGCTGTAAATGGTTCAGCTGCAAGAAACGATCTGATGGAATTGCTATATCTGGTAAGGGAAAGTTAAAACATTTTTTGAAGATTATATTGCTTGTTCCAAGATGAAAATGGTTCTAGTTATTGGATAATTTTTAATTTGAAGTAGAATCAGAGTATTCGTCGTACTTATTTTGTGGCTATGTCCCCTGGCAATGATTAAACGAAATGTTTATTTTAACTGAAGACCCAATTGCCGTCTTTATTTGCGTCTATTTAGTACTGGCACGCTTCTTGACTTCTGGGAAACATTTTTTCGAGAAAAAAATTTTTCGGTGATTATCATAGCAATATAGGCGCAATCTTTCGTTTTAAAAACAGTCAAAACAAAGAGCACCACCAGGGTTGTGTTATCTATTATAAACGTAGAGAAAGTTTTATAAATAAAATCTCCGGTTTCATTTTATTTTTCTTTTAGTTTTTCGGTAGTATTTCTATGAGTTGACTATTAACATATGCACACTTCATTGAGGTAGATGGAGACGGAACACAACTCGACACCACGTGTTACAACAGTATCTCTTTAGACGTCACATCCAACTATCCTCCCAGCAACAACTGACTTCCTTTGGTGACAGTTAATACAGAAACGTGGAGATATTGATATGCGCTGATGGGGAACGATGAAGCCTTGTACATCCCTTTTTAAGAAGTGTTAATACTCTTGATCGAAAATGGCATTTTTCAGTTTGCTTTCTGCCTGACACCATATATTAAACCTCTCTATTAGTTAGCTGAGTGCTCAACACTCATAGGTAATTTTTTTATTAGCTGAATTTTTGAGAAACGTTCTGAAATTTATCAGAGGCTTAATAATTTAGACAGCGGCTACGAGAAAACCCGGTAGTGGTAATAATTCAACAACCCCCGATTTGGCTCCATTGTGGCACAAATGTTTGGTATCTTGAGTTAGGAACTGTAATTTTTGAACGCCGAAATAAAGTTAATTTCCTGGGAGATATGGGGTCCCCTGGAAAACCTCCACTTTATGCATTTTTTGAATAACTGTTTAGCTAAAGTCGCTTTGCTCCTGTGACAAACAGGGAAGCCATCTAAATATACTAGGTTATGTTCTATATCTGCTAGACTTCAAGCGCAATAAACTAATGAAAATTGTCCATTTTATTTCTTTCCCTACTCCCCTGTAATGTAAAGACAAATTTTCCTTTTTTGACAAAGTCCAAAATGAGGGTTTCTTAGCGCCCAATATCTCCACTGAGCAATCACTTCTGATCATCATTTCTACATGGGTAGTGAAAACCATTACTTAACTTCCAAAAACAGAAAAAAACTTTTAGGCAACTAGTCTCATTATCCGAGCATTATCACACTCTGCCAGGTTCCGCCTGGTTTTCTCATGAACACTCCCTAAACAAGTTATAGTACTAGTCAATAATCACTGAATTACTACGAAGCAAGACAGGGTAAAGTATTAATCTCAGTATCGTTTATTTTAAGAGATTACCGTAACGTTTATCTGTAGTTTATTACTTGATCCAGACGGCATTAGACAACCCTGCATCAGATAGGGTCTAATTCTTAGTATTTCTTTCGCAAAACGCCAAAACATTAACTATTTATGTTATCAGTTCAATATTGGCCTCCTCAAAGGCAAGTGCGCTTGAAAAAGTAGTTTTGCGGCGTAGTATAAATTTTATACACGAAAAACAAAATTATTTATCACCTGGGGGAAGAGGGGGATGGAGAATTTTGTATGTGTCACGATGAAAATTTACTTATTACCCTCTTTGGCAGTTGCTGGGCTGTCAATTTCTATAGCCCCCCCCCCCCACTCCCTCGACATGTTGGCGAGGACTGGTCCCCCCTACTTTCCCCTTGAAAACCGTGTGACCCACCCAAAAAGAAAAATTGTCCACCTTCCCTCCGATGATAATTAATGACTAGTCCCTAAGTCGAGTTTAAATCTTGATAAGGCATCCTCAACCTAACGAAGTATATTAGGTCATTTACATCACCACATCATCGTGATCAGTTCAGATATGTAATTTGTGCCGAATTCGTCAAACTCTCTATTAAAGAATTCAGTGATAGCTTGAATTTTACAAACCTAGTTATAACCATTACCGCTCGCACAAAATACTGAAGAAAACAACATTTGATCCTTTTACAAAATTTGAATAAAGACGTGACAATTGTCATTTTTATCACAAAGGGACAGTTTTTTTTTAAAATGAACCGCGACATTTTTAATTAGGATGAGCGACAAGTTTTACTGCAAAGTGCGACTGCTTTTCATAACAAAGTACCAGAAATATTACCAAGTGAGGCGATTATTACAAAGATCGACAGAACATACAGCTGCAGCACAAATGACCTGGACTTACGTTTTAAACCCTGTCGAAAACGTGAAAAAACTGTACCAAGCTTCTTTATTAAGTCATGGTTTATTCAATTGATTTATAGATTCTTTACAGCGCTTCGGTTAACTCCCACTCGTAGCTACCAGCTTATTCGAATGAACACACATGAAGCGTCTCGTTGTAAGCACGTAGAACATGGTCATATATAGGGCGATTAAACACGTGCCGCATACATGTTTGTTCGGTTCGTTCGATAAAACTCGCCGTGTCTTGTATCACTCGGTACTTTTTTTTCCCTTCATGATAGAAGTCAACGACAGCTTTCAGAACGCTCCTCGAAAGATGGGGATTGCGTGGCGTGGCGTGGCGAGGTCAGAAACAAGTTATCGATGAAGAAAGCTATTTTTAGGTAATGAAATATTAATTTAATGCCTTTCCAAACCACCAGTTCAGGCGATGCGAACAACAATAAAAATGACAAAAAGCGAATATTTTTTGAAAACGAAGTGATTAGTTGCAAGTCCGGAGATTCTTGAGATCCAGAACTGTTCGTGGCAAGCGTCTGAAAAAGCGGCTGTTTGGTTGATTAAGTGAAACAAATATGCAAAAAAATAAGGTGTACAAACATATATTCACTTTTAACCAAGCGCAACTACAAATTACATACACAGAATTAAAATCGAATGCAAAGCGAGGAGAATTTGCAGGTGGTTTTAATATGATTTGTGATGATCAAAAACGTCACAAGTTCCTAAAAATTCGTTTTGATAACTCTCAGAACATGTAGAAAGAGGGAGACAGCCTTTTCTCTTCAGTGTGCAGATGTGTCGAATTCCTCAAAGACTACATAATTCAGTGAGTTAAGCATTCATTTTGTCTTTCGTCACCAACCTGCGACGTGTTGATGGACAGGTGAAAAAGCAGAATAATAATAAGCAAATTAAAAAACTAATTTACAGAGGGATAAACGCAGCGTCTTTTCCAGAAAGCCGAAGGTTGAGAGTCCTTCGCCAGGGGCATATCAGCGGCAACCAAAGCGTAAAAAGAGAAGATTCTTACGACTGAAAATGAACAACTCCACGACAAATCTTCAAATCGGCCAATCAGAGTGTTTTTCTGCTGTCCCTTCTACCGTCTTCACAGTCGCTCTTTCAGTGATCACTGTTGTAGCATTTTCAGGAAACTTCCTCCTAATTGCAGCCTTCCTCAGAGCTTCAAACCTGAAAACAAGTTCTAATTGGTACATTATCAACATGGCCATTTCGGATGTGATAAGCGTGCTCCTTAATTGGCCGCTCTATGCTACGGAAGGGATGTTAAAGCCTGGAGGAAGCTTAATTACTAATCAAGCAATCGCTACCTTTTTCTGCAAGTTGGGAATTTATTCTAGAGCTGTATTGTACGTGGTGTCGATTGAGAGCTTGGTGTTAATATCTGTTGATAGATTCATTGCGATTGTGTTTCCACTAAAGGCCATAAAGATCACTGCCAGGGTTCGGAAAATTCTTCTTCTTTTAAGCTGGCTTTTTCCTGTGTGTGGTGCCATACCATACTTTTATCATTCTAAAATCTTACTCGAAGGGAGACAGACGTTTTGTAGAAACTTTATGAACACGTTACTTTTTAAAGTGTATCAATTCGCAAGTTTCATTTTATTTTATTTTGCACCTCTGGTTGTACTATTAGTTGTTCATTATATTGGTTTTGAGCATCTAAAGAGGCGACTCGTGTTTGAAATCAGCAGTAATGAAGGCAGCACACATGCACTGAGATCCAAAGAAAACCAGAACATTTTGAAAATCTTTCGAGCGGTGACTTTGGGATTTTTCATGTGCTGGACGCCTCTTTATATTTATTTGATTCTAAAATCGTCACATCCAACAATTGTTCTGAATGACAAATGTCTTTTATTTATTGGTTTGTTATACTATGTATTTCCATTGATCAGTACAGCAGTCAACCCATTTATTCTGATTTCACTTAGTTCTAATTATCGTGCAGCCGTAAAAGACGTGCTCGCTAAATGTTTTGCTGTCTTTAAGTGTCGCAGCAACAAAATTTATAGTACAGAACAAGTCATAGACCTTCGATGATAGATAGATATAAATTCGAAGGTAATTTGATGCGTTCTTGAACGGGAAAGGGTTTTGTTAAGTAAATAATAATAGCAAAAATGATAAAATAACAGACATGTTTTGCGCCTAAGAGCTCCGCTATTAACTTGGAGCTCATATGCACGACCGGATCCCTATACCTAAGAACATTTGGTCACGGCCGAACTAAAAATTATCATAAGTAGACGATGCATTATGTTAAACAAAGCGTAGGATATCAAACAAATTGTTGACTATCTTGTTATTTTTCAATAAAAACTTAGAGGGTTAAAATTCCTACAGATGGGCTAACAATATAGGGTAGAGTCGCATTTCACGACTGCATTGACTTTTATGGCATTGCATTTTCAGTAGAGTTACTAGAATGGGGTTACATATTTTTGAGATTTTAGGCGTAAGAATATTATGGCAAGTAAGGATGCATAAACAGGAAAATTTATGGTTAAAAAGTTGTTACCTTATTAAATATTTGATAAACGGCTCCAATTCCATTCCAGTCTTGCTCAAAAGCGGACAAAGATGCGTTCTATAATTGGCCACAACATAGGCTAAAATACGGCAGAGGTTCTGAGAAGCCAACTGCACATACCCAGGAAAAAATGACCCATGTAACCCCCCCCCCGGGGGGTTTCCACCACATACTCAAGTACTATAATTTCTATACTTGCAATGGTTCTACTTTATATCTTTTTTTTAACACCTTAGTTTACTGATAGCAACTTTACAAGTATATATCTCTTTAATACGTTATCCACGAGTTGGCCACAAGCGCCCTTTGATTACATTATATTAATAAGGTAGCACCACTTGTTGTTCAAAGAAAGCTTTTAAGTTCTACCCTTTTCATATTAATTCGTATCTCATTCAACCGTTTATCCTAAAAGCTGGCCACGTGCCTCTATGATTTGGTTTTTAGTTACCCTAACCGCTTCTTATTTGTTAAAAATTCCCCCTCCGTTAACTAATATTGATATTGGATTATAATTTTCTTCATTAATAAGTGATCTAGTAATAATGCTGGAATTAATTTGTTTGAAAAAATTTTTTTTTTGTTCCACGGTTAATGTTCTCTCAGAGTTGGCCTGAGAACTGTTTTTCAGATACTGATATCAGTTAAAATAATCTGAAAAACAGTATCATAAGCTATAAGGTGACTTTTATCAAAACTGACAGAAATGTGTGGAAATGTGAAAATGACTGTACAAATGACCGTAGATATCCCAAAAGGGACGAAACCTCCAAGAGAGGATTTACGATTAGCAGCGAAATGAGAACAATGTGAGTTATAAGTTCTTCTTTAAGTCCGAAATAAGTTGCCTCATGTTTTCTTATACCTTCCGTTCCATTCTGATCGAGATAGACCTCAAAATGAAAATCGAAATGCTGAAGAATACTTGTGTCTTAGAAAAAGTTGCATATAGTCCTTGAGGGCGGTTGACCCTTCTTCATCTTTAATGTTTACTTCTCAAGAAAAATCTGGGAGTAAAACCATCACTTTTTTCTCCATTAAAGATCGGGCAAACAAGAGGAAAACCAAGGAAATGGCATATCAAGAAAACGTTGATACAACTGTGGTGGAAGCTGAATATGTCATGAACAGAACTTTTTTCCACCAAATGTAATTAATTGATTTTGTTTACTGATTTACGTACCTTACGAGATATATTCGTTTGTTGCTACATGATCTCCTCGGCCCACTAATGAACGAGATAAAAAGTTTGTAAACATACACTTTTTAAAAATTTCAAAGCTTTTTGTGACTCTGTATCACGCCCTACATCAAACATAGGCATGTTAAAGCATGCAAGAGTTAGTGATGTCTACATTTCTGCAAAGGAAAGAGTACTAACGCGGAAAAGAACGAAAATGTCGAATTAACCCACACACAGGTATACAGACTGCAGAATACAGGGTGCAGACCGGTTACAAAATGTAGACCAGGTAAAAATGTAGACTGCAGAGTGGGTACAAAGTGCAGACTGAGAATTTGAAGGGCTTCTTTTGTCTGGTATGTGATAACATGTCATCTTACAACTTATGACGTCAATGAAATAATCTCAAGAAATTTATTGTTTCACTGCAAGTTGAACTCATAATCTTCACGACGAACGTCGAGGCAATTAAAGATGAGAGCAAGCAGCCATCCTCCATCACTGCTGGAGCTGAGTGAGTTTCATCAGAAGAAGCGAGCCACGTTGTTCAGTTCAAGTGTTTTTTCTGAAGTTGAAGACAGCAAAACAAGAACGACAACGACAAGAGAAAAATCAATACCAAACAAGAAGCAAAATTTCAGTGTTTGTTCCGTTCCAGCGGCGGCAGTAAACGCAGGAAAAGAAGGGAAAAGTACATCTCTACAACTTCAATGTCAAGAAAAAAAGCTTCATATGGCCTCTTGTTGCACAAACGCTACGACAAATGTTCAGAATGAAGGTGGCATAGCTGTACTTTTATTCGGCAAGCCTAACCTCAAGAAAGTGAAGTACCAGATGCAACACCGACCAACTGCGATAGGAGCCGCGTACAATGGCATTATTCCGTCAATCCAGCGGCCCTCAGTAGCAATAGCTTTACCCACGATCAGACAAGGGACACACAACAGCCTGCCCGCGACCAGAGGCCGTCGATTTGGTCGTCAAGAAGTTTGTGACGAACCGGGTCGTCAAAGACGAAGACGACAAGGTGTTTGCGATAGCATAGATGGCACTCGGGTTGACAGAACCTTTGTGAGAGTTCTGAACAAACGATTTTAGTAAATAAGAAGCGGGCAAACGTAGAACCGCCAAAACTGAGACAGTTCCATATATCTCAATTAACCGTATACGACAGTAACCATTTTTTGATCTTATTAAAGATAGAATGATTTGGTCCGGAAAATTTCCAAGTAATGTGAACTTTTTACGGGTTCGCTCTTTTATTTCCCTTTTGCAATTAAAAATCGTTTACTCGTGACAAACGATCGTTTAATTAGCCCTGACAATTAATGATATTTGGGAGGTAGGTCATTTTTGCTTATTTTTCAAACTCTTAACTAAGATTCAGCCTTTATAGATAGTCATCTTTATTTTTGCGGACACTATGGACTGATAAGCGCGTGCAGTTTACTCGGGTAAAACATTTGTTTTTGATGATCACTAAATTGTATGGAGAATTAGCAATGTTGAGTCATTACTTCAGAGTGGCATCAGCGACATTTTGGTTGGAAATTTTTTTTGTACTGAGTTTATATGAGGTTTATGTAAGATTTGGCTCGATTTATTATCTATTTAGTTATATACTAGAAACAAAAACGAAATGTGTGTTCATACTTTGACAATAATCGATTAAAAGATTTACGAATTATGTGGACACTGTTTTTGAAATTTCTGAAGATAAAAAGAGTATTGTGTTAAAAATGATATAAAATAAGTCAACAATATGCAGTTTTCTCGTATGTTCACTCATTTGCTATGTAAATGTAGAAATTGAATGTTTTGGTTAAAATGTAAATATTATTATTATTTTTAATCGCTAGATCATTATTTGTTCAGCATTGGCGTTAGAACAATAATGTTCGCCTCATCACAGCGGCGTTTGGTCATCTCAAAAAGCAAAAAGCAAAAAACAAAAACAAAAAAACCCACAAAATCTGCTCTCTTAGCTCTTCCATGGAACAGCGAGCCATGGCAAGCTCGAGGGATTATGAACCATCAACAACATTTTTATTTTTTTACTTTTTTTTATTGTTAACCGCATGGAATGTTAATTACGATAAACGTAATCGAACTTTCTCCTAAATGGCCTTCAGAGTAAAACTGTCCGTGAACAATGACTTATCTCCGTTTACATATTCAACAGCCGAGTGACTGAGATAAACCCATGAAAACGCGAACAATACAACCCTTACATTCTTTTAAATAACTAGTGTACGTCTTGAGGTCGGATTCTTCTTGAGAAGATTTTCACAGTCTTATGAAAGATACTTCGAAGGAAAACAGACAGATGGGGACAAAAAAATCCGTGATGCCCAAAAGTGAACTAGACCTTGAAAACATGGCGTTAAAGAAGCTCGGACAGTGTTTTTTAAATCTTGAAAATCAAGCACGCACTTTTTCAAGATTGACAAATGCAATCCACATTAATCTTTTAATCCTTTATATTCTGGTTCCTTTCGTGTTCAGCGTTTCCTCTACTTACGTTTTTCATCGCAGCTAGGTGTTACTGTGGGGCAGTTATTTTGAACCTCCAAACAGATAGAGGTACTCTTCACACGATTTCAGTACAACATTCTGCTCACAAGTTACGAGAACAGAAGAGCTTGTCAGTTAGAGCACAATACAAAACCAAGTTCTCCTGTCGTATTTACAAGGCAATGTATGGCATTCAGAAGGGAGAATCACTTCTTGGATCTTGGGAGTAAAAGGGTTAAAAAACATTCTTCGGTTACAAGTCTAAGCCAACTATCATCGCAGTTTCTCCACGTTCCGTCAATATCAACCTTTTCTGCGTTAACTCTCCGATGAATTTGTGCCTTCTATGTCGCCATTAGTTCCAGTGTTTGTGTTTTGATCGTTTTCAGTTTTTAATTTATGGCTGTTTACAGCTTCGTCGCTTTTCCGGTTGGCCGAAGGTTTCTTTTCACCATTCACGAGGCTTGGCTTTTCTTGCTGAGTTTTGAGGCTTATTCCGGCCTCGAGTTTTTCTTCTGCCAACTGTGCAGCAAGCTGTTCTTCGTAGTCTTTGGCCAGCTGCTTACAAAACTTCTTGTGAGACTGCCAATGAAGCTTCTGGCATCTCACACTGCAGTAACCAACCTAAAAAAGAAACCGTGCGTAAAAATGTGCCTGCGGATCATATTTAAATAATCTGTAACGTTAAAATTAATCTGAATTATCGAGTATACAATACAAAGTAAAACAACTTCAATGAATCAAAGATATCGCAGGTCCAAAATAAATTTAAAAAAAAAAACGATCACTAAGCAAATGCTCCACAAGTGGATCGTGCAGACGTTTTAGGAAGAAGACTCAAGGGTTTTCTTTCAGAATTTATAAATTGACATCTGGTTGCCATAGTCACTTGAACTATACGAGACGTTTCATGAGGTGTAGTGGATTACACGGCATATTTGGCGTTTTATTCCCCAAGAAAGATGAAATAGAGTAACGGTAATGAGTTCCCTGGCTCAGATTAGCCATTGTGGTTACTTGGTATTTGATTTAACGATACTCAGTCAAACTTCCCTCTCATATTCAACTCTATCTGTTATTCAAAGGGTATAATGAAGCTGGCAAGGAATGAACGGCACCTACCATTTTACATGCTGAGCATTTCTTCACATTCCGTTTCTCGATACAAACCACACAGCAGTCACTAAAGTCACCACTGCAGGGAATAAAGAACCAAAAGATTCGATACTTTCTCCTCAGTTTTACTTTCAATTGTAGAAAAGTGTAACGCCATAAGGCCACGAAAAATTTGATCTACCATACAGTACGACTGAGGAATTTTACCAGAAGAAAAAAGAGAAAGGACAATAAAATAATACTGTATCAGAAAAAGCTTTACCAGCGGAGGCCATTTATGCTCTGAGTTATCACGGCGAGAGCTGTTGGATCACGTCCCTATATAAAAGAAGTAAAGAGAAAAAGATAGTGAAAAGAAACTCAGATTCCACCGCGGAATCGCACCTTGGACTTTTAGATCCACGCGCGTGACAAGACGAAGAAACATCTTTCTCCCATTTCTGAGCTACATTTTCTTTTTCTACGTTTTAAACCGGACAACTCGTACCAGTTTATCCAGTACTCCTACAACACAACCGCGCCTGTTATACCATTTTGTACCTGTCCATTTTTTGTAAGGCATTTTGCTCAGCGCTATCAGCAAAATTAAACAAATAAATAAACAAATAAATAAACAAAAAAAAAAACCAAAGAAATAATTCAAGGTCAGTTACCTTTTCTACAGGTGCTATTGTTTGAACGAGCTGTTTGAAAATGGTACATTCTGGATAATCGAACTCTTTTATCGCTTGCCGTATAATATCTTCCATATTAATGAAAAAGCCATCGGATGAGCGCCCTTTTGTTAAGCTGTTAAGAGAAAATCATGAAATATCACATTTCTATCTTCCCAGTGACAGAGGACAAAGCTCACTTCATCTCTGCAAATCACTGTCATTTTAAAATAAGGCCATGAGAATAAAGAGTTTTGTTTTCCATTACCCAGTAATCAATCAGTCAATCACCTTTAAAAATACGTTAGTCTTTAACCAGCTGAGAGGAATAAACTCTCGACTACATGAGTTATTTTCCACTGACTTCTAGATAGAAGGTACTTAAAATGGTCTCGTCAAATTTCTTGAACACTAATTCTTTGATTAATCAACACTGCCATACTTTCGTGTTTCTATGGAAAGTAGTATTTAACAACGCTCAATTATTTCTCAGCATGTTGGGTTCAAATCTTTGATGTACAGATGTACATATGGGTCTCATGGCAACATTACAGTTTCTCATAGAAACCCTTAATTTTTCATCTAGATCCCTACAACTAAGTAACGAGTTCCACGCCCACAAATGTCAACACTTGTATGCAATTAGCTTATCAAGATTACATTTTTTGCAGAGTCTTAAAAATCTGCATGGACAGTACACAGACATATTTAAAAAATAAGGATGGCTATACAGCATTTCCAAGGATGCCTCTGCCTGCTTGCCAGTGAGAAAAAAAAAATTTTATGGAGTAGCTTAATGTATGCCTTATATGTAAATGTACATGTACCTTATATGCTCATGTTAACTCAAATCTCCTTTAAAATTCATTTTATATATTATACATTCACTTTCTGCTTACTATTTTATGAAGCCATCAATTCCACCCTTTCCCTCCAGTTCTTCATTCCAGTGTGCACATTTTTTTAACATAAATCCCAGGTAGTGCATCTTCATGGCCAGTACTTCTTGCATCTCCTTTGACTTAATCTTTGACTCTGTTAGGAGTTCCATAACTTTAACTAAACTCTTGTAGTTCTTAACAAGTTCAAAGTTATCTTGCAGATACATAGCAATCTGTCACCAAGAACAAGGAAATACAACTATGAGTGTCATTAATTGAGTTAATCTGTACCCTGGAGGCAAGCTAAGAGTTTAAATGTAAGGTGCACACCAGCAATGGCTGGCACAGAGCTGAAAATTTTTAAAAGTAAAATTGGCTGTGGATAACTCTATTAATGGTTGCTTTGTAACAAAGAGCAAAACACCTATGGCTATTTTTGTCCTGAACTATTCAAATTAGAACCCAGAAAACAATCAAACTTGTCAAGATCTTAAGAAAATTACCTTCACTGGGCATAAATTTTGACTGACAGCAAACTTGTGGAGTGCTGGTACCAAGGCCACTGATAGCTTGGGTTCTTTTTCCAGGCCTGTAGATAAACTATTATTAAATAATATGGTACATGTCTATGATAATACAGTCTAGTAGATGCCGCTCACATCCAACTCATACTACATGTATCATTACATATAATTTTCATGAATTCAAAATTTCTCTTGTATCAGTCAGGAAGTGTTTAAGTGCCTGTTTCAAAGTCTGTGAATGAAGGGATCCCCCACAATTAACAGGGCTGCTTAGCACTTATCTCTTAATAGTAACTGTATACATTCATAAAGTCAAAGGAAGATGCTAAAAAAAGCAACCAATGATCTCCTTTTTTCTTAGAAATAACTTTCTAAAAAAGTTGTCAATTCAACAGTAAAAAACTTACTGCTACCTCTGGCAACAACACACTACACTACTGCTTTTGTATAGGCCTAACTAGCTATGTTTATGAATAAATTAAACCACACTGAAATCCAGATTTAACCTTGAGGCTTTGTGTAATATCCCAAATCATCCACTGACAGGAAGTTGTTAATAAGACTGACACATTCACTTTGACCTAGATAGGGGAAAAATTGAGAAGGTAAAATAAAAATAAATGATCAACTCATTCAGTGAGGATAAAAAAAGATAAAGATACCTGTTCATAATAAGAAATTTCATTCCTATACATATGACATAACAGTAAAAAAAGGGAAACCATCAAGAAATGTTTATACTGTAGGCATGTTGTTTTATCGGTTGATTGAATACAAGACACTGTCAAGTTGCCTCTTACTTTGAGCTGTCACAATGGAATATCTTGACTGGTACATGCAAAATTGATTTTGCACAAAGATGATCAAAATTCATGCATATCAATCTCACTGCTTTAATTTAAAAAACAGATTATTATTGTTTTTACCAATGAAAGCTCCCAGCTGAGCAGCTGTTCTCCCAAGACTGTTTTCTGCATTAACCCGGGCTCCAGCTTCAAGCAATACCCTTGTAGCATCTACAGACCCTACAGTTATAAAGTAATAGGTAATATAAATTCCTTGGTAAATGATACATTCCTACATATACAAATTGAAGTTATCTACAATTCAGCCACTGACTCAGAAGGGAACTAAAGTTTCTGATACATACCTGAGAGACAACCAAACATGAGAGCTGTGTACTGCCATGAAAAAGAAAATGTAAAAATAATCCTCTTAAGTTAACAATGCTAACATTATTGTTTAACTGTTGCAACTTCCCTGCAGCTTTTAAGGACTACAGGTGTATTGTACATGGATTCATAGAAATATAAAATATATATTGTAATCAGGACCTATGCCTGCTTAGTTCAATTGTTTGGGATCCAGACAGCAAAAGGGAGGTTACCAGTAGTTTGGTACCCACATTGGTTTCAAACCCAGTGGTTTCATACCCAGCTGGGCCATTTCATACCCAGTGAGTTGAGTCACTTTGTTCCATATGAAGTATGTTAAAGTAACATTTTGTTATAATAAATGAGTTTATTACCATTCTTGTTAAGAAGGTCACAAGTGTATACACATCAGAATTTTTTTGGTACCTAACTTGCTTAACTTCACCAACTTGTCCTATACAACATCTATTGAATGACTAAACTTCCAAGAAAAAATGCTTTTTCACTTGTTTGTATACTGCAAGCTTATTTGCACAACACCAACAGAGTAGTTAAGTAAAAAGTTCCCAGAGAAAAAAGACACACAGAAAATTGCACCAGCCATTGTAGCTACAAATCAGTATCAATGTCATCAACTTTATGCATTATATTCTTTTTTCCTTCATTTATATTTCTTGTCGATAGAAATCAAATAAGATGTACACTCTAAGGAAAATGGTAAAACAAGAACATAATCTGCTAAGAAGAGGTTAGTTTGAACAGAACTACAGTTTGAACTTTTCAGAGGAAAACTTAGAATGATGTAGTCTGATTTAATTACCTGTTGTTCATGGTGGTTAGAGTTCACATCTGCTCCTTGAGCTATCAGCAGCTCACACATTTCTGCTTTGCCTTTGTATGCCGCACACATCAGTGGGGTCATGCCATGCTGTTAATAAAAAGGTTAGAGGAAAAGAAATAAAAAAGAACTTAAAAAAAAATTGGTGGACATATTTATGATGAGTGAAAATAAATCATATCGAGTCGAATACCATTTTCCGAGAAAATGTCGGTCTACCAATAAAAAAAAGATGGCAGGTTTGCTAACAAGAATAAAACTGTTTCTATATCAGTTTTGAAATCAGCTGCACTGAAAAAAAAACAAACAAACAAATACACAATCAAAAAAACAACAACCTCAAAAATTCGAGGAAATACAACAAAGAGCAAATCGGGTCATTCGGATTTGGTCATACTGGGATTTAAAGCCCATTAATTTAATATACATAAATAAGATACGAATATAAAAACCTATTCAGACCCTAAATTCACCAATTTAAGGCTGATCAAATTTTCGAATTATAGTTCGAGGATCTGAGAACCGATAAGCACTTAATTATCATTTGTTTTTCGTTTCACCTCATCTAAACAGTCGATCCTCACACTTCCTGAACGCAAGAGCCTTGAAGCCTCCTCAAAATCACCTTAAAATAACAGAAAATACAACCCCTAGATGAAATAATAATTTTTAAATACCCATTAATGAAGAGGTAGTCTCTTTACCTTTGTTGAGATGTGAAAACAAAGATTTTTCGTCCCCCGTCAATTCGCCTAGCTTCGCCATTTCTGCTTAATTTTGACTTTGACAACTTTCTATGTTTGACTTCATTTATGTATCAGTCAAAGGTCGTCCAAAAAAGGTCCGCTGATCAATGTGAGCCTAGGCTCAAGTGAAAACAAGATGGCGGACGAAGTGAGCTTCAAAAATAATGAAGGTGAGTATTATATAACTTTTTTCTGTGCTTAGATCGGCAGATGCCATACAAGAGTATCATGATTACTTAATTTGATCTGGTTCTGTTTAAAAAATTCTGAAATTCGGTTTTAACACTAAAAAGTTAATGAGCCACGCTGCCCACGTGAACATCTCAGAGTAGCACACTCGTTGTAGTACCTTGCTACACATTGCAAACTTTGCCAAGTTTTTTGTAACATTTTAGAGATAAGGTAAGTCTGTGTAACCTTCTACCTTGATTTGATTTCAACTATAAGGCAAATCAGTCTCATTTTACGCTACGTAACCGAGATAAAAATTGAAAGCAACCACAATAATATCGGAACAAGTAAAGGAAAAATGACGCCTGATGCGATACATGAGTGCGCTTATAGAAGATATCTAGTTAAAAATTCCGCACAGCCCCATACTACATTATGCATTCAGTTCTTGGATAGAGAAAACAATGACAAAAACAACACATTGCCATTGGGAAAATAGATTTGTTTGACAATAGTATGGGGCTGTGCGGAAATTTTACCGATATCTATGAAAATCATAGGGAAAAGAATTTTGATCCTGAGCTAAGAATTTTTCCATACTAGCAGATAGTGGTAGTGAAAGTGATGACGAGTGGGAAGAGATGGACGAAGAAGAACAAGACAGCGCTATCGTTTGCCTGTTCTGTAACGAGTGCTTTAAAACTGCTGAAATGGTCTGGAACCACTGTGTCTCAGCTCATGGTTTTGATCTGTCTAAGATAAAGAGGACGCATGGTAAGTTACTTTCAAGAAATGATCATTTCTTTCAATTGAAATTTTTTAGAAGTGGAAATTAAAAGTGAACTCAAATGAGAAAGATTAAAATACATTTGCTTGCATTATTGCTAGGACTAGACTTTTATGGATGCATCAAGATTATAAATTACATCAGGAAGCTGGTAATGTATATTTATACTTATTTGGAAGCTATGGGCATTTCATATCTTTCTTGCTTAAGACTGTCTATTAATGACATTTTGTCACAACAGTGTTCTGCTTTTCATATTCAGGCAGTGATCAATAAAATTTACTGCCTTTAGTATCACAGATACCTCTTATTGCCTTCTAAATTGATATTCTTTGAAAATTAAACTGGTAAAATGATTTCAGTACTTCTTTGCTCTTGTGGGTACCTTTCATGCTTAAACTGTTACAAGACCTGTGACCTGTCTTGTACATGTATCTTAAATTAAGTTTAACATTTTATGAACAATTCATGGAATTATATGAAACATGGATCATCTGACTGTGCCTTACAGCTTTTTCTGTTGTTTTCCATTGTTCACATCATTTTGCATACAATCCTGATATGGAGATTTTTGTCTGTACAATGTTTTCAATAAAATCAGAGTAGGATAAGCTTGTTACTGTTTGAGATCATAGTAGAATGACAAACTTCCAATGACTACCCCTTTTCTCTCTCTCTCTCTCTTTCTCTCTCTCTGTTAGCTCAATTATTGTGGATACATGTACTTTAATAATTATGCATATTTATTTTAAATTTTTATTTTCTTGAGAAACCTTCCCCTGAAAGTTTTGAAAATGTTGCTCTTCCTTTGCCATGGGAAAGTGATGAATTTTTACAGCCAGCTCTCCCTAATGATGAACTTCTTCAATATGGTATGCCAGAGATACAATCTTTTTAGCTAAAACTACATATTTCAAGTCAGTCTGCTAGATGATGCAAGTTAATCAGTTGTGTACCCTCAGCCAGCAGCCATCAACATGTAGACAACCCAGCCAACAAACTTTTCTGTCATTTGGCCAATCAGTCAGTTGGTGGTTTAATCAGTCAATCAGCAAGTGTTGGCACATTCAATCCTTAAATTAATTGATAATCTGAAACACTCACTGTAGAGATCCCAACTCCTGTAATCTGTTATCAGTAATCTGGAGATAAAATGTTTTTGATGACATCCTCTTCCTTGTCTCTATTCACAAACCAAAGCCACTAAAATGGACTTTAACATAAGATGTAATCCAATGTGGAAGAAGAGAAAAAAATTACAAAAATACAAGCATCCTTGATTATGAAATTTTCCAAAAGAGGAGATCCTATCTTTAATTTTGTTGATTTTCCCTCTTTTGTAGAAAAACTAAAGCAATAAACATAGTTAATTAAATAAGAAAGCTGAGTTAAGGGTATTGCAGCCTAGAAGATTTCTTTGTATTGGTGGATAATTAACAACTATTCACCAAAGTGGAGGTGAATTGTGGTGGATACTTACCAAGCTGCAAAGAGGTGAAGTAAATTTCTGCCACTTTCCCCACCTCCAAGGTGAATAATATTATTGTTTAAGTACAAACCACACAGATACAAAAAAATTAGTTCATTTCTTTCAATATTCTGAAAAATTGTCACAAATTAAACTCTTGATGCACAATTGTGTTTCTTTGCTGCTTGGAGGTGACTACAGTTGCAGTACTTGCTATTCTATTCTGGTGTGTGGTTTATACTTCTATTGGATAAATACATGTAGGGTCCATAGCGGCCATACATGATAGTGAGCTGGGATCCCCTCATTAAAGGTGTAATATAAACATTGTATTACTGTGATTGAAGATGTTACGAGTTAACCTTCAGCTGTTTTTGAAATGCACAGTAGGTTTACTTAATTTTTCATAGTGAAACATTTTTTGTTAAATTTGTAGATTTTGATGATGACTCTGATGTTGAAGTTGACAGTAATGCTGATGCAGCTAACCACCAAGAAGGTACTGCCCCAACTAAGTTACCATCAATACACCACTGATACAAACATTTAGACTCACAGTTATTTAACTATTCATGTTGGAAACATTAAATGTTGCAACATGAATAATTATAACAAAAGTTAGTGTAATAATTCTTGCACTAATAAAAATGATTGTCATGATGATAATGATGATGAAAGTGGCAATATAAACAGAATTCATTCGTCAAGGAAAAATTCTTATCCACTAGTGTGCATGAATTTTGTAATTTTGTATTCAAGAATCAAGAGAAAGTTATCTTATCTCAGTTCTTAGGAAAAGTCACTCCCTTTTAAAATTGCTTTACAACTTTTTTTAGGAAAGGCTTGGGAATAAGGAAAGACATAATTAAACACCAATTCAGTTTGAAAAGTATGAATTATGAAGGAAGGATTCCTACCTTTTTTGGTCTTAATATGCATGAACAAAGTAATAGCCTTTCCTTATCAATGTTCTCAACAATAACTGAAATTTATTTTAATTTTTTTCTAACATGCAGCCAGTGTACCTTATTCAAAATATCTGGAGATAAAACAAAGGTAACTAATTTTACTGGTGCTGATGATTTCACTAAGTATATACAGTGTTCTTCATTATTTTGAGCTCAAGAGGTATAATAAGTTTCAAATCAGTAGAGCAATCCTTTTAGCTGTTGAATTTCAAGAAAATGTTAAGTGATTTAAGGCAGTAATAAGAGGAACTACAGGTGGTAAAATTGAAGGGTTACTGCCTGAAAAGGAGAACAACATATAGACTGAGTTGTTTCTATTTATTTCTATAACTGACCACTCTTACCTTATACTTAAATGTTTCAAATTAATCTGCTAAGATTGAGCCTTGCTGAAAAAGTAAGGGAGCGTCCCCATTCACCGGGTTGTATTTTTGCTTAGACACTGGCACAGTATGTTAGGATCTATATATTGCCCTTCTGACCCCACCCCTCCCTTGAGATATTTCCTTTCTACACCCTAATGATAATTTCAAAACGTTTTTCTAAAGCCTTGTGATGTGCAGTTTATAATGACTTTATATCCTGAGACAAAATATGAAATGCACATTTACCTATAAACCTGAATGAATTAGAGAATCCCTCTTTCAAAACGTGAAACATATATGTTAATCTCTAATTTAAGAAATTTTCCATTTGAGGCTTCATCAACTGGAGAACCGTGCTTATTGCGCTGAGGCAAATCTGGCAAGAGCATTGGAAGAAATTTGCCAGCTAAGGTACATGTAACATCGAAAGTTAAGTCTTCTCCTTAATACATTCATTGTGAGTTGAGCTGCCTGCATACAAGTTCCAACTTTCTAGTATTAAGGGAGGGCCATTTAATGAATGGTATTCTGGTAGTTCTTAAATGCAGAGTCGCTTTTAATAGGAACATTTTGCATGAAGGACAGTATCGTAAGGGTATTGGATTATATTCGTTCCTCACTCCAGCTTGTGGAAGCTGATCAGACATAATGTCTTACTGTGCCCATCTTTTGTTGAGACTCAGTCGTAAAAATTCACTCTGATTGTTTCATACACGTTTCTTACACTAACATACAGCCTTTGGCTTGACTGTTTTTTTCATAAAAAGTTCCTTTTCTATTTAGTTTGTGCATGTTATTTTCGCTCTCACGCGTATACATAAGTAATGTTGCAGTTTTATATTTCGCATCTAACAAGTAAGAGCTTTCAAAGAAAACAAACAATAATAATAATAATAAGGCCAAACTTTTAATAGCTTGCGAGAGAGTCCTCGTTATAAGTGCTTCAATGCGTGAGTCTTTACGGCCGCGAGAAAGTTTGAGACCTTGAGGAACGCAAGCAGGGGAGAGGTGCTGGGAGAAGCACCTCATTATTAATGCTAGACCCTCGGCGGACCTCTCCCCAGCCCGTCTCACATCTTTTCGCAGGCGGAGAAACGCGCGTCCGCTAGCACTATTAATGAAGCCCTGCTCGCAGTTAACTCTCTACATCCTAACATCATTATGCATATTCTCCATACTGTTCTCCATACATTTCTTAAGGTGCTGACAAGGAGAATTTGTTCAATTAAGAGCTTCTTTTGTAGGTGATCATTTCTTATATTCTCGTAACCTTAATGTATCATTCAGATGTGATATTGTAGGGAGAAATTAGATGCTAGTCACTATTAGGAATTAGGATTAAAGTAAGCTTCTGGATGCTTTTTTCAAAGTTACGACATTGCCTTACATTCCAGATCTGTTGCACAAAATGTTTTATTTGAAGATCAACCTGGTGGACAGAGTCGGTAAGTTACTTGAGAAGACTTGCGTGGTGTTCGGATCTTTTTTATCGTTTTCATAAGTTTACTTTCTTTCATTTCTCGCGAATGTCTTTCCTAATTGTCGATTTCCTCTCTCTGATGTTGTCCAATCGTGTAGTTCCATCGCCCGGGTGAGTGTGGTCCTTAGAAGGACTATTGTTGGTATTGGGCAGGATGATAAACTTTCGTTTCAACTCGACTATCTCTGCTGACAAGTGCAGGGTTTCTTTACATGTTCGAACTACGAGCATGGAAATGAGTGGCCGCATTTCGCGCAACAAAATCAAACACATGTAAAGGTATACCAAACGATACTTATTTTACTTTCTGTAAGCACTGCTTATATTCGTGGTCAGTAAAGTTATCAAGTTTCGATAAATTACTTATTACATATCCAAAGTTAGGTAAAAATATTTTTGCCTGTTTTTTTTTTGGTTATACGATTGGACAATTCAGGTCATAATTTTTTCTTGTTCGAATGGAAAGTTTAACGTCTTAGACGTTCAGATGCCCAAATTTCCAGCTTTAAGACATCATCAAGTTGACTTTTGCTTAGGGGTTTAAGAAACGTCAGTGCCACTGCTACCAACAGCAGGCTTCCTCAGGAAAACTCTCACACGGACAATCATACGACACGATCAAATGTTGCCCACGGTTCTACTTCATTTAATTTAACTGTAATGTCATTTGTTACCGGAAATAATTCAGATCCAAAACGGGCTGTGCAAGCTGTGATAATGCCGAGGACGATCCTTACTTCAGTTCGTACGCGCATTTTGGTATTCACGAAGAGATGTTGAAGGTGAGACAGTGGAGACGAACACTAAACAGCGTAACAAACCAAGAGAGGGTTCCCTTTGCCTAGAACGACTTTGAAACTTGTCTGGTCCGCCTGGTGAGCTCATGTTGTAGAGCACCGGACTGCCGTGTTGGAAGGTGGAGGGTTGAAGCCTCAGACCGGACCAACACTCAATTTCTTAAAGTAACGAAGGAGAACGTGCTGCCTTTGTCATGACAATTCTGGAAATGGTTAGACGTTTTAGTCTTTTCGAATAAGGACCAAAGACCGTAAGCCATGTCTTTTGCATCTCACCTATACTAGTTAGAAATGGACGTTAAAGACCCCACGCAAGTAGGGAACGTAGCTCCCGGTGTTGTGGTCTGGCACTGTTTCAAAATTTCCGAAATTTCCAAAATTGGGGACTTCTACAAAATTTCCTTTCAAAATTGTAAATTGCTCAATGCAGTCCGATTAGAGTTCCCCGTAGAGTGTTGCGAGGTCCTTCAGAGCATAGTAGTGTGGATAATGCGCTATTTAAAAAAATTCCACACTTATCTTTTTGTGCAGGACACTACAAGGACAGAAAGTTACAGGGATTTTATACTCAACAACCCAACGATTTTTAAAGATAAGGTAAGCGTGCCGACAATCTTTTCTATTTATATTCAGCGGATGCATTCTTAATTTCCTTTGCTGTCGAAATGTCATAATTTAACTCGTTGCGTACTCTCCAAGATTGTTTTAGATGTTGGATGTGGTACAGGTATACTTTCTATGTTCGCTGCCAAGGCCGGAGCAACTCGTGTGATCGGAATAGATCAGTCAGAGATCATATATCAAGCAATGGATATTGTTAGGTAACCAATAGCCTTATATTGTTTTACAATTCGTTTACCTTGCATCGCTGTGATACACCTGAAAAAAGTTTGTTCATAACGATTGTTTTATTGAAAAGCGCAACCGAGCTCGAAATCCGAAGCAAAGAACGCTTCAAGTGCAAAATTTGGAGTGTCATTTCGCAAGATCCCATAATGTGTAGCAAAAAATTTTAATAAACCATAAAATAGGTATTGGCATGAAGAAAAATTGTTTGAGTTGAATGCGTAACGTTTTGTTTAGCTATTTAAGAGCTATTTGTTTTTATTCTTTGGTTTAGGGAAAACGGGCTGGAAAATGTTATTACGTTACTGAAAGGAAAAGCAGAGGAAGTTGCATTGCCAATAGACAAGGTAAGGCGAAAACAAACGGACCAAGCAGGGGTTTCAGTAACTTTTTCCATAACCGGTTGCCGATGTTATAATTAGCGGCCGTGTCGGGGAAAGTAGCTGTATGGTAAAATCCAAACACCAGAGCCTGCTCGCAGGCTCAACAGAATGCAGTAAGAGGTTTTATAGGCGGTGGTAGACCAGTGATAACCGCAGTTTTTTATTGAAAGCTTTGTCCCAGTTAGTAAGGTTTTCAATTTTTGTTTGGTTTTTGTTATGTTTATTTTATCATTGTTATTGTTATTTAAGTTTGTTTTGGTTCGTTTTGCTAATCAAGTGATTAGGGATCTGTTTTTTTTTGTTTGTTTTCAGGTTGATGTTATTATTTCAGAGTGGATGGTGAGTCTTACGGGTAGTTTTTTTTATTTATTCTAACAAAAATTTCAAAATGCCTTTTATTGGAGAAATTCGGAAACTTACCACCAATTGTTTCCTCAGCTTATGATATTTTTGAAAATCGATTCTAAAGGACCTTCTCATGGAGGTTCTGTTTTTAATGACTCATCATGCTTTGTCCAAATTAAAATCAAAATAATATAACAAAAAAAAAATTTCAAATTCTTGCAGGGCTATTTTCTTCTTTTCGAGTCAATGCTTGACACAGTATTGTTTGCAAGGGACAAATGGCTCAAGCCAACAGGTTGCGGTAAGTTTTCAATAGATTTTTAATATATATTAACGCATTCGTAAAACTGATCATCTCATAGCCGTTTTTCCTTGCGCTAAGTTCTAACAATCGTCCTCATCGAGACCAGCTGCCTGCTGGTCGTGTGAGGACATTAAAGATCCAATGTGAAATATTTTTTTGGCTGTGATCGACGCGGTGGCGTAGCGGAGACGAGTGAGAAAGCTTCTGCTGAAGGAAATGGTAAGCAAGCGCAAGCAGACGAGGCGGTTGTAGTTGTTGCTGCGTGACGCAGGATTATTTTTTCTTTGTGCCCTCGGTTATGTCGCGAGCTCTATTTTTTGCCTGCCCAAGTTTTCGTTCATATCCACTCACTGAGACCTTAGAACAGGTTCATGGGGACGCTGTCTTTTTTTCTTGGGGATCGGACTCCGCTCGCTAAGTGCTTTTTTCGCCTGTGGAGTTTTAAAGACGTTTTTTTTAGCCAGGTAGTTTATGTTTAGCCAGGTAATTGGCATCTGATCGCATCTTGAAGTAACAGTTATTGTAGTAGCTCGCTTCATGTGACAGGACTCAGAACCAGCTTGCGTCAGCTACCTGTGTAGGGCCCCTTCCAAGCAAACGGTGGGACGAAAGTGGAAAGGAATGGACACAGAGGTTTGTATTAGACGTCTAATGGACTAATTTCTTACCTGTGTTATTGTAGTTTACCCAGACCGATGTACTTTGTGCCTGGCTGCCTTAGGAAATAGTGGAAAAGTCGAGAAGAAACTTAGCTTTTGGGATGACGTTTATGGTGAGACTTTTTCTAAACAAGCCTGAGATTCTGGTTTGTGTCAGGATTTTGATGAAAAATCCCCTGGTATAGAGTAACAGAAGCTCACACTTCTCTTTTTTATTTGCATCTCTTTCTTCAGGTTTTAAAATGAGTTGTATGAAAAAGTCTGTCTGCTCTGAACCCTCTGTGGAAACTGCGGATCCTAGAGATGAGATTTCTTCTCGATGTAAAGTCAAGGTAACGTTTGAACAATGGAGCCCCAAAGCTTCCTTCCATGAGAATTCTTCCTGGCATCAACGCCTGAAACTCCCGTAAGAGCGATCTGGAAACGGGAGAAAGAGTAACCTTGGGAAATAAGATGAGGCACCCTGCCTTGCAATAACCCGTCAATACGGGAACCTTTTGACTAAAAAATTTTTTGCACTCCGAACAAATTATCTGTCAAACTATTTCCTATTTTTATAACTGAGCTCGTTAAATGGTCTACTCCGTTTTTAAGACAAGCTTTCCACGATCCGGCAGTTCAACAGTACTTTGTAGCAGGAAAATTTTGCTTGTATAATACCTCAACTTAGTTTACCTAATAGGGAAACTGTGCGATTGAAGGTGGTATTAGAATAATCATATTTTATTTGTTTATTTAGCCCTTCACTCCCAAGATCTCATTAGTAATTCTCATTACTTTCTGCATACAATTGTTATGACGTTAGCTCGGAGAATTTGGTTTTGGATCAACCAGTTATCCCCTAATTGAAATTTTTCTGTTATCTCATCACTTGTCTGCTTGACATTGTAAGAATAAATTCTGTCGTGTTCACTTACGGGAGTAAAGATGTTACGTGATGCAGCTGTTCGTTGAACGTAACAAACCTGAAGCTTAAGTTTCTAGCAAAAAGTGCAGGGGTACAGTATTCCTTCTATTGCATAAAATAAACGAGATCGAGAAATGTTGTTTGTGTTCTGAAGATATCTCCTCTGTCCTATCTTTAATAGGAGCTGGACATAACCAGTTGTAAACTAAGTGATCTACAGTTCCATTCAGCGTTTAGTATTAAAATCAGTAAAGATGGTTATTGTTTGGTAAGTAGTTAATTGTTTCGTGATAGCCCAGGACTCTCAGGCAAATGGTGTTTTCAATTTTTTACGCCTTTGTTAATCTATCTGCTTTGTTGGTGAGGAGCATACAGGTCGGAGCCTTCGACTTCTCCTTCTCCTTCTCCTCCTCCCCTCCCCCACCACCTACCACTGTGGTCTGGGGTATTTCTATGGCCTGCAGTGAATTAAGGGGTACATTTTTGGTTTATTCTCGTTGCGTCACAGGTTGTGACGTGGAATAAGAAGATGTTTCACTCTTTGCGTTCAAATATTGATAGCACCGTTACATGAACTGTTCATTGAAGTAAGCTCTGTCTTCCTGGACTCTCATGAATGATCATTTTATTAATTTAATTACATTTAATTTCTTTTTCAGGCCTTCATTGCCTATTTTGATATTTTCTTTGAGAAGAACTGCGATAAAAAGGTATGACGAGGGTTGGTTGATTGTGTTATAGGTTTTTTTTTTCCAAGTAACTCGTGAAAAAGAAGTGTTAATATAGAAAAAGGATCGGTGTTCTAACGTACTAAATCCGGTTGTATCTGATGACAAGCGAGCTAAGGCTTTTTCTAATTCCCATCACAGTTGAAATTTAAATAAAAGCGATCTTATTGTAATTCAGGTCAATTTCAGCACTAGTCCCTCGGACTCTACAACACACTGGAAACAAACTGTGTTCTATCTTGAAAAGCCAATCAGCGTCACCCAAGGTAACAAAAAAGACGTTTATTTCTCTCTAACGTTTTCCACTACAGTGGGTTGTGTTTACAAGGAAAGTTATGTTTAATTTGTTTGTTGTATAAAATGTTAACCTACTAATTAATTTTTATAGGGTTGAACTTATCTTTTTATGTCATAAATGTTATCTATTATCTCAAGAAATTAAATTATTCTAGTTCCTTTATTTCATTATCTCCTATTTTAATGGTCTAATTGATAAACGATATCGATAGGCCGTCAATTAACTCTTGTGAATTGGTATTAGGAAATTAGGTATTCCAAGGTAATTCAGCGGTACATTTCTAAATTTAAATTGTTGCGTTCTGATTAGATCCTCTAAAGGCCAAGAAAGTACGCGCCACTCTTTCGAAAAATCAGATAAAAAACTAAGATCTCGATTACTAATGGCAGATAAAAAACTAAGATCTAGATGACTGATGGCAGACTTTGCACTTTATAAATCGACGTTTACCAGACTTTACATGGGGAAGTCAGAAGGTGGTCCATTTTTTCTTGCACAGGTCAAGTCCTTGAAGGTTTTCTGTCCTGCACTAAAAGTGTGAAAGATCCGCGGTCTTTGGACATCAAGATAGAAGTGTCAGACGAGAAAACACAGAAGCAGTTGTGCTGTCAGTCTTATCTTCTTCAATAATAAAATTCAAATGGTTTTCATGCAGTGTTAGTTGTTGACGGAATTATCATAATTTCAGAACTATCATTTCGCATGCATTAACATAACTTTGCTTGGTATGATAAACGAATTTTCGGGCCCAGCCTGACGAGTACTTCCAACAAAGTTGATTATCGCTTGGGATTTCGCTTTTCCGTTTCCCAATCACGTTATACTCTTCGAAAGATTGGCTGCATTAATTTCCTGTGCACAAAGCCTACAGGTGCTATTCTTGGTTCTCAAAATTTTCATTTGTCTTTCTTCAGCTTTTAACAGTGTAAAATAGGAAATATTGAGCAGGCATTTTTTTACATATCTACAACTGAGTGTTAGTGTACTTCACTTTTCAGTGTTCGATATTTTTTCCACACAAGGTTATTTCGAGAGCCACGATCATCGAATTTGTAACCGTCATTTCCTTCGTCATCACCTTTGTTTCTTTCCTTGCCTTTAGATGTGTTTTCCTTTAATTTTACCGTAGTTTTCTTTACAAAAGAATTTTTCGAAGGTTTTTTTACTGCTTCGGACTCATCCTTCCAGTTTGCTTTAACTTTAAATTGGCCATTCCACTTGGCCTCCACGTGTAATATTTTGTGTGGAATACCTGGATACTTCAGAAGTATTAATGGATGTGTGATCTTTTTCTTTGCAATCTTGATTGCTTGTTGTAGAAGCGTATTATTTGACTGCTTTACTCCTGTTCTAATTGAACTATTTACTACTTTTTCAGCAGTCGTTGTACCAAGTTTTGTGCCAGTTTTCTTTATGTTCTTTGTCTCAATGATGTTATTTTTTGATATGTCGCTTGCGTAGACTTCGTCAATCTCCTCTGTGGGTTCTTCACCACTTGTTGACGAAACTGCTTCTGTGGCAGTGTGAACTGCTCTTTGGTTTGTTTTATTTTGAACCGAAGCATTCTCTAGAGCGTGTGGTTTTTCTTGGATACTAGAGATATTGGCACGAGCTGTATGTGCAGTTTTTCTGTGATGTGCATTCTTTCGCGAAGAGTCGCTTTTTGTCATGAGGGGTTTCCTTTTCTTTCCGTGGCTTTCCTTTATGATAAAACTCACGAATGTCCGTTTGTTAGATTTCACATCTGATTTTGAATCATCATGATCATGAGGTTGTTTACTTCCTTCTTGTTGACTGTTTAAGAGGTAAGATTGCTTCCCTTTGTGTTTCAATTTGTGTTTTCTTCTTTTGTCGGCCATAGGAATAAACGAAGGTAAGCGATGAGTTATATTTGCATCTGCAGTTTGAACGGGAGAAATTCTCTGTGTTGAGTACCTTAGAGATTCTTCTGTTTCACTGCCTAATTTATTGTTTTCCACAGGAAACTGATCCTCACTTGTTTCTGAATCACCTTCGACTTCTTTGTCTCCAGTTTCTGACACCGACGATAGAACTTTCAGGTCTTTTCCTTTGGATAAAATTTGTTTTGAAATGTTTTTCGGTGGTACTTCTGTTGTTTCACCGTTTTTATGTAACTTTATCGGTTTAGCATCGTCCTCCAGAACAAAATCTTCATGTTTGTTCCTTACTTTTGGTGAATAGCTGTAATTCCCTTTGCTACTCCAATTCTTGTAGTTGGGGCTCTTCACATGCACTCTTTTAAACCCTGCATCTTTATTGCCTGCCAATTTGCTCGCCAAATGCACCTCTAAACTTTTCTCGGCAGACAGGGGCTTCATGTCGCTAAGTCTGGTCCTGTTTCGATCATGAGCAATAATTTGGTTGGCAATTTTTTTTACAATATCTGGAGTCATGTCTTCAAGTACTTTCCTCAGCTCCTGGTAGCTAAGTGTTGGGTTGATCTTCGTGATTTTACTAACAGGCTTCAACTTGAGTGGTTGTGGCTGCTGCCATCTCGATAACATTTGAAGCATCTTTGTTAACTTTGCATAGTCCTGTATCGGAAGTGGCTTTCCTTTACTTTCGTCGCCTCTATGTTTCGGTTGTGTTATTTCCTTTGGCTTGATATTGAAAGTTTTATCTATGATTTTGGAATTTTTAGGCTTGGGTTTTGGCAAACGAGGCCCGTGAAAAGATGATGGCTTCTTCTGAACTAGAGGTCTTGGCATGTGTTGAGACTGATTTTCTGTATGGGAATTTGGAGGCGTGTTTTTTGTGAAGGTGATCGGTTGAGTCCTTAGTTTTACTACAGAAAAAGTAAGGAAAAGGACAAAATGTCAGGTTTTGAAGTGACTTTTTTGAAATAAAAAAAATTTCGCTACGTCACAGTAGTTGAACAACACTTTATGTATAAGATCTCCCCTTTCACATGTGCTAATTCGTCTTCGTTCGTTCGAATACTAAGTGTCTATATTAGGAAGATTTGAAAAAAACACCAAGACTTAGATCCACTTCAGTTTCTTGTAAAAGGCAAACGACAAATTGAACCTTTTTCGTCAGTCTATTGTCGTTTCTTCAATAATGTGAAAATATTTACATTTGTTTTGAAGAGATATAGATATATTTTCTGTGGAATCTATCTGATTCATGATTAGTGGGAAAAAAGTTCTATTTGTGATAGATGTTTTCGTTGACGCTTTCCAAAATGATATAAACACGTGTAATGTTTGAAAAATTCGAACGCCAGGGGATGACTCTAGGTTTTTGTTTTAGAGGTGTATTTTCTGTCTTGTACTGCTGCCTAAAAGGGAAGGTTGACTGTAACAAGAGTTTGTCTTGATCACAAAAGTGAGCAAGAACTCACCTGATGGTGGTGTATTTGGAATGGCCTGACCAACGCCTGAAATAGAGAGAATCATGGCAGTTATTAGCAGACATGAGACGAGAGGCGCAAATTATTAGTGCCGTCAGAACATTTACCATCAGATTGATCCTATAACGTTGAGGTTTAAACGAGAACTTGTCTGCGTTTAAGTGCACACCAGAAGGAATAAAGTGAGGAGGATTTGATTTTTATTTTCAGTTTGCCTTTTTTTATTTTAAAAAAAAGTCAGTAGACGACACTAAAAACCCCCTATTTTACCTGTGTAGTATAGGGAGTTCATCATGACTCCACCGCATATTTCCTGGTAGTTTCCAGTACAACGCATCGAGCATTGCTTATTGTTGAGTCTCCCGTACTTGCTGTATGTCGTGCCGCAAAAGCATTGCGTAGAGGCCTGGAGACCAGCGATGGAAAATCCAGTTTCTCTACACTTAGCCACACAACCTTCTACGGTCAGCGGTTTGACAGGAATTTCCGTGGGAAGATCACGTGACTCGGAATCCTGATAACAACCCAAGAATCGAGGAGCAGCCAACGCTAAATCAACAACAACAAAAGCTTAACAGTGATGTCTTCACAAATAAAACTGGGAGACTAAAGTTACAGTCCTATCGTACAATAAGTATAAGTAAGAACATGATTTCGAGTGCAATTTGGTGTTTATAGGCACGAGTGAATTTTCCAAAGACAACAAAATTGCACGAACCCATAGGGCTTCACGGTTTATTTGGAACCAACTTAGTGACCAGCTCCTCGTTGGCTTGTAAGCTCAGTTGGTAGAGCGCTGCACCGGTATCACAGAGGCCCTGGGTTCAAATACCTTTACAGGCCTAAATTTTTTCCAGACCTTTTTCAATACCGCTTAAGTAATGTTCATTCCTGCGAAGATCGCTTCGACATTCATGTAACATCTTCTCGAACAATTGGATTGAAAGTTATTTTTATTTTGGTTATCTTGCATTTTTGCACCCTTTCGTTAGTCAGTCGAGCACTAACATCCCTGGGCGGTTGAAATAAAAAATCAAACAGACACAATATAAATTGAAAGATGATGAATTTCCCTGTATTTATTCATGCCCAGATTCACAGTTATCGTAAAAACACTGTGCAGCTGCTGTCAAGGTTTCCTTGTTTTCATTCGTACCTAACTTAGATGTTCCAGTGATTTCTTTGAATAGTTTCCTACTGACTTTTTTGAGCATACCTTGGTAAAAAGAAATGCAATTTTTTACAACGTGCAACATGCAGTTATGTTAGGAGTGTTAATGACCTTTTCATTGCCCAACCGTCCACTTGTTAAAAATTAGTAACATTAATTACTGAATTACTTTGCATGCTCTGCAGAAAGCTGCAGACTTACATGTTGTAAGTATTCAAAACCACATGAGGCAGGCTCATTCACTTACAAACGATCTTTTCCTCAGAGAAATTCCCAACTACAACTACTGTTAGACAAACTTCGCTGATGATCTTGCATATTTTATATCTCCGACGTTTTGGTTTGTTTTTAAACAGAAATTCACCATGTGATATTGTCTTAGGGAATCTTCGTCTTTCCAGCCGCTTAGTTGCACTTCAGCCCTGTCAAATTTCTTACCCATCAATTTTGCGTATTCCTGGGGCGACGGTCTGGGTGCGGGTCTCCTTTGATACGTAGTCTGATAACCTACAAGGAAAAGTCAATCGCAGTTCAATAATTAGTAGCTTGTAAGCATGTACCTTTGTTGGTATCATCTATGATAAGGCCTCAGCGGAGTAGTTTTCTCGTTTTGAGCATACAAATATGCTCCTATTTGTGCTAAAGGTGGCTCAAAATGGTATACTTATTTTAAAACACCAATTCTTTGAAAGATCGATACTATCACATTCGCTTTTTCGTTTCTTTCCCTTAAAATGTAGCCTCCTTCACTGCTGCATCTATCGTAAGAATGTCCACACCCTTTCCCTTGAAATAAAATCAGAGACAATTACAAAAGATACCGCTTACTATTGTATGGTCTGTTCGTGGCTCCCTTTTGAACGTTGTAGTTGCTATACTTGTAGCTGTTGTAGTTGTAAGGCCAGCGGTATGCTTGACCTCGGTATGCACTGTACACCTTTGCTTGTTTATTTGCAGCTAAGGAACAGATACATAATGAGAGGACAAATTTAAAACGTCTATGAAATTACACCGGACAATATAGACTACTATCATTCTCTTATTTTCGGCGAAGTCGGAGTCAAAAAACAAAAATCAGCGAAAAAAAAATTGATGTTATCGCGACGCGCGGGACTCCCAAAATTTCACGCAGTGCAGTAACATCACTTTTTTTTCGCTGATTCTTTCTATCTTTGGACTTGCGCGAAGGACTTAGCCGTAAAGGAGGGACTACGCGTAGTCTACAGTAAAATCTGAGCAGATAACGAAACCGTAACTAGGCAATGATGTATAGATTGAACCAGATACATAAATAGGTGAATAGATTATGTGTGGAAAATAACCTACCTCCTGCTTGGTAACTATATGCCGAAGAGGGCTGTTGAAAATGATTCCTGTTGAAATTTGTATCTGAAAGAACGTAGAATTCTCTTTTAACCTAAGATACTCCTCGATGTGTCACCTTGAATATGATAAAATATACTTACATGGTTTCCCCCCGTAATATTGTTGATATCCTTGATAACTACTTGGTGGGTACAATTGATTAGCTGCAGGAGAAAAAACACAAAACACGAGATAATTCCATGTATATGAAAATATCACCTAGTAAAAGAGAGGCAAACGAACGTTCTTCAAATTAGGGAATTTGAGCGAAGAGGTTAAAAGGAGCTAAGGAGCTTTCCACGGTGACAGAAGTTTCCAATTTTCGCGACATATTATGTCGGAAAACTACTGTATGATCTCCCTATTAGAGGCGAGGTCAGTTGGTCGTAAATACTTCCGTTTCATGTTGCCCCCTTATTCCTTCTTTCCCTTTCCCCACTTTAAAAACTAGTTTGCGCACAAACATCTAACTCCGGGGGAGAGCGTGTCGAGAAGATTCCGTTTTGACCCCAGTCAAGGGCAGTATACGAAAGGACGACAATCCAAATTTAGACGGGCTAAACTATTCAGCTATTGAGACATTTCCCCTTCGTGCAAAGGTTCCAAGAGGTGATTAATCGAGCACCTCGCGATTTAGTGAATAACAGGTTGGTGTAGAGAAGAGGTTAATTGCCCGAAACTGGAAATTTGGAAAATATGGGCATGATTATTACGGGTATGTACAGGAATTCTCTCATGTCAAAGGGGCTGCTATTAAGATACGTTTTACGAACCTTGGTATGTCGGGGAATAATTTCTCGACCCACTCACTTGCTGCACTCCTAGGAAAAGAAGATTCACTTTTATAGCATACTAGGTGCAAACCTAAGAGAAGTTAATAAAGGTAACAAGGTATCACCCAAATTCTTTATGACTTTTGTACAGCCCCTCATCAACTCATACCTCTGTATGGATAAGATTGGTACCAGGCCGCGCCGCGCGTCGATCCAGGCATATTTCGAGGAGGATATCTTGAACGAGCTATGATCAGAAGAATAGCATTATTAAAATTTTTTATGGCCTTTGAGCGCTGTTCTAAGTAACTACCTGATTTTGGGAAATTAATGTTCGTGTAAATTGAGCAAAGATTTTTAATTCAGAATTAATTAACAAGTGTTAATTTGATTCTAGATGAGAAATGAAAATACCTCTCAATAAGGGATATACTTGGGAAAAGAGGTTCTAAGTTTTCCAAACGGGGGAAGTAATGCAATTTACTCAAAGAGCATAAAATACGGGGCCAAAATAGAAGTTCTTTTCAGTAGACAAGAATATCATTAATATCAATGTTACCGTGCATGAGCAGTTGCCAAGGGATTGGATGGTTTGATGGAATAAAATGCTTCTGTATCCCTGTACGGAAAAAATAAGTTATGCAATCAGCATGGAAAATTCAAGTCAACGCAATCAAATTTATTGGTTATTTTTCTTTCAAACCTGGTTCTGTTGAATATGGGTACAGTTAAGTGGTTTATTGTATGGAATACTGGATTTGTTCCATTGTATTAATACAGATTTATTTTGCTTGCCCCCAACACATGATAATTAGTAATGCAATTATGCTCAAGTTTTTATTCGAAGTATTTTTTATGCCTTTGTAAGAACGTTCGTGTGATAGTTAAAGACGAAACGAAAAGCGATTAGGAGTTATTGTAATGATAACAGGATTCAAAAGAACAGCTAATCAGATGTAAATTACAAGCTGTAAAGATGTTAAATGATGTTGACAGGTACTTCTTCTCGAGTTATAGCAGTTTTGCGGCAGAATTCAAATTTTGACTGCGAGTGAGTTTTCATACCAGAAAATCCTTCAGCGGGCGGGAAGTCCACAATTCCTGAGAAGAAAATACAAGAGAAAAAAGGATTGTTGAAAACCTTACACACTTTATTTAGAATTTAAAAACTTTATGTCGAGAAATTTAAGTACCGTGAAAGCACGGACCTGTTGGTTGTCAGAGCTTAACTGGGCTGGCCATATCTTCTTTAAATAACTGTGAATTTTCGAAAATCAAATATGTGAACTGCGGATAAAGACTTGAATATGAAAGCAATCTTTGCAGTAGTGAACTCCACTCGAACAGTAGTGAAAATAAGGTCAGTTCACGTCTTTATCCGCAGTTCACATATGTGATTTTCAGATATTCACAGCTATTTATTCATCTCTTCGCGAGTTTAATTGGAACCAACGTTAAGACCAGCTCCCAATTGGCTTGTTAACTCAGTTGGTAGAGCACTGCACCAGTATCGCAAAGTTTATGAGTTCGAAATCCCGTACAGGCCTGAATTTTTCACAGGCCATTTTTCACATTTCTTCATTATTGAACACAAGATATCCAAAAGAAATGGGAAAATGAATGCATTGTACATTAAAACTGATACATCTACAATAAACTCTCTTTAGAACACATTACTTTGACGAATATCTACGAAATGAGAGAATTTACAGATGAGAATTTTTTTGATGAGCACATGTTTTGCTTTTTGTCTTACCCGTCCAATACTGTGAGAAAGTCATGAATCCACCGCACACTTCGAACGAGTTGTCATAGCAAGGCATATCACATTTTGCATCTGGTACTTGATTGGCCTTCCGGTAAGCATTTCCACAGAAACACAGATCTGAATTACGCAACGCTGCAACGCTAAACCCTTGCCATTTGCACGTATCCACGCATGCTCCGATGGTGGCCGGGTGAGTGGGAATATAGACCTCAAGATCCCTCGGAAGGTTGTCATGGAAACAACCCAAGTATGCGGGTTCATCTGAAAAATAGTGATGCGAAACATAAGCACTCGTTACCATGCTTGATATCTGAGATATGTAATTCTTTTAAAGGTGAGCTTTGTAATTTGAATTTTCTTTCGGAAGCTTCTTACTTTCAGTGGCTTTTCGTTAAAAAATATACTATCAAGCAATTAATTCAATTTTGTCCTGGATATTGATATATTTCATGTAATTTACAACCTCTTGTATTTCCCAAAAGAGTACTAAATTTTATTTCTGCTTCAGCTCCACACTCGGCGTTCTTATTTTATCATCGTTTACTCACCACATAATTTTGATTTATTAAATGCCCGTATTTGATCACGTGAGTGCAGTATCATATCTCCATCCTCGTACAAAATCACGTATCGGCCATTCTTGATGTCCCGTATGTAACCTATCTCGAACGCGCGAGACTTGGGACGATTAACCAGAATCTGACTTCCCCAAGGTAGGTCGTTCTGTTCCGGAATACGGTCCACAACAATATCCACATTATCCCTGGGGTTAAATGCAAGTCGAGCTCCGTTGTCAAACAGCACATTCACCCTGTTAGTAATTGATTCAATCTCGCCCTTGTAGTAGTTCCCATTCTTCCAGCGGCTGATTACTCTTGATGCGGGCTCCAAGCACTCTGTAAAAACAATGGCGTTGTGTTGATTAGTTTAGAAATGTTTACAAACTTGTACATTTCATTGCTGTCGTTTATAGCATTCCCTTCATTCTCGCCGTAAATGAGTGGATGCAAATATGTAATCGTGATTTTGACAATTTTCTAAACTTACAGTGTGGTAAAAAATTTAATGGGAGTATTATTTTGCGAATTGGTGATATTTTTGTGTTTTGCGGGAACAAACTTTTGCTGTTGTTGATGACAAAAATTTCTACTGCGAACTTTTTTGCGCTTTTTTTTCAAGCAAACTTTTTCAAGGAAGGGAGAAGAAAAATTTAAACTTTTCATCGTTGTCGATCTGCACTGCGATGTACTTATCAGAGACATTTTCATTTCATCTTCAACAAAACCGAAAGAAAATTCTGTCCCTGACCCCTGCCCAATCCTCAGCCTGAGGCTTTTATTCATGGAACTGAAGGTAGTATATTTTGAAGGGTTTTAATTTGTAAGAATTTTCCTTTAATCCTAAAAATTATTTCTGCAGTACTAAGCCAAACTGCTAACCTCACATAACCTGAAATCCGCACAATTTTCATCCTACACATCACTAGTGAACTTGTCATTACAAAAGGGAAACATTTACGTAAACAATGAAACTGTCTCCACAATCAGTTATTCTTCTCGTTGTTCGTTAGACTATGTCATACTTTCATGGCGATTCCAAATTAGTAAGAACAACCATTCAATGGGCAATTTGACGTTGGGTTGGAACAATGTCGATATGTTTCATTGAAGCTGTCTTCAACAAATCGCTTGTTCTGCTCAGGGAATTTGTTGACTTTCACTCTATTTATTTACAATACAAATTCGTGTCATTTAAACGCTTAAAAGTACAAATGCGGCAGCTATAAATTCTATTTGGTTTTGACTTTGCAACTGCATGTGGTACTATCGAGAAAAATTTTGTGACAACTTAAGGCACTTACCAACCGCTTGTGTTTTACGGACTGTCAGGGAAAGAAGCACCAGGGAAACTAAAGCGAGTGTCATAGCATTCTTTAACCAGAGTAGCACGTCGATTGTAAAATTTACCAATTCCTTCCTTAGGAAGAAATTTTTGTCCAGTAATCAAGTTAATGCGGCGTTCAAAATTCCTCTGTTCCTCCAGTTATTTTTCACTGAGGCGTTAATCTCCTATCATGCAATAATGGCCACATCATACGTGTAAAGAATTCTTTCAACAACCCTCTCGCTTCTCGTGTCTGAAGTCAGCTCCATGGCAAATTCAGTTCCTGACTTAAAATTCGTGCGATGTTTGACAGGGGAAAATATGCGAAAGCTCAACTGATGTAAGTCAACATTTACGATTCAAAAGATCATGAGTTGTTCTTTTTGTTAGCCTGAGCTGTAGCTCATTAAAATTCTCTGACTGTCTTTTGATACTGCTTATGATTTATGCATAACTGTTTTTGGAAGACGCTGCGGAGAGCGGGTAGTAGGCTAATTTGAAAACAAAACAGAACCAGTTATAGCAAGTGTTTTATTCTCTGACATGAATCCACCGGCAACGTTACTTTACTTTGGCGGGAAACAACTTAACCCAATTAGACACGCGGTGTATTCCAGAACTACTTCATCTTTTAAAGCCTGATTCATATAAGTGTCGACAATTAAAAAGGCTTAGAGTTTAGTTTTTAATCATTCTCCCGGTGTATACATCTGAGTTATCTATTTTATTTTTAACTTCTTTTCAACTGGTTTTAAATGCTTCGATGGTTTTCTCCTGAAACAGATTTCAAACTCACAAACAATTTACTGGAAGTTAACCCGATTGTTTTAGTAAAGTTTTGTACTTGAGTGATTTCAATTGTAAATTTGAGTTTTGTGTAATAAGCAGGGATGGTCTCATGAAACAAAACAAAGATGTATAATCGCTCAGATTGTCGACTTTCCTCAGATACTATCTGATCATACTTGCTAGTACACTCCGTACAATATCACAGCCCCTTTCGACGACCTATTTAATGAGCACTAGACCTTTAAACCATTAGGTACATGTTGCTATATTGATGCAGGACACTAAGTTTGAATGCAAAAAGGGTTTAGACTTCCAAATTTACTTCACGGGTATTAGCACACATTTGCAAACGAATAACCTCAAACCTCCTTTTGTCAATTTCGGTTATGCTTTGTGCAGTAGTGTAATGTCTTTTTCGGGAACTGGTCAGCGGTCATGGGTTCAAATCGCGACAGGCCTGACCTTTTTTAAGGCCTTATTTTCACTACTCTGTAATGTTTATTGCTGCGAAGATCGCTTTCATATTCAAACTTAATGTTTCTTCGATAAACTAAACATGATTCAGTTTTAAAACAATGACCAAGATTTAGAAAGTGTATGTGTGCAAACCTTTTTTTCGTTCCATGGTGAGATAGGGAGAACGTGTTACGATATCCGAAGATATCCCAAAGGTAGGTACATTAAAGAAAACTCAACTTTTAATGCATTTCGTGGTAGAACGTTTCGTTTATGATATTTTCAACTTCCATCACGGTTGTAGCAGGTTTTTCTTGATGTACAATCCCGCCTGTATTCCCCTTTTTCCCCCGTTTTTAACGTATAATCCTCAGAAATAAACATTCAGGGTAAGAGTCGCAGAACATGCTAAAAGTCAAACCTATCAGTATCCACTGCCAACAACAACAAGGCGTGTGCTCCGTCATCAGACAAGACGCTCAGGTCACACTTGGTGCGATTTAAAGATCCTATCGAGTTAGCGACAAGGGAAGGCGTTTTTTTTTTTTTATGAGATCCATTGTGAATATGGTAAAGTGTACATCGGAGTAACATGAAGGGCAGTGTTTGAGAGAATTTAAAGAAAATAAAAGAGACATATATGGCTTGCTCGCACTCAGAACTAAACACATCAATGAAACAGGACATGTTCCTGTTTGGAACCAGGTTAGGTTTATTGACCATGAGCCTCACTGGTACACGTAGGGTTAAAGAAACCATCCAAAAAAGACTTCATACTGATAACATTGACAGAGACAATGAAACCAAAACTCCCGAAGCATGAAATGCCTACTAATAAAAAGGCACAACGGCTGATCGCTAACAAAGCAGTCGGAATAGAGCAATTTTCGATTGAGTGTCGATGGTATAATTCAAGACTGCTTTGGATCTATTTAACGTTTTCCTGCGCTTTAGGCTGTTTGCTTGGGTTTACTTTGAGTCCAAATTAGCGTCTTCTCATCTTTTCATTTGCTCTAACTGGCTCTTATGTTTACTTTGATTTTGGTATAAAACGCGTTCTAACAACATGAATAATGGGGATCAAAATCCACTAAAGACAGGGCGCAAAAACACTCTTTTATTAATGAACTAAGGTGCTGAAAATTAAAGGCGAGACGTAAACTTTCGACCACGTCCATTTATCCAGATAAACCACGATGAACAACAACATTTTCTGTCCTGGCTGCGCTTGCAGATCTATTCCTGAACAGACGCGCGGCAACAATGAATCTCGTTGTTCACGCTTATGACGTAAGCAAACAAATGCCTGTAGATTTAATTTTTCTCCGCGATTGACAGCAAAGTTCCTGTCCAGCTTGGCCACGCTTTTTGAGATTTACGAGATGGTTTTTCCGTTCTATCCAGATTTATATGATAAATTGAATGATACAAACATTCTGATCGGTTCTTTTTAAACAAGTTGAATGATACAAGCATTCTGATTGGTTCTTTTAAAATTATGATCTATTGAAGGACAGACGCATAAATGTCAGCATTAACATCATTATGCCTTTTTGTCTTATAAAACAAATGTTTCCCATGTTAACACGGGTCTGTACTGTAATAGGTCCCAGAAAACGTCAAATTGTGGTAATAACATCAATGAGTCACTCAGCTGGGTCTCGTGCGCCACTTTTTTGTTCTTACCACATTTTGATGTCATCTGTGATTTTTTTCTGAACAGACGGCAACACGGAATCTACTTTTGAATAAATGAGATGGAGCTTAGGGAGACCAAAATGAAAGGTAAATGTACGGAATGATACTGGATTTGGAAAGCAATGGGCATGCGGGGTGGTTATTGCGCGTTGTGATTCGAGTCGCAACTTATGTTTTCAGTGTCTAGCCTTAAATAATTCGTGTCCCGTTTGGGAATCGTTGTTCACTCGAAAACTGAAGTTGTGACTAGAGTGGAGTTTTCCACTTCCGGACCATTCTTTTGCCCGGTAAAAATTTTTTTTAAGTGTTGATATGTTCTTGAAGTATTGTGCAACAGAAGATTTTGACTTAAATCTGACTTTTAGAAGTGTTAAACAAAACTACGGAGCGTAGTTTTCTGAAGTCCAAACAATGATTCAAGCAGAGTGATTAATGCACGCTGTCCTTCTCAAAGGTTCTACATTGTGACAAAACAACATCCAGACAATTGTGTTGACAATGTTATAAAAACATGGGCATACTACGCATGCGGGAGTTATAATTTTTAGATGGGTGTGTTGAGATGAGACACCGAGAAAGTAACTCGGTGATGTCTGCATTTTTGTAAAAGAAACAGAGCTAAAGATTCCAACGAAATTATCATTTAATTGGAAAGAAAAACAAAAAATACAAAAAAGAAAACCTTCCAATTTATCTTGAATAGAATCAGACACAGGTGTTTGTAGTCTATTGTCACTGGTGTCTGGTGGCAGTTTCAAAGAAAAGTAAATGCTGTGGTGCCACATTTACTGTAGTCTCCTCCACGTTCCACAGCCGTTGTTTGGTCTCGTCACGCCACAGGCAGCCCAAGCTCCAGCTGTGAGATAATCATTTTGCGAAAGAAGAGTAATGGCGAAAATAGAAGAGTTTGTACGGGAATATATACGACCGCTCTTAGGAAGTAACAATACAGTTAAATTCTTATTAAAAATACCTCACCTTACTTTCATTGTGCATCGCTTGCTGTCTGGCCGCTTACTATGTTGAAAAGAAGCCAATTTAGCGAGTTGTCAATTTCTAGGTTTACTACTCCTCCTAGGAATAATACACCTAAAAATAACTCGCTAATATGGCCTCGTTGCAACAAAGTAGGCGAACACAAAACAAGCAACGCACTGTGAAAGAAAGGTGAGGGATTTTTATTTAGAATTTGGCTGTAATTTTTTATTCCATAAGAGCAGTCGCAAATATTCCCACACAAACTCTTATATTTTCGCCATGACTGTTGTTACGCAAGATGATCATCTTACAGCCGGAGCTTACGTTGCCTGAGGTCACTTATCACATTCTCTCCCCACGCTGTATGACGAGATCAAACAACAGCTGCGAAGGAGGTCACGAGCAGGCCCAAATTATTAGCATTTGGTCACGAGCGTTTCTTCCTCTGCAGGAAAGTATGGGGCCTTTAGCTACACGAGCTGTCCATTAACAAAACGGTGGAAAGACCTGACGAGTAAAAACAAGAATATCTCCATTAACAAAGAAATTATTTACTTTTAGAGGCAAACATTTCGTTTGACGCCTTTTACCCGAACTTCCACAGACAACAGCTCCCAGCTCAGTAAGGTCCCACGGCCACTGTTCCTTTCACTGTTTCCCTCTAATTTTGATACCCTGCCACTACTTGCGTGTTCTTCTCTTAAATTTCTGCAATTAGTCAATTCATTTACGTTTGCCAGCAGAAATTTGGGACTAAATGATCGTGACTTTGTCAGAGAGTCGTGAGGCTCTGGGATCGAGAATGGTCCCACCCCCTTCTTTAAAGACACTTCCCTGCCATCCTCCCGCCCCTTGCCTATCCTCTCACACTTACGTAATGTTGTCTAATTTTGCGAATGGGAAAATATTTCACTTCGATCTCTAAATTCCCAGGCAACATCGAAAAGAAATGAAAGACAGTAACGTTTCGATTTTGCAGCAAGGCAGATCATGCAGAGATTTTTTAAGTAAATCGAAGGCAATCTCGTTCTAATGATCACATTCTAAACAATTTAATTCTTCTAGCGTGCATTTGTGAACGCATGACTCTCGCGAGAACACTGTGATGCGTATTTTCCCTTTGCTCTGTGGACCTCCATGCATTTTGCACGTGCATGTGAATATTGACCAATCAGCGACCTCAATGGTGATCAGATGTGACAGCTGTGAAAACGAGGCTGGATTGTAATTTCACATACAACATATAATTTTAAATTTCAAAATCGCTCTCTCTGAAGATACACTTGAAGAACCAGAACCCCCAGGCTCTCTTAATTAAAAACGCTCCGATCGAGTAAAAATCTTTCAATGGCTTCCACAGATAAGCGAGTTCTGAACTTTTCTGCCGGTCCTGCTAAACTACCCGAAGAAGTAAGTGCAACGATCTTCAACTTCACTCTAATTTCTTATTTTATTTCACTTGTGATCCGGGCGAAGTTAGTTTTGTCCCTTCGCACTGCGTTGCATAACTATCCTTTCTTGCCTTGTGTATGGATTTCTTGTAAAATCAAGGTTCTTAAATACCCTCTATACAATTCATTGTAAAAGTGAGAGCTTTGATGTGCTCAGACATTTAACGGCGCTCGTGATCAGTTAAAACTATCACTATTTCTTCGTCTTGTTAACAAGAATTTAGCGCTGACCACGACTTGATCTTTATCTCCTTAGTAATCTTGTTGTATCTAGGCGAAAGTCACGATGAATCGGCCCAAAATATAACGAAATGAATGGTAAACATAAGTGAAAGTACTTAGCTAACGCGGACGTTAGGGCAAACTTCAAAATCCGCGAACTGAACGAAATTGGCGCGTTTCCCTAATATGGGGAGCAAGGTGAATGCGTTTCCCTAATATGGGAGAAGAGCAGAACATCGAAGGGAGATTCCTTGGGTTGAGGTTATGAGACACTTCTAGTTCAAGACGGTGCCTGCCTTCAATTATTATGTGTGACTTGCAGGCGGAATTGACGGGTCGTGAGAGCTTTTCTTTGCCCAGATTGGTTCTAGGTTTGCGCCATCTTCCCAAAATCGACCACGCAAATCATTGAAGAAATATAAATTCACAGGATGGCCTTGGCGTGCAATTTTCATCAATTACATTTGCTTTAGGAAGTATGTCCTCGAAATGACAGGGAAGCGTCGAGTGTTTTTACATGAAAAATTACTAATTTTTGGAATATGGAAGAAAATTTGGCTGATGCAATACTTCAGCAATTTAATATTCATTTTGCTGTCATTCAAAGAGTGTTTCGTAACCTTTGAATTTGATATCAACATGTCTATAATGTATGTCACAAGGGCTCTTTTGTATTTATACTGAACCTAGACTTGCATTCATGGCTAACAGAAATTACTTGAAATTATCCTGAACTTCAACTCATTTCCATCGCATTTATCTATGACATTTTAAAGCTTTCTTCTGTCACTTGTAGATCATACATGTAGTTCCACAAAAGGAAGATGAAAATGAGCTGGGCTTGTTCTTTTTGAATAATTAAATATCATTGATAGTAACTCAGAAAAGCAGAATAATGTTTATTCTAGAAGTAGCATTGATGGATCCAAAACAATATTCTTTCTCTTCTATACTTCTAAAACATTACAAATAAAGTTACACACGAGCATATTGCATAACAAGCAACATACCAGTCCTCAGCTATTTTCCCTAATCTTTCAAGCTACTCTTTGTAGATTCACCCTTAGATTGCTAGCATGGGTGGTTTGAATTCTAGATGGATTAAAAACGATTTTCAGTTTATTAAGATGGGGTGTATATGTCATGTTTCTTTAAACAGGAAACTTAACTCGTTCTGGTAATGCCCCTCTGCTTAGGAGTAAACTGGGTGCAGACTATCTGGAGAAGTTTGAAATTCTCACATTGGGGGGGAAGATAGCTCTCCTTTGGAAACAAAGAGGAACTATGGCAGATTATTGACCTCTTGTCTTATATGTAGATTCAACCACATTGTGTATTGATGTGATGAGTGTCTTTAATGTGAATTTTACATGGTATGCACTCTGGTTTTCTAGGTTATGTATAGTTAATTTTTTGGCTATAAATTTTTTTTTGCTAGGTTTTGAGTCAAGCTCAGAAGGAATTGCTGAATTATGACAACCTTGGAATTAGTGTGATGGGTATGTTTACTCACTTTCTGGACTTTGCTTTATTTTTCATTTTCTTTTCGCACTTCTTAAAGGTTTGAATATTTAGGTATGTGTTTGTTAAAGCTGTCGTTAGGCACATCTTTCCATCATAAGTTGTTTTCAAAATTTTGAACCGAAGACATTTTATAATGCTTTGAACATTGTATATCCCACCTCACAGAAATGAGCCACAGATCTGCTCACTTTGCTAAGATTGTCAATGAAGCTGAAAGTGATCTCAGGGAACTGCTGTAAGTTTATTTGTCTAATAATCTCTTGTTAGTTTTAATATTATTCTAGAATGAAAAAACAATATCAAGAGTGTTCTTATTACAGTTATATTCAGCATTGTTTTGAGGTTGAAACTCATTTACTTGCAGTAACATACCAGACAATTACAAGGTCCTTTTTCTTCAAGGAGGTGGCACTGGGCAGTTTTCTGCAGTTCCTCTTAATTTAACCAAAGGTACAGTGTAAAGACAGTATTTATGATGTAAAATAGCTATCATGTAGCTTATCGTTGCAGGACTGTCAAATAAGAGATTTAAAGTAGGGAACAAATGAGAAATACATGTAGTACATGTGAGTTGTGAAATTATTGTGGCCACCATGTTGATTTATCACATTACACACAAGATTAGGGACTATCTTGATTAAATGTCTTAGTCATTCTGTAGACAAAAAATAATTTTTTTCAATCATTAGAGTTATTATTTTAGTCAGAAAGAACTGTTTGGTTTCTTTGCAGAGGGAGCATCTGCTGATTATATTATTACTGGGGCTTGGTCAGCTAAAGCCGCAAAAGAAGTAAGTTTGTTGTCTAGATAAAAAAGTATATACATTTCTGAACATTAACAGTCTTGTTCAAAGTAGGATAATCAATCTTGTAAATTACTGTGAATTCATGTTATTTAAATGTGAGTCTGTAGCTAAAGGCAAGGTGAGATTAATTCCTTCATATATGGCTTTGTATCTAGCCATTCATTTGTGCACTGTGGGCCTTAAAATGTGATTTTTTTTCTGAGAAGTGGCCATGAAGTTTTGTATTAAAGTCACTGTGGTTTTTTTTCTTGTAGGCAGAAAAATATCTCGAAGTAAACCCGGTTTTCAAGAAGTTGGACAAATATGACAGTGAGTATTATCTGAGTCATTTGAATCCCCTCAGACAAACAAGCATTGTTTAATCAGTTTTTAAAAAAAGAAAATTCAGGATTCTGCTATAGATGTTAAGAGAGGTGTAAAAATGACACCTCTACCTGGAAGTGACTCTCTCTGTTTAAAATTAGCTTTCTGGGTGACCTTTTCAACTATAAAAATGGTATAATGCCTGATTTAATAATTTTGTTTCATTGAAGGAATTCCCTCACAGGAAGAATGGAATTTAAATCCAAATGCATCATATGTCTATTACTGTGCCAATGAAACAATTCATGGTAAGTCCTCATCCTTATTTTGTCTCTTCCCCCTCCTTTTCTTTCCCCCCCCCCCCTCAAAAAAAAAAAGCAATTGAAAATGAATAGTACTGAATCAAATACTGGATTCTGAGTCAAATCATAAAAAAAGACATTTGTTGCAGTACATGTAGTAATATTTGAGATATCTTCATTGGGAACTCTTCTTACCAAAATGTAAAATTGTTTTAATGCAGGAGTGGAATTTGACTTTGTCCCAGAGACGAATGGGGTACCGCTTGTATGTGACATGTCTTCAAACATCTTGTCCAGACCTGTTGACATCAGTAAGGTAAGCTACACAAAGAACTTTTTTTATGGACACTAGGAATATACAGGAAAAAAGTCAAATAAGTAGTGATAAAATTATAATTATTAGTTTTACATCTTGAATTATTCTAATTTCTCCGTACAGTTTCATCCCTGAATCACGTATAAAGCTCACAAGAATAAAGTAAATGACCACTGACCAAAGAAACTCTTGATTGTTGCATAAATTCTCCTGTCAGTACCTTAGGAAATGTATAGAGAAAAGTGCAGAGAATTTTCATACTGATTTTAGGGTGTAAAAGGTTAAATAAAGGTTTTTTTTTTTTTTGGCCCTAGTTTGGACTCATCTATGGTGGAGCTCAAAAGAATATTGGTTGTGCAGGAGTTACTGTTGTTATTGGTAAGCTTATTGTGAAAGACATTGGTGATTTCATTAAACGATGGTGTATGTTAAAAATTGATTTTTATTTTTTTCTTTTAAATTTCAGTGAGAGAAGACCTGATTGGTTCTCCCCGGCGAGAATGCCCAGTTGTTTTTGATTACAAGGTAATTAATTAAGTTACTTAATAGGCTCTTATTAGAGAGCTAATTTATGACTTGGGCATCCAAAACAAAGCTTCCTAATTGATATTTTCATTGATTTAGTATTCCTAATGGCAACTTAATATCTACCTACCGGTAGGTGTTTTTGGCACCCCTAAACCACCAACTGTCTGGGTTTTACTTATAATTTTTCCACTTTACTAGAATTTGAAAGTAGTAATGTTGATTTCTTTCTTGGCAGATCCAGGCCGGTATGAATTCATTGTACAACACACCTCCAACATACAGTATTTATATCATGGGTCTGGTTTTCAAGTGGCTTAAGAGGATTGGTGGAATTCAAGGTACACAAAAATTTAATTTACCAATATTATTCATCAGCTGCCTTAGGCTGTAGATAATGAAATTCAGATTAATAGTTATTCCAAGATGAAGGAAAGACAGGAATTCAGTTTGTGTTGTTACAAATGGTGTCACTATATCAAGTGACTAGGTCAGGTAAATTTGCTCTTATGTCATCAATTACACAGAAATTTGACGTTATAATGTATCTGTTTTTTTTCTATGCTTCTGGTGATAATCAGTTTATGATTTTTTTTTGCTTTTCTGAATTTTTTTTTCTTTTGGCCAATGTTGAACTGCAAACTACATGTTGTATCATGACAATCAAACATATATATGTATATGTAAGTGTGTATATATATATATATAATGTATTCATTTTCTTCAAAATTTTTTTCACAGAAATCAACAGAATAAATCAATTGAAATCAGATCATGTGTATGAGCTCATTGATGCATCAAATGGTTTCTACTGGTAAGATCACCTGTTTTTCATTTGTGTTTTAAAATGCAGATTCATAGTTTGATTGTATGGGTGTAGATTGATGTTTTATAGCAGCATGACTGAGCAGAGAATTTTGTGAACAAACACCTTTGATGAGAATCAGCCAGAACTGCCAGGGAAAATTAAAAGTGAACAAATTTTCAAGTTAAGTGCAGCCATATACTTTGACCCTTTGAGAGAGTAAATTTTGGATATCAAAGCAAAGGCTTCAGCATCAAAAAAGGTCCTTGCTCCCTTTAGAAGACTGAAAGGCTGCCCCTGAGTTGTGTAGAGGAGAGACTAGGCATTGGCTCTGTTTCCCAAGTAGCCCGAATAACAAAATAACATTTATAAGCCACATCAAAGTACACAACAGGAGATCTCATTCTTTTGATGTGATATTATAGTGGTACCGTGGAGAAGAAGAGCCGCTCCAGAATGAATGCTCCTTTCAGAATTGCTGGTCTAGGAGGAGACCAGGAACTGGAAAAGAAGTTTATCGAAGAAGCCGCTGCCAAAGGCATGATCCAGCTCAAAGGACATAGGTTAGTTATCTTCAGGAAACAAATGAATGTCGGTACTTCTTGGTGTGTGTGTGTGCATGTGTTTGTTTTTTTTTTTTCCTTCAATGTTGGCAGAGGAGTACCACACTAGAATCTGAATGAGAGAAACTACCTTTACCCTGGGGATCATGGCTTTTTGCCATGTGAAGTGAATGTGTTGTGTTCTAAGGAGAACTAGGTCGCATAAGAGTATATGTGGAAAGGGATTGTAGCAAATTGTTGGGCAAATGTAACTAAGTGATGCAGAGTACCTTGTATTTTAAGAAAGTCAGTGAATTTCGTACAAGATGTTGTTATAGATATGAAAGAAAACCATGGGTGCCAATTTATCTCCATGAATCTGCAAATAATGCAGTTAAATTACCCACACCCTTCTGTAGACATTCATCATTTTGGTTCCTTAGTGAAGAAAAAAATATTAAATTTTTGCTGTTACACTATTAGTGTTGCTGAATTCCCCTCACTAGTCTCAGTATGTTGGTGGACCAATAATTTGATGGGGACTGGGTAGGGAGCAGTTACTGGTGATGAAAACTTCAAGGGGTGAGAGGAGGGAACTTGTCATTCCTACTGAAATAGATAGATGGTAATTTAGGCCTCTATTGTGTGACATTTCAGGTCTGTTGGAGGCATAAGGGTATCTATGTACAATGCTGTAAAACTTGACGATATAAAAACGCTAGTGGACTTCATGACCGACTTCAGACAACGATATGAAAAGCAGTGATACTTCAAACTAAGTTTTGGACCCTTAGTTATTGACCTTATCTAGCAGTGCATCACGATATACCTCGAGCATCTCTGAAGACTTGCAAACCCTGAAACTCTAATGAATCTTAATTTATTGAGAGGTATATGCAAATTTATTCTAGCTTGAAATCTAAGAATTTGAAAATTGTGGTATTGACCTACTGGTTACATCTTGAAATGGGAACTCGCTGTTCGGATTGATTCAATAGATGATTTCTCAAGCAGACTGGTGTGACCTCAAGTGAGGCCAAAGCGTTTCAAACTGCTCCTTTGGTGTGGCGATGCTTGACTGATTCTTTCACATACTAGCTGGAAGAGTTTCCATGACTATGTCATTTTGAAAATACAAACTTTCTTCCCTCATAAAACAGTGTTAAGGAGGTATGGTTTTGGCCATGGCTGGAATTCAACTAACGTAACGTCCTCAGTGAAAAAAAAGTGAATATTTCTGGCTAATTCAGGCGGAATGTGACTTTATTTTTACATGTAATATGTAAGTAAAAATGACTCGTTCGGCATCTATGAATACAGTTAAATATACATGAACTATTACAATAAGCAGTGAATTGAATAAAGGTTTTGAGGGGTGGGTTTTAAAATGGTTGTTGTGTGATCGTCTGTTTATACTTTGATCCTTTCCTGCAAGTCTCATGAATTCTTCAATAAACGTACCCCCCTCCCTTCTCCCTAACAGCTTTAAGAGAAACTAGTTCCCTACACCCTCTCGACCCACCGGGAGGAATGTTAATCGATTTTGATATGAGACGAAAACCGAAATCTTGGCCCCCAACTCGCTCTGCGCCGCTTATGATGAAAGGCCCTTGGACTTACCTGGAAATCATCCGGCGGGGACTAGGTCACGCTGTGAGCTTATGCACAGACTTCTTGTAGTCGTCTACGTATAGTTATCATCGCTATTATCTCCTACGGTACTTGGCAAGAAGCAGAGCGCAGAGTGGTCGAAGCCAACAACCACAAGGTATTTTGGTTACGTACTATTGAGAATGATACAAGGTAAGTACAATTCATAGTTCGCCCAAAGTGAATTCCTGTGAATTTCGCTCAGCCGACGAACAGACCCTCGTCAAATAGCGCTGCAGGTCGCCAGTCTCTACGCCCGCGGTTAGATTTGAGACGAGTCGGGGAGAGGTAAGCTGGGGATCTGGTTCTAGAGTTGGATTTGGTTGTCAGACCATTAGCAGATCTTTAGTCTGCACTGACAGGTGTAATGTTTTCCTTTTGCGGGCGAACTAAGGCAAGCGCTTGGCGTGACTAGCACTTCGCGCCGCCTCGCGCTCAGTCCGTCTTAGTTTCTTCTAAATAAGCAAAAAAAATACTCGTATTCGCACTGACAAGGCTTTAAACTCAATCGCAGCCAAAGAAAGGTGTATACCAAAGCCCTAAGGATAATAAGGGCATGCGGTAACGATAATGGACTAGACTGGCTACCGCTTTTTTGCACTTTGGCTCAACGTCCAGAAAATTATCAAACCCTCTCTGGGATGCATTGTTTCGCGCTACAGTTCTATGTGTCGTATTCAGTTAATGAGCGTTATTTTTGTAACAACACCTCGTTCTTCTTTGTTTTAAGAAGCTGGCTAATTGTCATAGAAACCAGGAATTTATATGGACAACAGCGCAGGTCAGGTCTTTGATAGTTTTCCCTTAACTAAGGAAATATAGTCTGCTGACTTGACGTAAGACGCAAGACAGCGATCAATAATAGTCTTAGAACTCAATCATTGCTTTTATTAGTTAAGATGAAACGAAAATCATGTTTGGCTCCAGCGCCTAAACGACAACAATGCCATGTTCCTTTGGGAAATCAAAAAACAATAAGTTCCCCAATGCTGTATTAATACACTATTCTTAAGCTTTTGGACGTAAAGCCCTTTATTTAAGTTCTCTATGCTAAATTAAATGTCATTGTTATCTTAGAATACACATCAGAATATTACTAAAGCTCCGTGATATGTGTTGATCAATTTCAAGTCTTGGAAGGTCCTTATATTCACTGATCATTCTACACAAGTCACAGAGAAGTTGAAGCATTCTGCGCGAAAATGAACAAACTCAAGGAAAACAAACTCTCCATCACCATGAAAGAAGCGCTTGCGCGAAACTCCCTTGCTGAGAACAAAATGAAGGCGAGTGTAAACGCCATCAGCACTGACAGTAAAAAAAGTCTGCAAAATTTGGAGTTTTATAAACAGAAGTACGAAAAACGGCAGAGAGAGCTGCAAAACGAAAAACAACGAATGTTGCATTGGGGATCCGGCGATGAAAGAAAAATTTCAGCTCCAGCGTGCATGGTAACAGTTGTTGATGTATCAACTGGTGAATTGATAACCGATTCTCAAAGAGTATCGAGCGCAACTTCCAGAGAGCGATCTTTGTCGATGAGTGCTAAATTACCTTCTCTATTGGGAGACGTAATTGGCAGGACGTCACCAGATCTAGTGGGTAACACCAAGCAAGGCGGACTTACACTTCCAGTAATTGGCCCCCAACGAAGATATTCAGCGACAATCTTGACTGGCACACCATCTTCTGGTTTGATTGTTCCAACCATGCAGGCAAATGACGGACAAACCAGATCGGCGCCGAGCTCGCCATGTGCAATTCGTAGAAAGCTAGCTCGACCTTCATCTGCAAAAAACAGCATTTTAAAAACTCCTCCATCGAGGGAGTTGGATGGAATACTCTCTCTTCTGGATAAAGTGCGCGAAAAACAGGTACCGGATTTGGAAGAAGCCATGGCCTTATTAAGAGAGCAGCGCTGGTTAGAACAAAAAAGATCGGCAGAGGAGACCGCAGAAAAGGAGGAAAAACTCGTCAAGAAATCTGGTGCAAGTCCCGATGAGGCCCCGGACGATCCTAGTAGTAGAAAGATCTCTATTCCTGGAGCTGCATTAACTTCAACACCTGTTGTCTCTGAACAACCGGCTAAGAATAGCAGTGATGTGACAACGTTGGAAGAAAGTTTTCACAAAGTTAAATTTTGCAAATATCTTCGAACACCATCTCTGCCTGACGAGGAAGAAAAACTACCTGATGAACTGATACCAAAAAACTTAATAGTGGGGCACACACAGTGGTTACCAGGAGACTCTAGAGCCACCCATCGCAACTGAACCGCTGAGGTTTCATACGTTTAATGTTCTATAAAGACTGATTATGAAGGTGCCGATTATTAAGACGCCAGTGCGAGACTGAGTTGTGAGGCTGAGTTTGAGGTGTCATGATTAGATTTCAAATTTTCCATACGTTAAAACTTAGTACAGATGAGTTCGAGGAAGAAGATGAATCTTGTAAAAGTTTCCTATTGCTTTCGTGAGCATCCTTTTCAATTTTTAAGCATTGCTAAACGGATGCCATCAATACGCGTGTGATTTATATTTTTGATTTGATCGAATACTCGGCAAGAATATGAAGAGTGAGAGTAATATACTTCAAAACATACTAAGCACGACACCAGGGACTGAGAGCTACAACACTGTTACATTGTTACCCTTATAATTTGCTATGACGATTTACATAATTGAATGTTACTGCATCTTTGAACCAACTCTAAGTCTGCTCTTGAAACATTGCATGAGAGTTTCAAGGAAATTCTGCATTACAGTTCACTGTTGGATAGTGATTCACGATGGTTGTGTCTATTAAGACTGTATGTAAAAAGAATGACATGTAAATATTGCGCATGATGCAACTTGTACTTGCTATATCAGAGATAAAAGGGCTTTAGGAAATGTTGTGCACACTGACCTTGCCTTCGATTTTACACGCAGCACATCCCCACATTTGTCTAAACATGAGGTATTAGTCGCAGTGTTCGGTGTTAAAATAGATCCATCGTACTCGAAGGTTATGCTTGGTAAACATTAGTCACCACATCGCCTTCATCGTTTGTTTCTTATTTTGCCTTCTTTTAACAAGCACCATGCATCCAGCGCTCTAGGGACAAGAATGGATATGCGTGCTTGTGATGTTTTTAATTTACCATCTTACAGAATGCTGATCACACAGATGAACCTACTCTTAGCCTGTGAACAAAGAAAGTAAGTTTCCTGTAGAAACTGTGGTGCTGCGTCGGTGGGGGAGCTGAGTATAACAAGATCATTTGGTTTTATCAATGTAGTCGATTATGTAAATTGGCTACCGTAAAGACAGTTCACCTTTTACGTTAGCTAATTTGCATTATCAATTATGTTCATAACACCAAATGATCTAAAATAGAAGTAATTTTAGTTTTATCCGGCCTGCGTTGACAATGTAAATTGGCCACCTAGGAGTTTGTAAAGCTAACGTTTCCAAAGTTAGCCTTCGTCTCTCGATCGAAACATTGACCAATTACATTTTCAAATCAGTTGATAAAACTAAATCTGCTGTCAATTCAACAATGTTTCACGCCTAGGTCAGGGTCAGTTGGAATGGGACCACGCAATTCGAATTCTTCTAAAGTCTCAGATTTTTCCGACCTTTGAGACCATTGAAACACATCCATCTTGAAGAATATATGGCCATGTCAGGATCCTATATCTCTGATAATACATGTTCTCCAGAGTCTTTTTTCCTATTGGTCACGCGGTCGGAGATGTCACGTGCATACGAATGGCCCTGGGAACGTGTAAGAGGATAGGGGAATAAGTACCAGTTCTGATGTCTTTCCAAGCCGACCCCAAGTCTCCAGTGAAGCGATTCCCTTAATTGTCTGAAAGGACCGCGGCTTATACATAACTTTTCGTTTATATGACGTTATGAGGGAAACGAAAATATATCTCTAGCATGGAGAGGTACACAGCGGTTCGAGTTTCAGTTTCGGTATGTCAGTGTGACCTAAGCAAATAAGGCGTTCGCTGTGTCAGCCTTTTGTCCGGTCGTGTACACCGATTACCTACGTGTAGTCGCCGCATTTTATCATAAACTGCTAACTGAGGCAAGGACAAGGTTAATCATGCAGCTTTACAGTACTTTGTGTTAAGACTGAGTATAATGTTTAATCCAATAAGAACAATTTTAGTTATAAACAAAGCATGAAAGTGGCGCCTCATCTCTTAATTAATTGAACTGCTGCATGAAAACACAATTAAGTTAGTAGGTTAGGGAATTTAGAAAGAGTTTTCTTATCTTCTCCACAACAAAGTGCCCTTTGCGTTAAAAAATAAATAGAGGATACAAAGCAACCACTCTTTCAAATAGTTTATTTTTTATGGATTTAAGGTCAGTAGTTTTACAATAGATTTGTACCCAACATGGTAAACTTTAATCTCATTCCAAGGTATTGTGTTCGCTGGAATAACTCCCCGCCCCAGAGCCACTTAATCAATAAACCTATTTTAAAACGTTTTGTACTTTGCTTCCTGTTGTTCCCCAATATTTGCTTAGTTCACCTTGCTCAACTGATAAACCAATGGAAGATACAGGTGCTATAAATTTAATAAGTGCTTACAGCCACAAGTAGTTTTGTTCTTTTTACCTTTGTTTAACTTTTTGAATTTTTACATTTTGTAACGCAACAACATTTTCTTGGACTCCCGCTGAGACATAACAAGCTACTGCGACAAAAGAATACCTCACTCTGTTCTCGTCAAACCTATTTAAAGCTATTTTTCATCGGCATCAATATTTGTTTCTGATTACGCAACATTATTTACGAAACAAAACATGGCGTAAACTTTGCCGATCTTGAACAACATATAGATCACTGTTTCAAAAACGTGACTTGTTTTGTATCAGCCCTCTATCCAAGATTTTGCCCTTAAATCAGGGAAGGTTAAGAAAGTATTTCGATCTTGCGAATCTTTCCGCAAAGGTGCTGCCGCAGTATGTAGATAGTCACGCTTTACCGAAAGTCTGTTATACTCATTACTATCTTTTCTTTGCGGATATTGGGAAGCAGGCCTTTGATTTGCGTCGGTAACTAGCTCAACTTGGAGACCACTATCAGCTGTAACTGCTGCGTCTTCGATAGGGCTCCGTTGTCCTTTTAACTCCACGATTTCTCGCAATCCTTCATTTCTGTTATGAGACGGTCTTGTTCTCACAGGTTCGCTCCCACATGGAACAATATTCAAGCTCTGAGCTCGAACTCTTCCGAAAATGCTATTGGCAGATTCATCTTGGATCACTCTCGGTGTAAAGAACTTATCTGCTGTGTTTACCCTTCCTTGATCACCTTTTGCAACACAGTTAAGGCTCTGTGTCCTTCGTCTTGCCGGGACATTAGCCTCCAAGTTTCCATTCACATTATATCTGCTGAAATAGGTGTTTTTAATTCGCCGCTTTCTGTTGTCATTATAAAGAGTAACGTTATTTAAGGCATACTTTGTTAGCAGTCTTTGTTTTTCTTCTGCTTCGTCCACTTTCATTACAGTTGGAGCTGCTGTATTGGAAATCTTTCGGTGAAAAATTAGATCTCTTCCAAGGGGAGTTTCTCCCAGAACGCTCGCTTTTGGCTTGGTGTTCGATATCTTTCGCTGTCTCCCAGTTGAGGATTTTGAAACCACTGAATGCTTCTCGTTCGTGTCGGTGGTTTTCACCCCACGAGCGCAAGGTGACCCGTTTGAAGATACTTTTCTTTGAGGGGACGTTGATTTACCGTCTCTGTCCTCTGCTACCTCCTCCATTGCTGTTACATGAATCATTGGAAGATGCGATGGAATAAACATCGCCGAGCTTTTCTTCTTCGAGACATATGGCGATGCGGGACTCTTTTTGTAAGTAGAAATTTTTCTCGGTGCATGATCTTGTGTCTTTCCGCTGAGTGCGGCCATAAAATGCGGCGAACTCCTCGCCACAAACGTCGAGGGAACAATTGGCAAAGTTTTCAAGCCAGTTGCTCCAGAATACTTTCGCATTTTCTTCATTTGTTATCCAGGTAAACTCTGCCGCGAAAGCCAAACTAAATTTCTTGAAATTGTTCTTTCACTCCAATAACACTTCAGTCACGTTAGGTACGTAACAACGTGCGCAGCTGGAAGAGCCATTCCATGTCATAACCCCTTGTCGGTCGCCCTAACTGAAGGATGATATCTGTACAATTTCAAGCTGCAAGTAAAATTGCACAAGTAGACATAAGTTGATTAACGATTAGGTTCGGGTCATCACGTATACTTTTGTTTCTCTGGAAACCGTAAAGTACAATGAAAAATCTCCTGAGAATTGCTCAGTTTTCATTTGATATTTGCGTTGACTTTGCGCGGACGCCAAAAGCTTTCGATTTTGAACGCTATTTCTTGCACGTAATCTTACAAAGCAGCGAATCACAGCAATTTTTCTTAGTGCTCCCACTGAATATGCATCCAGAAATAATATTTTTTGGCAGTTTTAATTTGCTTAAGGTGAAAAGTGTTTTGAGTTCTTCCAAATCAAAACAGTTGGCGTTTCGACACCTCTATTTTATTCGAAGTCCTTCCATTGTTTTCAGTCACTTTTAAACTTTTGTTTGACTATCGACGCGAACAAACGCTTTTACAAAGGAATGAAATTAAATGTAAGTGGACTAAATCGCAAATGAGATGTTACTGAGCGAACAAACTTTCAAGCTTGATTATTTCGCTCTCCGTTTCTTAAAAAATCGAGACTTTTTGCTGTTTAGGAGTTTCTTCCTGGACTAATAGCGTCGACAATCCCATAATTTTGCCAAGCAAAATCGAGATTTGGTAATAATCAAACGTGTTCAAATGCTTTGTAAGTTTCTCGGTCCTCCAATCTCAAATCCAATTTTCTGAGTTTTGTTCTATAAATCGTTCACAAAACGAAGTGGTTAGTAGTTAACGGTAAATAGCAAATCAATGAATTGCGTTACGGGAAAATGTTTGGTCTAAAGAATTAAGTAATTTCAATCTTGTGAACGCTCCAAGTACAGCCAATCACTTGATACACCCCTAGTATTTGCATCTTTCCACAGGAACTAAACTGTCCCTCATAATATGGGTAAAACAATACAATTGAAATTATCTCATGCGTCTTTCCCATTCCCACGATTGATTAAATTTTTGTGGATATTTTGTTTCCCGTTATGATCATGTTGTAAAATCAAGTATATAAAAATGGCTTAACAGGATAAAAACACGAGAGAAGAAAAAAAATGATGTTATAAAATATTCATACTTTCACTGTCAGAGAGTTTAAAGATTTTACATTAGACTCGAAGTCAGTAAATTTCTGTTGCCTCACAACAAATTTGTCTCCTGAACTATCCTCGAATCACTGGAGCCTTTTTATCTCCAAAGTAACAAAATAAATGAAAACATTAATCAAATTGAAAAAGATGATGAACCTGGCAGTAGAAAATGTCACAAGAACCACCGTGAGTAAAATAACGTTCCACTGGTAACGAAACGAATGTTGATTCAGCCAGTCGCTGTTTCAGCCGAGAAAATTCAATGCCTTTTTTTTTCTTTTAAAAAACAGGTCTCACAAATGTCTGTAAATATAACGAATAATTCAGACTGTCACCACTCCTAGGAACTTTCTTTCACTAAGTTAAAATGATTACAAAAAATATGATTACTGTGTGAATGATTTTCTTTGCATGGGAACTCTACGTTTGAAACTTAGTCCTAGAATCTCTATTTGAGACAGTCAATCGATATTATAGATAAACTCTTGGCCCTGGCCAAAGATCTCAGTCAGTTACTGATCATATCAATCTATTTTTCTGATCACTTTTAATTTTCAGTTTCACTCAAACTACTCAGTTTCCCTGTGCAAAGCATTTTAATTTTTCTTCGATGTTTCTCGGTCCATCACAACTACATAGATACCATGGGAACTACGTAAAGTATCTTAATTTCCTTTATACCCTTCAAGTCTTTCAATCCATTTCCTTACCTTGAATTTGTGTCTACGGTAATATACTCTCATAACGTTCCTCCTCTTTCAGCGAAAGAAAAAAGACAATAGTAACAGAAACAAACGAATGAAAGCTACCTTATGTTCCATTGATCATGAAAATATTGACGATGAAAAAGCAATCAGGTATCAGTCACCGATGAGAGTTAAAAATAAGATAAAAAGATGCCTCGTTATATAAAGTAGTGACATCTACATAAAAAAAAACACACGCTAATGTTCCGTAAAATTTATTTTCCGCCAGATGTTTTTCTTTTTTTTTTCTCGTAACGAGGTTTATTGATAAAGTGTTCCTCATTTCAGTGGAGTGGTACCACGCAGAAATATGACGTCATAAATTGAGGGGGCGATTGCCATTTTGGTCAAATACACCTGCAATATTTTACTAGAGGCAACTTACCTTTTGTTGAAAGTTAGAGAGTTAAAAGTTTTTAGAAAGGTTTCATTAAGCTAGAGAAAACAATTAAGAGTGCTCTGATACGGTGTCAAACAGATGGTCTTCCGTTTCGTTCTACAGTGAGCTATTGTGTTATCGCAGTAGCTACAGGGCATTTAAAGATTTGAAGATTGGATTGACAAACATACCACGTACTGCTACAATCTTGTGTCGCTGAATAGTTCTAGCCTGTTCCAGGCGTTCTTCTAGTAAAATGCAGCGAATTAATAAACGATGTCAAATAGTAAATGGCGCGATAGAGGCGCAACGAGGGATCTGGAACAGGCGAGGATGGCGTTTGTGAAATAATGCGACAGATAAAATTACGTCTGAGGTCGAACCCATAATTCTGTTTTGCTTATTAGAGGCTCGTGCTTAAAAGCAACCAACTTATGCTTCCTAAATAAGAAACTTAATTTCTTATTTACTCCTTTGAGAGCGGGCATTGTTGGCATGTTTAAAAGTATGATATTTTTGTTACAATTTCCATTTAAATCATTTTAATCTGAACTGCACTGAAAAGATAGAAATGTGTCTTAATAATAAGATTGATTTCTAGACAAAAGCACGGGTATGATGTAAAAGATTCGCAAACTACATGTCCTATTTACCGTATCATTCAACACTCTGTGATAGTTAGAAGAAGTACTCCTTTTCTAAAAAAAAAAGAGAGTTTTGTTTTCACCTGACAGTATCCTTGTTTGCTGATACCGGCCCTATTAAATTTCATTTTTGCTCAAAGCATACCTACATGAGTCTCATTCAGACCGTTTGCGTGGTTTTGTTTGCGTGGTGTCAATTAATGTTTCCTTCTCCAAGGAGTCTGAACTCTGCGTGTAGCGGCACAAAACTAGTTTACAGATGGCAAACATTTCGCGTTTCCTCAAAGCGTCGAACTTCGTTATTATCTTTAACACAGATTTGACAAGACGAGGGAAAAGGCAGAGAATTCCGATATTGGTTATTTGAGAAATTTAAGCTCTTTTGACGTCATGGGACATCTGTCAGATATCGAGTGGAACGCAGGAACATTCTTAGAATCACTGGCTCACAAATCTGACGTTTTTATTTAAGCTCAAATGAATCACATGGAACGCTCGAACATTTGACTGGAAAGGGAACATCTTTCTTTCCATTTTCCCGAGCAGAGCCGTAGTATCTTTCATTTAAATCACTTATACATTCTGTACACATCAGTTTAAATCGATTAACTACATCCTGTTTCGATTTCTACATTTTTGCTTATAAGACAGCAAAGGTGCTTTGATTCCGTGGCCATTTTTAAGATGGGAAGCTTTGAAAGAAATCATTGATCAATAACTAATGGTTTTCAGTCTAGGGGAAACTAAAAAGAGCAAGATACGTGGGAGAGATACCATTTCTGAATTGATAAGTCAGAAGCTCGCTCATTAATTGATTTCAAAACCGCAAAGCAGATTATCTTGAATCGTAATTTGTTGTCTGAGGCTACAGCATGTTGTATCCTGGTGTCCTCGAGAAACAAAGAGGACCTACATGTATTGCTTAATCTACGAGGCGGCTCGATTCACTTTTGGCGGGCTTGGCGGGAGTTGGAATTCAAAAGAAGTAATAATTTTCTCTTTCCGAACTCCCCAGACCGGAGTTGTTATTTGGTTGCTGGCAAGCGGAGGTTTTGCTATAGATTAGAGGCGCAAAATATGAACGACGGGGCGTCCGCTAGATGCACAACATGTTGGAGAGAAACCACCTCCAGTCTGAGGAAAGATGATTGGAAACCCACTTAAATGAGACGTGCATGATTACCTTTGTTGTCCTTGCCAAGTTTGTTTTCACAGCGACCATTTTGAATTACCAACGCGGTCTATTGGATCATAGTTAGTAGAGGAGACCTCTACTAACTATGATTGGATCTAAGTCCTCCGGTAGGGATAGACTGGAACCAAGTTATCTCAGGAAAATGTTCGGGAAAACTGTTCGGAAAACTTGGATTGGTCCGTGCTGATTAAGGGAAGGGGAAAAAAATTAATCTGTCTGTCATTGTATCTATATGTAACACAGCTGTATCACAATTTATTGATAGTCGCGGTCAGTATTTCAGTTATTCCGGTCAATTTCATTTAAGTCTAGCAAAAACAGAAAATAATCAACAGGCAGAGGTCACATTGATCTCAAGCAGGAGCCCAAGTACTGGGCTCCTGTCTCAAGCGAATGCGTGTGTGGAGATTAAGTATGATGGAAGCGGAAGAGGGGCGGTGATGCTTTGGCATGCGGCTACAACGCATTAACCACGTGCGCGGATGGTTCCAATAAATATTAAAAAATCACATCAGCATGTTTGAAGATTAGGCCATGTAAATTTTTATTCATGACTCAAGAGCTTCCAAGAGTGTAAATAGTATGGGAAAAATCTTGAACTTTGTAAATCAGGACTATTTGTCGTCCCACGCAACTCTCTTTGGCGAGGTTACCTTCTATTTTAGGAGAATCTGTATGATGCTAAAATTGCATCAGAACATTAAAAATTCTACTTTTTCATTTAGTAGTGTCTCTTGTTGTCACCTGAAATGACGTCCAGTATGCATGTTTTGACGTCAAAATATTTTTAAAAAGCATTTTTGACTGAGAAGAGCCTCATCCTACGTGATCCCCCAGTTCGCCTACGTGATACCAAGAGTAGAATTGTTGTGGTTGCCTTCAACCTCAGAGATACATTAAATGGAGCTTTTATAAGCTTTCCACTTGACTCGACATTTCCTTCAAGCCGACAGATCGACCGATTTCTCCGCTCTGCAGGACACTTTCATGCAATATGTGCCGATAGCGGAACAAAAGTAGAGATCTTTTAACTGTTGTTTCCTATTTATTACAATTGGAGAACGTTTTGTTTACCAGAAACTCTACCAACAACACCAATATTTTCATCCCCTCTAAAATGCTTGTAGTTACCGTTGTGTCTTGCTGTGACAAGCAAATAAAAGAGTTAGTACAATGAGCTAATTCACAAGATCGTCTATTTTTATCCTTATTGTTTTGTTATGGTAAATACGCCACGTTTCCACGATTCCGCGGGGTTAGGTAAAATTGGTTTCATTCTTTCTTTAATTGTTCATGGTCTTATCTTAAGTTACCAGAAAACATTTCTAGTTTTCAATGGCCCTCGACAGTCACGATTGACGTAAATTTGTAAATAAGGAAAACATTTGAATAGTGGTTTTTCAGTTATGGATTTTAATTCAGGATATTTGCATAATGACTCTGACTTGCTTTATGTCCATTCACAAATCGCCATTTGAGTAGAACCGATCGCTTGCAAAGTGCAATCGACCAGAAAACCTTTGGATCCGTGGCAAATATCACGTCGCGATAGACTGAACAAGGAAAGCATTTGTTCCTCGTTTTTCGTGCACCTGTGAAATTCTTTGACCTATTTCGTCGTTCGGTTAATTACCTTTGCATTTGTTGGTTTGAAAAAGCTTACGGCTATATTGGATGCTATACAATTGCCTTTGTTAAACCTGTTAACAGGACGACCTAATGAACTAAAGCATGTAGTGTTTTCGAATACATAAACTACGGCGTCAGTTGTAACGTCAAACGTGGGCGACATCAGTAAAATAACGAACAATTACACCTACCTACAAAGGAAGGCTTTCCTTATGCAAGCTACAGATTCATACGCAGATCAGAGTGAAGAAGGAGTAGAAGAGATGCCAGCGTCTTTTATCCTGAGTAACTCACCTCAGTTTTGCCGCGTCTTGAAACAAATGAGTGATGCTGAAGACAGGAAGGCTTGCAGTGGAATGGCGAAAAATGCGACCAACATGTGGAAGTCCATGCCGGCAATTAAGGTCACTTGCTTTGATGATGAACCCTACAATGAACAAATGTTAAAAACGCTGGAAAATACGTCTGTAACAGTACAAATGGACGACACAGGCACAACACCGGAACAAGGAAATTTAACCACACAGGAAAAAAACGAAAAAGATAGCTCTTCAGAGGCAAAAGACATCAACGAGGATAGCAAGTCTATAGTCACTTCTTATGGGACAGAGAATTCTCCTGTAGATGGCAATAATAAAGGAGGTAACTGTGTGAAAATCAAGAACGTGCAGTTACCGAGAAGGTGCTCGAAAGGGTTTGTAATTTCCTCGCAAAATTCAGGCAGAATAATTACCTCAACAAAGAAGGAAAACAACGACTCCGTAACAAAGACAGAAAGCTCACGTCAAAATTATTCAACTGGTGTCCGAGATAAGTTGCCAGGCTCCGAAGAGAAAAGCACGATAAAATCTTCCCTGAATTCGAATACATCTTGCCATGCCGAGAACGCGCCGACAAGTCCTTCTTCTCATAGACGAAGATTTTCAACTGGTGCTTTTTCAGGATACAATAGAAACTCTGATGAACTTAACAATACTGAACTGAAGAATCGAAAACTGAGTTCAGGCGTTTTATCGAACGGTTCTCGCTCACAAAAATTGGGTGACAGAAAACAGGTCACAGTGAATGTTAAAAAGAAGTCTGAGAGAATTGATTTGTCATTCAAGATCGATTCTACTGAAGAGGGGCAGGCAAATCAGTTTAGAAGACGTTCGTCAACATACGGCGGTCAAACTAAAAACCAGGGAAGTCGTAGCACTATTGAAAAGAGTTCACCTAACGATGAAAAATCAGTCAGAAGAAAATTTTCGGAACAACAGTTAACATCTGACGGACTTCCTCGAACATCTGACGAAGGCCTCCGGGGTTTTAAAGAGCACTTGTTTGGTAATGTTGGTGCTTTTCCTAGAGGGGTTTTGCAAACGCAAGAGTTGAACAAGTCTCTTGGACTATCGGAGAAAAGGTTACCTTTGGTGAATAATAGGAAGGCTGCTCCAGGTGACGAAAATCACAGTGTACAAGTGAGCACCTCTCGAGACTCTTCATCCTTAAATTTGCAACGTAAATCTGTGAATGACAGTGAAGAAAACCGTCAGTTGCCATACATGTCAACAGCGGATGTAACGCAACGTTTGAATCTTTCCCCTCCACGCGAGCGCAGAGTTGGTATTTCCAAACCACTGCCACATAAAAGATTATCCCAATTGGATTTAAGTACAAACCAAAGTCTGAGCAAGTCTGAAACCGATATGCGCAGCATCTCTTCAGACGATGATGATCTTGAAAAATCGAAACGAATCAGCATTCCGACCTCCCCACGGGAGCGTCGTCGACTTAGTGATACTAATTCAAGGGACGCCAGAAAATCTCTCAGTGTAGGTGGTAAATTATCATTGAGCAAGTCAGAGACTGATCTTTGTAAGGTGGTGTCTGACGAAGAGCGCGTAGACGCGAAAAGAGCTTGTCTTTCATCTCCACTTCGCGTGCGTAGAGCAAGCAGTCCCAAACCGCCCACCACCCTAGACATGACAGGCGCTGCGTCGAGTCCTTTGTCTCCCAGATTGGAACGTAAAATTTATTTAGCGGCAGCCAAAACTGAGGCGCGCCTTCCAGCGAGAGCAAAAAGCCGAAGTGACCTGCAGGCCTCGTCTCAGTTCATTATTGATCAAGCTGAGAAGGAGCTGGATAAACTCGGTGAAAGTTTGCCTCACGTCTCGATGGAAGAAGTCATGAAAAGCTGGCATACGGACCACAAGCACTGGAATGTGGTTTCAAGTTTAGTGAACCCACACAGTACACATAACGCTTCTACCACCGACATGGACTCGGTAAAAAACTGTAGATACATTAGAGAAGGAAGGTCGATGAAGAAAAAACTTTCCAATTGAATGAGGTTTGGAGGAAAAGCGATAAACTAATTGAATTTGTACCATCCTGTTAAAAAATATTCTACATAATCATATTTACAACCTTGCCTGAACTTTCCTTCCAAATTTTATTAATTGCGGATTTATTCATTTCAAAAAGTGTGTAGTTACATTGCAAACACTTTTTATTATTAGTTTTATTGGTAGAGTTAAATCACGAACATTACGTTTGAATCTTATTCGTAAAAAAGTATTTTATCAACGTTTGGCTGTTGCGGTAGTGAGTTTCAATAAAAAGATTTTAGCAAAAAATTGATGATAGCGGCCTTGTGCACTATGTTGTCTTTCAGGTCCTGTTTTCCTTAACCCTTTAATCCCTGAGAGTGATTAGCATCTAATTTCTCCTTACAATATCACCACTGAATCCCTCATTCAGGTCAAGAGATTTAAGGAACTGATCACCAACTTAAGAAACTCTTCGGATTGTTAGACAAATTCTCCTTGTCAGCACCTTAGTAAATATACAGAGAACAGTATGGAGAATATAAATACTGATTTTAGGGTGTAAAGGGTTAATTGCTGGTACGTAGCTATAGCAGCGAAGTGTATTGCCTACCGCTCTACTACGGTTGACTGCGCACGCTCATGCCTAGTTTTAAAGAAAACGATTGAGACAGGAGTGCCAGAACTGTTGGGAGGAAAGTAATCCAATTTAAGGCGTGAGCGTAAGGAAATTGTCCAAAGAGCAGGCGTAATTTTTGCGAGGGAGTGCTCAGTAGTCTTTGGTGAAAGTTGTTCTTCATTTGTACAGCAGCGGAAGGCTGGGGCGAGAAGACATTTACACCAGAGGGGTGAGCGACGGACGGTCAAAATGAAAGAGTGCAGAGAGGAGGTGGGGCTGGAGAAATTACACCTTCTATCTTCACACCTTTCCTCGTCCCTCCCCCGCACCGTTCACTCTAAATCAAATATTTTCGGTGGAAACTCGCCCCAACAAGACGCCCGCGCTGCCAGAAAAAAAAAATGGATAAGATCTGTAAGTGAAGGATTTTGAATTGTCGTCGGATTTTGGGTAAAGGATGTGAATAACAATCGATGTATCTCGTCGGATTTCACGTTGATCAAGTCCCAAAAGTCATTATTTACATTCCTGTGCAGTGTATGTATGTTAAGTGGAAATGAGTTACTCCTAAATAAACATCGCTTAAAATCGTGGTTTCCTTTTGTTTACCTAAGGGCCGGCAGAATACATACAATCCTCGGAGCATTTGTGCTATAAATGAGCCCTTTTTAATGATTAAGCAGCGTTTTAGTCCGCTCATGTTAGGCATGTTAATCTTCAAATGCTATATGCTAACTGATCCAACAGCCGGTTGACCTCTGCAGGTCAGAACCTGTCTCGTCACGTACAGTAAGCATGATCATAATCCCAGGAATAGACAACCGATCCGACCCTGATGACGATTTTGTTGTGATTCGATCTTGTCCACATTAGAAAACAAGAGAGAACAGAGCGGTAGTTTTACACGTGTGGAACAGTTCAGAAAGTCTAACGATTTCGAATCGAAGAAGTTGCAAGAAGCAGCTGAAGAAACTAACATTAATAGCTTATTTGAGGGATGAGAGAGGGAGAACATATCAATTTGGAGGGTAATGGTTTGAATCAGAAACTAAGATAGAGATAAATAGGTTACGTAGTGTTTCCACGATCATGGATCGGACTTCAGATCTATTTGCATTGGTATTGGTTTGATTTTCATCAGCTTTCTGCTCTCGAGTGGTTTGTTTATAACTTTATAAGTTGAGAAAAAAATATTACGACATTTTTAACTTTTTTTTTTTTTTTTTTTTGCATTTTAAAACCAAATATTGACATAGCATTTCTTAAATGCTGTGTCAATATTTGGGCGACACCTGATGACCTTTTAAAATTTGTTTTTGTTGCTGACTGGTACTATGTGGGCTTTCAACGATTCGTTCAGTCCTTAAAAGCTTAAAGGAAGTGAAAACCGTCGAAAAAATACTGACACGAATTTTTCTCAATTGAGATCATTTCCGCTGAAAAATTAAAAATAGCATGAACTTCAAAAGAAGTCGCGCTCTCACTGTGAGCAACAGTAAGATCGAATAGGTCGGTGGTAGACTTTTTGGGTGATCTTTTCCGTCTTGTACTTTGAGAGATTGCTATCGACCACGGACTTTGTTTGTTTTCCTTCAAAACTCATTCGTTAAAAAGATGAGTATCAGCGGCGAGAGTGGAATAACAACGCCATCCATTTCTTTAACATCACCGCTGGAAACCAACGTAAAGATGATATTTTTTCCGATGGTAGAAAAGGCAGGCTTCCTGAGATCCGCAAACTTCGCCAAAACAGCAGATGCGACCCGCGTGAAATCAAAAACCCGGCAAATTGATCTGGGTAATTTTTTCACGGATCAGTTCGTGTCAAATAAGGCGAATCCAGATTACAATGATCACAACGAGCACGTCACCACAACAAGAATCAGTCAAGAACGACAAAATAGGGCGCATGCAGCCGAACACGATTCAAAGGTTTCTGGGATCATGTTTGGGAAAAAAACAAATATAAAAAAAGGAAACAAGGCCGTGTCTTCGCGAGGAACGACCCAAAATGGACCGCAGTCCTTTTCAGGTGTGAAAACCGCACGCGACACAAGATCAAGCGGTTTTAAGCAGCAATCTGATAAATCAAATGGGGCAGTTTACGATTTAACTTCACCCAAGTTGGCATTGAGGGAGACGTTGCTAACGCCTTCAGTCAACGGCAAAGAAGGGAGTAAGAAAAAAACTATTAAACCATCAGAGGTGAAACTCGAGCCTTATTTGCTACCTCGTGTCGATCATTCTCCACGAGCACCTTTGCGCATATCAGTAATACCCAGCCGTGAGGGGCACGCAAGACGAATTTCACCGCGCTTTTCATTTGAAAAAGTAAATGAAGAGTCTTCTACTAGGGCTATAAGAACAGGCATGGATCATAGTCCGAGAAAACCTAAATATCTTGGTACAAAGGTTTCAAGAGGAGCCAAGGACAGATCAAAATATCCTGAGAAATTGTCATCCCCGAATGTATCAACCGCGCGCAAGAAAATCGACAAACCAGGAGGACATAGTTTGCAGGATGGGATGGACGATATGGTTCTACCAAAAGTAACAATCAACGAGGTTTTGCAATCTTGGAACATAAGTCCACAGAAAGCAAGATCTGTCAGTCATCTGGTCGGAAAAGATCCAATGGAATTTCTATTAAAGGACCGATCACTTTCGGATCCAAAGAATCCGCCGATTTCTTACGAAGAACTCCGAGGTTGTCGATATTTGCGAACTGATAAGGACGATCAAGCCCTTCATGGCAAGCTATGTTCTTGTAATTCGTGTGAACACGGGGAAGGGCTAAAAAAATCGCCATATTTGAACTCATAGAAGATATCATAGTGCAACGGTTAGATATCTACTCAACTATGACAGGATCATAAACATCAGCACAATTTATTAATGCATTATAAAAGTTCTGACCGTCAATGATATGCGTTGAAGTGGCTCCTATGTTCAATATGCGAGAACAATATCCATATAGCTGAGGCCGTTGCGAGGTCCCTTATAAATATTTACCGAGTACACGTGAGGTATACATTGCATCAAAAACTTGAATTTAATTAACTTACACTTAAACAAAATAACGAGTTCAAATGTCTGAAGTCAGTTTCATTTCCCTAAAGCCTTTAATTTTGCTGAATCATTAAATAGCATAACGGCGATGGTCATATCATGTTATCGTATTGGACTGTCGAATACAGATACTTGCTAAGACAAGTGGCAAAATATGTACGAACTGCGAGTCTGATATAATCGCTAATTGCCAGTTTACCCTTACGTACGATCTGTTATGAAAACATGACCGACAATTTTAGCAATGTTTTCATAAATGTAATAGAAAGTAAATATTTAAGTGAGGAGGAAATTAAAAACATTCCATAAATTGTGATTATTTTTACAGTGAACAGATTTTCCTTATTGTCAGCAGGTCAAAAAGTCTCGCATGACCTGTCATTCCTTAAAATTAATTAGCTAATTGCTGCGGTGATGTATATAAATTTTCCGCCAATAACAAACACGTATTTTAAATCCTAGGGTTACAGTGTAAGCAGTGTTTGAAAATTTATTTTTAATTAGTATAGATTGTAATCTTATAAAACACAGTATGTGAGACACTCAAGGATAGTTTATGACACAAGTCTGCGTGAGTGAAGTAAGTATTCAGTAGGCGTCAGGAGGAACCCATTACTGGGGTCCTGGTGTCAGTAGATCAAGTTTGAAAAATCGTCATAACAGGCTGGTATTATCACATCGAAATCGATTAAAAGCGGATCAACTGTGGTTCATCCTTTTATAATCCCAAGGGGTTTTAAAAACTTCCAGTGCTTCTAACCGGGAGGCTTATAACGCTAGTTAGGAGGGCTGACTAAAAACTTATCAACAGCCGAAATGCTCATAAAATTGACTGGTTCTTTTAGAACAGTCACCCAGCTCTAACGAGAATAACAGCATGAATTTTTCTGGTCGCAAAATCCCTTAAAGTTAAAATAAAGAGGAAATAATGGGGCCATTATTTTCTCTTGTTAAATAGTAGGGAGGAGGGGATCCAATAGAAATCTCTCAGAAGGCTCCACAACCACCGCTGTTCGGAAATGAATCAAAGCGACTCCAGGAGGCTTCGGAAATCGAGCCTACACTCTCAGGATGAGGGGCTGATAAAATAGGGAGGGGAAATTAAGGAGCCAGTCAAATATAATCAAAGAGAACAAGAAGGAAGTGGGAAAGAGGAAGCTTTTTGGGGCGACGATGATGAGTTTGTATTTTTGTAATTAATGTGTGCGAGGCGGCATGGCATGTGAAACATGGTGCGAGACGTGCGAGGCATGTTGCGCAGTCCTGGCCATAGACAGTTTTGTCTATACCATTTCCTGTGATATAGTTGATCCAGACAAGCCAAAAGAAACTGATGTGGCCAAGAGAGGATTGGGACGATTATTTTTCTTTCTAGCTTTCTCATGGCAGCTACGTTGTAATGCGAAGGAGACGGCAGAACAGAATTAAAAATTTCAAGAAAGACAGCATCGACTCATCTATTTCTTTAAGGCAAATCGAAGCGTGAGAGGCTTAAAAAGACAAACTTTTAAAACAATTAACTTTAATTCAATGAAGCCAACTGTACTGAACAATCGTATCACTACGCGACAACACGTCCTTAATATTACCATTAAAAAAAACTTGAGGGATTTCTTTGTAACTAAAAGAACATTGCTATTTTACAAGAGAATATAAACTGTATTTTATCAGGAGCCCATAACTTCAATCATGGGCTCCTGATTTTATCATATTGACTTAATCATCGCGTGGGTGCCAGCGATTTTTATTATGCCCTACAAATTTCTCTGATCACAAATGTACTGATAGCTTTCTAAAATGAACCACTAAATTATGGAAAAAAGGCTCTATTATGAACATTTATGCATCAACAATACCGCACAATGCGGCAAAATCCTGTAAGCCCGAAGAAGAACAAGCGGCAACGATACTCGATTCCCTCAACAAAAATCGTAAAGGGTGGATTCCACAAAAACCAGCCAAGAACGCTTCGAGTGATCGTGGGAGAGAAAATTCATCTCAGAAGGAGAGAGAAAGTCAAAATTTGTTCGTTCGATCCAGGCTCTTGCGTTTCCAAAATATATTGGCGGCCGAAATCGAAAGTCCCGTTACGTGACGTTTGTTATGCAAGCATTTTCTAGCAGCAAAACAATACTAAACTATATAAAATATTTTTCATATATTTAAATCTGAAAAATTTCCGTAAAAGAAATGTGTTTTGCAATGGCTCGCATGACTCGCACGCCTTCAGAGTGGCGGAATCGGATCCTTGTGTTATGTGCAAAGGTTTCTGGGATAGTCGGCGTTGTTAGAAGGAACTCTAAAGTGAAAGGTTGTTTTTACGCCCGAATCAAAACGATTTTGGCGGAAGTTCGACGATTTTCCGCCACGTAAACGTAGGGTTATACTCGACTTCCCATGGCCACTCCTTTGTTTCTCGAAACATCTGGCAGAACCACTTTCATTTATATTGTGACCTTTGTGCTTGATTACGTTAGCCCATTCTCTAATTGGTTTAATACATTTTTTTTCAAAGTTTATCATCTTTGCGCTGATATAAACTTTGACAGGTTTTATTATAAGCGACGCACGTAATCTGAGCGATTTTCCGAAAGACGTCCTTGAAGGTCCTCAAGTAACCTTAAATAAAACATTTTTGTACAATTGGCTGTTACTGACCATTGTGAATGACTGATAAACAGGGTGATCAACACTTTTATTGCAATAACTTTGGCATTATCTTAACATTTCACTTCTTTGCACCGTTCTTAAAATTTGACCAATACGTCTCATACGGGTGATTGTGACGTACCAATTTGATTTACAGGACTAAAATCTCATCAGATACCAATTATTACGTAGAGTATCCAGCAATCTGAGGTGTAATTTTGGCAAGCGATTGCACCGTATTCTTTTGCGAAAAATTATAGTCGCCATCTTTGTTTTTACGGTGGCGAGAGGCTCGGGAGAGAAATATCTTGAAACCGAAGGGGTGAGTGACCGTCAAAATGAAGGAGAGGGGAGGGGTTTGGTTTTTGCCCCTTCCTAACTCTAACTCTAAATAGAAAATGGCTGGTTGGACAAACAATCGCGAGCTTGTACCGTTAATGTGTCCTAATATAGACGCCCACATTGCATTTTCGTTTTTAGGAATAAGAGGGGCTTACCTTTTTTTATTTAACAAACAGGGAATTTATCATCTTTTTACAGGTTCAGTAGATAATGAGAGTGAACCCGACAATGATAATGACTAAGTTATTTGTGCAAATATCCAGAGGAGGAGGAAGAAAAGCAGGACATTTTCTGTTCAATTCTCTTATTCTAAGTATAATATCTATAAAGTTAAGGCGAACATGTTCTCTCCTTGTGCATCATGTGGACGCCCCTAATTTTGAATTTAAACTTCACGCGCCAAAATGTAAAAAAACTACTTAAACCTATGTGCCCATTAAGATCAACGGGGAGGAAGCAGGTCTAAAAGAAAACACTGATTAAAAGAGGAGGGCACCCAATACCTTGTTAAACTCACATATCTTGGGAAAAATTGCTCAAATCAAAGTTCCCTTTATGGACTGGATATCACTGACTTAAAAAGAATCACCACAATTAAAAGCTTAAGCCTCGGAATTTATGTCATCCAAATAACATTATCTGTTACGTGCAATGTGGTAGCCAAAGCAAAATTACATATTCACATTGTTCTACAAAATGAAAGTCAGGATACAGACTCACGCCTGCCACAAAAACGCGGAGTTTCACAACTTTTGAGTACTTTTAAGGTACAAGGAAATGGATCAGTTACGATACAAAGTTGAAAGTTTGAAAGCTGAATGATATACATTACAATAAAACAAACCCTATGTATCCGGGGCGGGTAATTCTTTGGATAACTGTAAAAAGAGCTGACGTATTTCGGGCGGACGAGTTGACCTAAGCCGGTCTGAAAAATACCCTACGGATCCACACTCGCACTTCTCTGTCGGATTTTCCAAGAACATGAATTCTAATCGTTTCGGGAGTGACGTCAAATTACTTTTCCGCAAAAAAAGTGTTTTGAAAATTCTATACCTTGCTATTCGAGGAAACGTTTTAAGTGACCTTCTTGGTGCAGGTAGCTTTGAACAAAAAGGGAAATTTCCCTTTAAAGCACTTAAAACTCACGAGCATTGAACACTCCTCGTTCGTAGCTATATCAAACGATTTACATTTAAAGCCTCTGGGTGTCACGCAATACATATTTTAGCTATTTTTGGCAATTTAATTTCAGCGAACACGGACGACCTAGATGTAAGTATAAGCAAACGGGAACAGATTGTTGTGAAAAATCTAACAGAAATCGTAAATAAATTCATACAAAGAATCGATCTAGCCACTAGAAGGAAAACCACCAGACTATCTTTCACGTTTTAACTCTCCCACAATCTCATATGGGAAGATTTTCAAGTACCATGCCAGCCCATCTATAAAACCAAACAGTGAAAGAAGAACCCGTGGGAAGCACCCTTTTAAGTTTGTAGTCCCTGTAGCTACACAGGTGTTCTTATTAATTTTAATTTCTCTCTCCTCACAAACAATCAATGAATGGAGCTCCCTTCCCGAAGATGTAATAAGTACAACGTCCGTCGGATAGTTTTGAATCTAATTTAGTGAATACTATGAGCAATTTACTGTTCTAATTTTTATTTAGATTTTAAACTATTGCATGATTTTGAAGCTTTCAGATTTTTTACATTACTATTATCATCATTTTATTATGGTCATTACTATTTATTTGTTTTAAAGAGTTGGTGTGATATCTTACGATTTTACAGACGATTGTAGATGTATGGAAACCGAAGCAAAGGCGCGGCTGCTGAACATCCCGTGACTCTTTGCAGTCTTGGCTAAGGCGGAAGCCTCCTCTTTAAAAACTGCAGTCGAAATTATACAACAGGATGCGCTGATTGTTTTCATCCAAAATAACACAGATCTTTCGGGGGTTTCGGACCATAATTTAAGGCATGACTGTTGAGGGGCAGCATCTTCGATTTTCGGTCGATTTGCCGTTCAAAGCTGGCCATGAAGCCATTGTGAATCACATCGAGAGCGAACTAAAACATCTGGAGCACGTCAAAGAATACCTAAATAGGAGAGCTAAAGTGGAACTAGAGTACGCTTTAGCTTTGACTAGAATCAACACCAATGCTTCGAAAGTAATCACCGACAGTGATAAAGAGAGTCCGGTCCGAAAGGTGGGTCTCTTTAATTTAGTTTCGTTTGTGTCTTTGGTTTTGTTAGACATTCGACGTATGCTTCTAAATAATATGATCGCATTTGTTCTTACTCACCGTGATATGAATCGGAAGCTCAATTATTATCAGAGAAACGATGTGAAATCTTGCTAGTTTCGATGTTGCAAGCTATCGATATACTTGGACAATTCTTTCAGAACACGAGCTCGTTTAAAGTTGTCTTCAGACTTTCTATCCGGCATAAAATCTTACATTTCTCTGTTCAAAGTCTCATATCATGTTTTTGCTTTCAACATAAACATTACCTTTCCTTTGTAAATATGTGCTCACCCAATTTGCTTTTGATCCAGGTCAAATGTTGGTAAGTCAACAACTGATTTATTCTATGTAGAAACACATAAAGTAGGTTGAACTCTGTTGTTGATTGGAAGCTAAATGGCTTTTTGATCGTTCCGGAATGTATGGTCGAAATGAAAATACTTCAAAATATTTACACTGAGTATATTTTACATAAAAATAATCATCAATTTATCAGAATGCTATTTCAGGCCGGTCGGTACTTTGAATGCAATATTTATTCCTACAAAAGGGCAGCAATATCTCTTTTAAACACAGTTAATTATAAACAGAGGGAATTATGGCTAGAAAATGAAGAAAATTCAGAAAATGGAATATTTATGAAAGCAAATGTGAAAGGCTGTTTATTAAATTTAACATTGTTCATGGTTAGATGCTTAATCTTTACAGAGATGGATTAGTTTGTCAATTTGAATTTGTTGAATGTTATAAAAATTCAATGAATTAAAAAAATGAATCTTCAACTGTTTCCTTTTTGTGAAAATATATATATATATTTTGTGAAATATATTCTCTTAATATATGTACATGTATATTTTCATTAATGATGTCACTTAAAACCCAGCTGCCATTCATAGCAGGTTGCTTCTTTATACCACCTGTTGCTACACATTTTGGTTTCAAATGTATATGATATCATTTGGATGATGAAACCATTGAGATTAAATGCTTCTCCAGTTTTCTGTTTTAGTTGCGAATGGCTTCACCATAGAACACTTGGAAGGAGCTAAGTTTCATTATGTTCAGTTTGATCACAACATACATATGCCTTTAAAGGAGAGGATATCTTGAAAAATCTATTTTCTCAGTTAAGTAATTGCATTGTGATGGTGATGAATAAAAAGGCATTGAAGATGGAAGGAATGTATCAGGAAGAATGTAGGGAAATTATATTTATAAAGATGGCAATCTGAAATACAATCCACAAGCCTCTCTCGACATTGTTATATTCATCATTATGCAACATTTTCAGACAAAGCAAGGGACACATTTACTCTTGTTTTACACTGTGCCTTGCACAGTAAATGCGTGTAGTTTTTGGTATTAATTGCATCAGCTATAAACTATGAGTAATACATGCAAAATCTTAATAAAAACAAAAATTTAATTTGACATGGAATGCTTATCTGACAATGCCAATATTGTCAACCACTAACTAGTGTGGAAATGGTATAGCTATCTTACCCATCAAACTTGTTGGGAGCTAAGTTGGTATGTGACAAAACCTTCATAAAATGCAGAATGATTGACAGCCTGAAGGGAGTCACTTATATTGTCTTCAAAATGAAAGAACTACATTCAAACCTATATTAAATGGCAATGTTTTAGTGGTCACCCTTTTTTTCAAAGTCCCCAAATTTTTCTCCTTAATAACATTCATTCACTGAAATGAATCCAAGAATAATCTCTCGAGTAAAACGTAATCCATGTTTTTCTCCCAAAGTCAATGTTAGTAGTATTTGTGACCAGGTGGGTGGGTTTAAGAACAGACTTTTTCCCTCTCTCCAGCATTTCTTCCTGCTTCCAAGTCAATTTGCTAGTTATCATTTATACTCTTGGTGAATAGACATTAAAAGTTTATTGCCTGAGGACACAGCACAATGAAGCAAATAAATTATCCTTGCAGCTTAACTGCAATTTATGTATTTGCAAAAAGGGAGGATTCTACATGTACCTGCAAGGATCATTTTTGTTTGAGTTTCAGAATCTTAGGTCAAATTAAATTAATTTCATATTAAAATGTTTATGATATTCCTTTACAGAAAAGATGAACCCTCTAAAATTAGTTCCACTTCTAACATGACATTTTATAGCTCAGTTGTTAGTGGTGCCCAGCTTGTATCTGGAAGGGTCCAAATCATGATGAAGCCTGATTTTTTTCAGGCTTCCTTTCTGTAATTGCTTTAATTGTAGTCCGTGATGGATCAATTCTCTTGTTTTTCATCCACAGGTCAAGTGAAATTTATTTCGTCTATACTTTACACTAACACAATGACTTTTTGTGGTCTTTAATCTGAACCTCTTCCAAGTAGATAGTCTCTGAGTCCAACACACTACCATGTTAGTTCACTGCTTCCCCCTTACCGGAATATTTTGTACATTGTGCATGTATGTAAGATGTGTTTTGTTCTTGCTTATCAACAATATAATATTCAAAGTATAAAATATTTTGCTCAATTTAACTCAACATTTGTTTCCTATCAGGCCTGGTGCACATTTATCTCAGAGAGTGAAAAAAAGGCAAATTTGATAACAGAATTTAACAACGTCTTGAGCTCTACGACTTTAAAAAGATTGGAACAACTCATTGAAGACAAGAAAAATTTGCTGAAAAAGTACAGAAATGAAAGATTTAGAATTGAGAGTGCTTTCAAACAAGAATCAGATGAAATTGATAGACTGAGGAAAACATACCAAGAAAATGCAAAAGAATCTGAATCCTGCAAGAGGAAATATGAGGAAGTTCTTGCAAAAGATAAGTTCAGCAGCAAAGATTGGGAAAGATCTAAGGATAGATATGTGAAAACAACTCTTAAACTACATCAGAACCATAATGACTATGTACTGGCTTTGAAATCGGGAAACTGTCACCAAGGGTTCTTCAATGACATTCTTATACCAACAATGTTAAATTCCCTTCAATATTTGCAAGAGGAATACATCGCTGAATGGTAAGCAAGATAAGTCTGTATTTATTTATTTCCTTTTGGTCACTAACTGTGTGCAAATTTATTTAATGTAAGAGTCTGCCTGATTCAACAGTTGTACTCTAAGGTAACCCAGCCATTTTATTTGTTCAGTCCTTTTAGTTGATCTGAAATAAAAGGGTCAGATTTCATGTTAATTGAAGACTGATCACGACTGAGTTGCCTCAGAATCTGACAGGTTCTGAAGTAACTTTTTTTGAGAGGGTGCCACTGTTTCTTCATGTTAATCATATTTTTAATTGGAAACCATCACCAACACAGTGTACACAAGAACAAAAAAATATGTTCATGATTGTAAGATAAAAAAAGATATTAGATCATGGATGTGATCCCCACAGTACTGTGGTAGCCAACTGCAGCAAGGGATATTGTTTTAAGTATTTTTTATTTTATTTTTATTTTCTCATTGAGATCACAGGGAGTTAAAATAGCATTTCCCAAGGAGGAGGTTTCTGTTTTCCCTCTAGCAAAGTCTTTTACATATTAGAGTTTAAGTCTTTAGCTGCCAGAGCCTATCCTATTTGTAACTTGGATAACCTTTTCTATTCCTGGAGGATGTTAGTTCATCCAGAACCCTCTCTATTAACCCTGGTTCATCAAGTGGAGTCAAAGTGAAATACATGTAAATATCATTGAAAAATACTTCTCAAGTTGCAGTTTATTTTGTTTATAAAACTTTGCTTCTTTCTCTTGTTTGTGTGATTATGTACCTTGAGAGGCTACACGAATCTCTTAAAAAAAGCAATATTTCATGGATTGGTTGTCTAACTTTCACTTCAGACTAGAAAAACTGTTAAACTTTATATCTTGTGACATGAATGTGGTACACAGGTTTCCAAAATTTTCAAGATAATGGCAACTAAATTGGTGGCAGTTTGGAGTGCTCTGTTCATAGCAAGGGCACAGGTGTAAGATGTGTTAGACACTTTACTCAACCCCAATAACAAGAGAGCTTAGAAAACCTGTTCTCCTGTTTTCTAGTGCAAGCTAATGTGCATTGCACGGTACTTTTTTGATCACTGTTACATCTGTTCAGGAAATCCCAAAATTGCCATATTCCAACTCAATTCTGGATTTCCCATATTCAACAATTATATGATTTAACTGTTGTCAATTGCAGGAAAGATCTTCTCCAAGACATGGTTGATCTCACAAACTGCTGCCGTGAAGAGTTTTTGTCATCAAGCAGAGTAATACAAACAAGTGTTAATGAAGTGAGGAAGCAGCAGGAATACTCTACGTTTATAACCAAGTTCAGGTATCCAATTTGTGACTCTCAAAGATTTGTCTAATGCAAGTTCTTGGTTTACAAGCACAATATTATTATATGTGTACTTGCAGGGTTACACCATAGATGAAACAATTACAATTATAAAGTTTTAGCAATGCCACATTGTTTGTTTTGTCCTTGACAATAAAGCTCAGCCCAAGGAGTGAACTGGGTACAATTATATGTTACCAAGCAACTTGTCATGTTATAATTCACACTACTATGGGATGCTTAATTATGCTTGATTAATTTTGACATCTTCTTCAGTAAGATATAGATATAGTAAGACTAAAAGAAGATGAGTCCAAATTTTTAAAGACAATTGCCATTTGCTATTTCCCATAAACAATGTGCTTTTAAAATCCTTAGTAAGGCTCAGTACAACAGAAGGGTGACTTTTCTTATAAAAGATTTTTTGGTCCCATTTTTCCTCAGACAAGACCCTTCACCAGTTGTGCCATTCCTATTTGATCCAAATGTTTTGGAACTAACATCAACAGGGGTTACTTCAGATGAACTGGTTGTCAATGATTTGACTTATGAGAAGCTACAACACAAGTGAGTTAAGAACTGAACATTTCTATCAAACATATTTGAGATTACAAAAACAAAAAAGCTTCTGAAATTAGTTGTGACTGAATTCACAGCTCCCATAAACTATCGACTCAACTTAATGACTGACACAGCATATCTCTCTAATGATTTTCCCCAGAAAGAGAATGGAAAGCTCATCTCATGCTGTATTGCAGCAAATAGAGCAATATGTACATGTACTGTCTCCTGGCTAGTTAGCATTATGCAAAGCAGTTTTTTGATTTGTGTGTTGTCTATCATGTACCTGTAAGTTATTAATGGACAAATATCCTTGTTTGTCTGACAAATCTATTTATGGCCACCTCGACAATTTCCTGTTTTTTTCAGCACCCATTCAAATACTGTATTTGTCTGGTATCTGACCATATGCACTGTACTTATTAGAGGACTAAAGGTGTACTTAAATGACAGATACTTGTAAGACATGTAAGACATGGTAGAATCTCACTATTTCTTAAGAAAACTTACAAAATGCACTGACAGTGCAGTTGTATTTATGAAAAAGATATTTTTAAGTGTATGATAGGATGCATGGGTGCTGGGCTTTACAATATTGCATATTTCCTCAAAAAAGCACTTGATATTTAAAAGCAATACCATAAAGTTTCTGAAAAATCATGTTTTTACCTTTCATTACCTATACTCTTTGAGTCTTTTTGAAAGTTGAAGGTCATTCCTTTTACAAAACAATTTTTGTCACAAATGTTTTACAGCTGTGTCTTGAGTTGTTTTGATATGCTCATCAATTTGACAATGTGTAGACAGGAAGCCATTTTAAGAATTGCATGAGTGAATATTCATAACCTAATTTTTCATCATTAGGAGAGCATTGCTTAGCAAAGATCTTGAAAATGTGGATCAGCAACTGGAATCTAAGGTAACTTAAAACGATGGTCCTCAGTGCACTGCGTGCAATAAACTGCAAAATGTAAGTTAAATTTAAAGGCCTTCTTTCCATAGTAATCTGAACAAAAGAAAGGACTTCCCAAGAATGTTCTTGTTATCACTGGATTATTACTTGACCCTTTTACCTTCCATGAGTGATCAAGACAGAATTTCTCCCCACAACATCAATACAATATCAACCAGATAAGTGATGAGAAAAAAGAAAAGTATCAGTTTGGGGATAATTAGTTGATCCAATGCTAAATTCTCTGAACCAACTTTTTAAAAATCGTACAGTTGACAGTTTGATCTGGGATTATAGGGCTAACTGAAAATCAATCTTTCACTCCCAGCTGACCAAAAAGTATTTTCTTCTTAAAACATTAAGTGCATTTTAAAGCAAAAGGGACAAGTAAAACAAAACATAACAACTAAGGAATGGTGTTTGGTTAAACAATAAATTCTCTGAGCAAAATTTTTTGAAGAAGGATGGAAAGTGCAGAGTGTTGATATTTACATGTATACATTTGGAGTGTAAGGGATGATGAAATAATTTTTACTGTATAATTTCAGAAATCAGAACTGGAAAAGGAATCCAATGAACTCCAGACTAATAAGAGTGGAGGTGGAGAAAACCTAAGGTACAGTGCTGAAATGTTTGTAATTATTTTCTAACCTTCTACTTCAAATGGTGTTTGATATGCTTGCATTTTTTTTTTGTCTACAGCTGTGATCAATGCTTAGGTACTTCCCTGAGCTTTCAGAGAGAATTTTAAAAATACAAACGTGGTAATTAAATGACAGGTTGTTTGTTGGACTCTATAAAAATATAAACTTGGTAATCAAATGACAAGTTGTTTGTTGGACTCTATAAAAATATCACGATCTGCAAGTGTTTAATGGATCATCTGCCTAATTTCCCAAATAATTCATCCTCTAGCTACTGACAAATCATAATATGTGACTATGCTGGTGGAATTTACCCTGTGATTTATGATTTAAAGCAATCTTGGCTTTGGGACATGAAATTAAAGATCCTTACTTGTTGTGTTGTAAATTACTGGACTTAAAAATCGCCAACCATGCCATAGGAAAATATGTATTGATTCCATTCCAGCATCATGCAGAAAGAACAGACAGTGTCTGTTATAAACTGGAACGTGGAAGACATCAAATGCAGTCAGGCTAAACTTCAGGTATATAGTTTTTTCTTAATCATTTACTTCAGATTGTAGGTAAGTAGAGGAAAGATGAGTTATTTTCTAATCAGTTTTTTTTTTTACATTGTTGGAACGTCTAAATTTATTTTTATTCTTTTACAAGTATGGTCTGTGCAGATTTTTTTAAATGACTTTGTCTCTTAAGATTATTCTGTAGAACCTCCCTTTTTGCTCACCTCTATTTAGGGCAACGTCATTCCAATGACTATTAACTTTGGTCTTGACTGTAATTGCATGACTGTGTCTGTTGCCTTTTTGGCGAGACACCTCCTTTCAGGGAAATAGTGATTTCATCGTAACTGCCACTCTAAAAGATCAAATCTTGCTAAGGAGGAAGGTTGATAATTTTTGTTTGGGCAAAATAATGATTAATGATGGATGAAAAAGGAATGCTTGATTTTTTAAACTTTTTCATTTTATGATTTCAGAAAACCTGTACCCTGATTGCAGCTGCACTTGACAAACTTGGTAAATCACAGCCTCCAAAGTTCGCAGATCTATCTCCCCCCGGGTCATCACCAACTGGGGTTAGTTGTTCGCCTTAAAAAAACTTGAAATGATCTTGATCAATACAGCTTGGATGCATTAATGCATGGCTTTTTTCCAAGTAGACCTTTCCCTTTTTGTTTTGTGGTCCTGTTATTAGGCACCATGTCACTGTACTGAAGAGAAAGATTCCAATTAAGAATCGGTCATATTTTTGCATGAGGCATGTGTGCATCCTTTATTTCTGTCAAGGTGAAGCACCATATCACACGATTTCACGAGATCTTTAACAGCTTGCGTTATATTGGTGTAATAATGAACTTCTATGGAAGAAACACGCCACATGTATCTTCAAACCGAAAAGCTCATTACGAGGGAAGTGCATCTTTGTGTCATCAAACCTGGCCTTAGAGGCCATAAGTTTTTGATAGAATGATAATGAACGATAAAGTGGAAGACAATTCTCTGGGAGAAATAACGATTACTACAGAGATCATGATTTTTTTGAAACAGCTATTGGTTGCCGTGTTGTGAAATATACCTTATTATTTCACTTCTGAACATAGGGTCCATGACCAAAGGTTTTGAAAACCCTCCCTTCATACTGGTGAATACATGTACTTTGTTATCAGAATTTCCGTTTGAAGTTCGTGATCTTTTTTTCTTCGGTGTGATTCTCTCCAGGAATTTGGTCAGTCAACGCCTGAGATAAGAAAAAGTGGCAGGAAAATACCGACTCTATTCAAGAAAAGAAAACTGGAAAGGGAAGCGTCATCTGCCAAAACAAGTAACAAGCCAGTACGATACGGAACGGCCCCACCAGGGGTGAATGGCGGGTCATATGAGGACGACTCGGACAACAGTGCTCAAGGAGAGTACATCGAGGTAAAGCCAGATAGAGATTGCTGAAAGTACAAGGCACATCGATAGAGTGTTTTATTAGTAAAGGTGGACAGCTCAAGGAGCTATTGAGATTTCAATGTGATTACACAGGGCGTGAAATTAACTTTTTTTTCTGATAGCCACTTGGTTCCTAACTTCTTCAAAGTGGTAGCCAATTCAAAAAAAGTTGGTCGCCATTTTCAAAGCCAAACAAAAACTTTCTTTACGCTGTCAGCGTCTTAGATAGACCCTCCAAAATTAAGTTAGGGAAAAGATCTTTAACGTGCTACAACGTGGACACTAGGATGGATGATATACAACGTTCAGGCTCATCTAAATTCAAGATGGCGTCTAGTTATCGATCGAGATGCATGTGCTACGTTTTGGAAACAAACTTAACGAGGAAGTTTGCCACGGATTTATCTTTGCAAATCTTTTTAATTCACTATATCTCTTGGTAAGGTTATGATGAAACGTTCTAGTCGCCAATTTGGCGATTAACTTTCAGGATTTGGTCGCCAAAGTGAAAAATTTAGTCACATTGGCGCCTGTATTAGGCGCAATTTCACGCCCTGATTACATGTAAACGCCCCCAAGCGCGGGAAAACGCGGATAATTAAGTCGTGACTGGTAGTTTTGAATTCGATTGGTAAGGTTGATGGCCAGAGCTTTCGTTCTCTGAGCCAATCACAGGAAGGGCGTAAGCATTTAGCTAATGCATTTCTAGAAGAAGCACTTCACTCGGTTGAGAATTACCCTAAGGTGTGTTGTGTTCGCTCTTGTGCATTTAGAAGCCGAAGGAATGGCGCCGTTGTCAGTACCTCTTGTTGTAGGAGCGTAGAATTTTTTTGTTTGGTTTGGTTGTTCATGTGTCCATTTTCTTTTTTGTTTTGCAAATCGATGTAAATTCTTCGTTTGTTCATTCTACCAAAAAAATAACTGCCCGTTACTTTTTTTGCGTGGCTCTCAATTCTTGAAGTGCCCTCTCTTGGGTGGCGACGAGGAAGCCTGATGAAACACTGGCTGGTATTATATAACGATCTGAAATCCAAGTGAGGGGAGGGGGGAGAGGTGGGGGAAATATTTCACGTAATCAATTATAGCTTCATGCTACGGAAACCGGGATATCCTCTGCCTCCATAGGTTACTGGGCTGAACTTTCATTTTTATACTCCTCATTTTCCTTCTTGGAGCTTTGAAGTTTCACGTCACTTTGTTACTTAATTGTCTTTAGCCAGATGATGATATGCCTCTTGAAGAAGAAATGTGGTTTCATGGAACGATTGACCGCAAAGATGTTCCCAACCTACTGAAAAATGAAGGAGATTATCTCGTCAGAGAGAGTTCTACAAAGCCCGGTCAGTTTGTGCTGTCCACGCGGAGTGAAGGTCAAATCAGACATTTTATCATCCAGTTATCAGACGATGTAAGTGGCACCTACCTAATTTAATCTGTCTCCTTTCTTCTCTGAGATGGTGTGTTTCAAGCGCTCTTTCCCTTGTTCTTGTGCGATTCACGTAAATATTTGTTGCCTGAGTCTACATTCGGCTACGAGATGTGCAATCAGCACAGTAGACTTGGGGTTCAGTGATGATTGTGGTTCTGTGGTATGGTGGAGGAATCTTCAAGCATTAGCTACAATTGGATGTAGGCCTAAGCTCTGGCAATTCGCTCCTCACATCAACGTTCTGTTTTTTCGTACAAATATACTGAGTATGCAAATTGGTAAGAAGTTGAAGCACTTTAGATTTGTAGTTCATGATGGAAACAAGGTAAAAGGTACACCTGCTTAAACTGATTATCACCCAAAACTGCATTTTAAAGATTGAGATAATTTTTTATGTGGTCTGCTTCAATGCGCGAAGAATACTTAGTGCTTAGTGTGAAGCACGAGGTTTTATTCTTTTTGGAAATGTTTGCCTATGTGCACACGAAACTTACTCACATTTGCGCTCGGAGCAGAGAAGTTAAATTTGACTGTAGCTCCAACGCGACTTAAACCCGTTGCGTCTCTCGAAATCCGCAACTAAGGTCGACAAGCGAACTCTTCCGAACATAGCACAGTGGAAAAGCGAACCTTTCCGTACGAGGCACGAATCGCCAAGAGTGAACTACTAGCACTGAAAGCCTACAGAGATTACCCTAAGGGGTTTTTTATATTGGGGGAAGGATTTCAAGAGACGCACATCATGATCACATTTAACACTGTGTGTAAATGCACATATTTGAATCCTTGCTCTCTGAAGCCTTTTCGCGCTCTAACCCTTGAACCCTTAAGAGTGACTAACATCTCATTTCTCCTTACAATATCACCCCTTAATCAAACATTAAGGTCATGAGAATAAAGGAGATGATCACCAACTAAAGAAGCTCTTGATTGTTGAACAAATTCTCCTTGTCAGAACCCTAGGAAATGTCTAGAGAGTAGTAAGGAGAATATGCATACTGATGTTAGGGAGTAAAGGGTGAAGGAGGCTACAAGCGTAACATGTCGTTAACTTTTTTTCCCCTAGAATTTGGTCAGATTTGAAGATCAAGGCTTTCCTAGTATAAGACAACTACTAGATTACCATGTGCAAAACAGAGTCCATGTCACAAAGAAATCCAGGGCAGTGTTAGTACATGCGGTGGGCAAACCCGTCAAAGACAAATGGGAAATGAATCGAGATGACATAGTTCTACAGGAAAAGAAACTCGGCTCGGGTCACTTTGGTGATGTGATGAAGGGTTGTTTTAAACCAGCAAATGTACCCGTGGCCGTGAAATCGTGTAGAGAATGTGTTTCGGCGACAGTGAAGCAGAAGTTTCTGGCAGAGGCAGAGATTTTGAAACAGTACGATCATCCAAACATTGTGAGGTTGATCGGAGTGTGTGCCGACAAGGAACCAGTCTTAATCGGTGAGTGTTGTCAGTATTTTCACATAAATGTTGCAGGAGCTGTCGTCGAGCTTGAAAATTTTTTTAGGGTCTTGCGGGTTGTCTAAAATCCCGAATTCACTACCTCGAGTCAAATGAAAAAGACTGCGCGTGCGGATCAAGTTTCAACTCGTTCTCGTGTTGAACTTCCCTGCAGCTCTGCTCTATATAAACTCAAGATTGAAAAAATTTGAAAAAATTACGTTTCCTTCCTTGTCAGTGTTACGTGGCTTGGACCACAGGCGGCCCAAGCTGTAGCTGTGAGATGATCATCTCGCGAAATAAGACTCATGGCGAAATTATAAGAGTTTGTATGGGATTATTTACGACCGCTCTTAGGGATAAAAGAAACTCTAGCCCTAGCCCCCGTTAGCCCTTCGTTAGTCGCTCTGACGAAAGGCTAACGCTCGAAACGTCAGCTTTTAAACTCTTTACGGTGGCCAATTTACGTTTTTAACTCAGTTCATAACACTAAATTACCCTGTTTTACTCTCCCACCGACGCAGCACCACAGTTTCTTTAGAAACTTACCCCCTCTATTACTTTTGTGTATAAATTGCGAAATGCTCAAAAGAGAATTTTGCCTTTACCAACTGAAAGTTGATCTGAAATTATAAAGGTTTCACTTGTCCTTTGTGCAGCACGACAATTTATTTGCAAAATAGTAATCTTAACCTTAATATACTTTCTTCTTAGTTATGGAGTTCATGGCCGGTGGCGACTTCCTTTCTTATTTACGTAAAAGCGGCTCAAAGCTGAACACAAAGAAGCTGCTAAAATTTAGTGTTGATGCTGCAGCTGGAATGGAGTACTTGGAGAGTAAAAATTGTATTCACAGAGATTTGGCTGCGAGAAACTGCTTGATCGGCACAAAGGACTTACTCAAAATATCCGATTTTGGAATGTCACGTGAAGTTGAGGAAGGTAAGATTTTGAAGTGCGTGTGTCTTTTTCCTCATATCCGTCAGTCAGACTCGTCTCTACTAATATCTTGTCAACCAGCTGATGAAATTTCAACCCAAATTCTGGATAAGATTTATTTAAGACGACGTTTTACAAGTGAAAAATTTATCTTCCTCACGTTTGCTCAATAGTGTATGAAGCCTCGAATATGAAAGAGATTCCCGTGAAGTGGACAGCCCCGGAGGCTTTGAACTACTTCCAGTACACAACATTGAGTGATATCTGGAGCTTTGGTATCTTACTGTGGGAGACGTTCTCATACGGAAATGTGCCTTATCCTGGAATGAATAACAGGGTGAGAAAACTAACACTTACCAACTTTTTTTGTTATAAACGCACATTATTTATTTCTCGTAGCTTACAGTTTTCCTCGAGCTTGCTCTCGGCAAACTTTTTGCCTCTCGGAACAGGTAATATCTGCGGATAAATACCCATGCATCCTTTCGCGCCAAATGGAGGCTATATTTTACGTGTTTTCCAACAGGATTAACTTTGTCCAAGATTGTATCCCTAGTGATTCTCCATCCCCATCCCCTCTAAGCTTGGCATCTGGCTTTCATTAGCACTTCTGAACGAGATGAACTCGCGGCCTTTAAGCGAAGTCAGAGCGTTTTGATCAGGTCCACTTTGCCCGTTAGCGTAAGGTGCACGAAGGGTCATATACATGTCACACAGATCGCAGTTATTCCGCGGGCCTCGCGCGAAAGCTAGTATATTCTCTCGTGGGCTAGTCACTTCGCACAGTACAATAAACCGTGTTTTCTCCTTGCACAGGAAGCCCGTGACAAGATCGAGAATGGTTATCGAATGCCTGCCCCACAAGACACGCCATCGGCAGTGTATCAAATTATGAAGGATTGTTGGAATTTTAGTGCCGAAGGTAGGCCACGTTTTACCGAAATTCTAAGACGTCTGAAGCAGATTCAGGATTATATCTGATTGTAATTCTAGTTTTGTATCCCTAACGTTGTGTCATGTTTTAGTCTGTTCAAGCTAACGTACGTTTAAGTTTATAGCCACCGTAATGTAAATAAAAAAATACCAGCTTTCCTTTAATTTTTGCCTTAATTAATTGATATGAACACGCTCAATTATTTTATTTTAGAGCGAATGCGTTTAGCGTTACTTTCAGCTGCGAAATTTTGGAGGCCAGAATCTCCCTCACTTTGAACATTTTCTGCAGTAAAATTTCGTCGAAAGTAATTGATTGGAAGTGTTAGGTAGACAGGTCATCTTTAAGAGAATTGTCGTGTCGCCAAACTCTATTTGCAGGTGTGAGTTTTATTTCCAAAAAACGATACTTATCCAAACATAAACTAATATATTTACTCCAAAGAAAACCAGGCTTATGATAACGTTGGAGAAGATAGAAATAAGCAAACTAACTTTTAATCAACCGACAAACAACAATTTTAGGTTTTACCAGGGTGGTCAAGAATTGGATTTGATCTTTGGACCTTAAAATCAGAACCACTTTGAAAATAGGAAAGTGATTTTCATTTGAGTGTAGACAGGAATTCAGGATTGCTTTGGGATTGAATTACTCCCGAATTACAAATTTAGGCTATTAGAAGAGAGGAAATCACAAACTGAAAGAGCTCTTGACTGTCACACAAATTCTCTTCGTCAGCGCATCAGGAAATATAGAGAACAGCATATAGAGTATACATACTGATATTAGAGTGTGAAGGGTTAAATCAATCATAAGTTTGCTTGTTTCTTCTTTGAGTTACATGTATTACTGGGCCTGTGATTTTTCTTTTCTGGTCGTTGGTTATTTTTTGGTGTTGGTGTTTTGGGACTGTTGAAACACCGTGTTCCAAAGATGGGAGATACTTCTCAGAAATTTTGAAAATTGATTGGTTCAAAGAGTGAACGGGTTAGATGAGACCTTAATTTTAAGATTGTGTTTTATGTAAGTTCCAATGCAATTAGTTATTGATCAAGTCTTGCCATTAAATGGCAAGACATAAGAATTACAAGAAATAATTACTAGAAATAATAGATAAATATTTACTATGAAAAATATGAACTTTATAAGTTGAAGAACGATTTTGAATTTTGGCGTCGGTTAAAGAGCGTTCATGAAATGATAATCAAATGTCAGAATTGTATAGATATTGAATTAGTGAAAAAAAAAAAAAAAAAAAAAAACAGTACCTAGCTTAAGTTGCCGGTGTCGATATACATGTAACAATTGTCAATCGGCCTGGAAAGGATTATATTTTCGTATTTTTAGTTAGTTTGAATAAGCAAAACGCTAAATTAATTACCCCTCAGAACACAGGGAAAATAAAAATTCGAGCCGTTTCATCTTTCACTTTTTGTGTTTGCCAATTTAGATACCTAGATACATGTCCAGACCTCTTAAAAGTCAAATAACCGAAGTGGTTTGTGAACGAGAAGAAAGTGAAATTGATCTCTTTAAGTCTTCGATCCCAATGAATAGTTTACGACTGTTCCCTGTTCCTTCTGCTTCTTTGAGTTTAACTTGCTTTATGTAGATAAGTACATTTAAGTATGATGTAAATAAACGACTAACTTTACAACTCTACAGGTTTACTCGTGATAAGTTTATTTGGTTACACCATATCAACCTCAATGGTAGCGTAGAAGCCGTATTGATTGTGGCTGGACTTTGACCTGCCCAGGTCGTTGTGATATGATCTTGGGTAAAATACTTTATTCGAAGAGTGCATTTCCACGTGGGGCCTCAAACGGGTATCCCGGACTGTTGGGGTCAGCGGATTAGCAATGCTTTATATTCATTTCTCGCCATAGAAACTTTTTTCGAGGATTATTGAACAGCACACACTTCGACTCCGGCAAATAATTGTTACACGTGTTCGACATAAGTAAACTTGAACTTCCCTGAGGCTTGGTTGAAACTCACTTATAACTAAACCATCCCGAAGACAGGGAATGCATGAAAAGCTACATTTTATTTTTGCCTTAGTATTATGAACTTTGAAACATACTACATAGTTACTACATTAATTAATTTCCTTCGATTTGAACTACCATTGTAGCCTCGGTTCTTTTTTTTAGTAAAGGAAGAAAAAACTCTGGCGGTCTAAGGTTTTCGCATGCTCACAGGATAGGACATCAATTTTGTAAGAGAAGTTTCAAATGAATCAGTTTGAGATTAATACAGTTACAGATTACCGAAGAGCTAGAGGGATCTGGCTAGTTGTCAAGGGGAAGACCGCTTTTTGTTATTGACTCCACACGTAAAACGCGTTTGTAATATTCTTCATAGCTTTGTCTAGACCGCTCACTTCAGGAAAGTTTCGTAGCAGTATATCTTTCATGGTGGATGATTCAACCCAGTCCAGACCTTCTCTAGTGTAATACTCTTCCTTGTAATCGATTGTCAAAAACCTGGTGAGGAAAAATAACAGTCTTTTAGGAAAAAAATGATCTTGGGTCTTTAAAGTCAAACTGATCAAGTTACAAACTCTTTGAAGTTGGGAAAGATTCGTCTTCAGTTTTCCGTGATGAAAATCGCTCGGAAGATCAGAAATTCGCCCTTTAAAAACGCTGATATAAAAAAAAGAAAACGCTTTCTAAATTATCTGCCTCTTTCATCATTAATAGATTAGAAATACACCGAAATTGAAAACAAATCAGATCGCTTATCTCCAAAGAGCCATGGATGGATTAAACTTAGCATTTAGAAACTCAGCCTCGCCTGAGAAATTTCGGTGTGGTAAAGAAAGTTGTCTACAATTCTTAATTGATTAATCCGTGGCGAAGAGTTTCCTTTTGGCCTAGTGTCAAGGTAATTACTTTTTACTTTGGGTGAGGACTCTACCATGCACATTCATCCACGGTACGTTCAAGAATTTTTATGTAGAAAGTCATGGAGGTGAACAACTGTAAATTATCGAATCGCAAAGCTAACGTTGGGCCTGTGGGTAACACATACCTGTCGGTTTTAAGACGACGGTTGGCCATACACAGGAAAAGTTGAAACGGGGTGTCCCCAAACCCAAATCCGTCAGGGCGCGCTTCGGCTAAAGAACCAATCAGAAGGTCGACATCTTCAATGTTACCGTTGTAGGCCTGTTTGAGTTCTGCAGCAGTTACGGAGTCATTTGTAAGTGTTTCGAATGTTTTTGGTGTACTAAGTTTCAGCAATCGTCTGAACTGGTTGTACCGTGGGACCCCTCTCTCGCGGTCCCTCAAAATGTCAATGGTTGCTAAGTCAACGAGCTGAAAGAAGGGAAAAGATACACAAAAATACTTCTATACTGATACGAAATAAAAGAAAGTCTGCTCATCAAATAGTGTCTTAATTGAAAAGTCGCATTCCCAAATTTTAGAAGGGGGAACAGCTGATACTCTCGGGTACAATTCCAAGTGAAATACAAGGAAAGGTGGTGGATATGAGGAATAACTCTCCAGAAACTCTTTCACGTTAATGTTTTTCCATCAGAAATAGATTGATGAAGAATTATCATTGGTGAAATACTTTTTAATTACAGCCTCATCACCCGTTGAACTGAAACTGACCTCAGTAAAAAAGTGAACACGTGGAAATGCCTAGTTTTTATGACTAGCAAAGCAGCCCCTAACAAGATAGTTTTCTGAGATTCGGACCGTGATATTCTCATTCTAACTGAAATTCTCTTCAAGCCTAGCCTCAATTCCGCATTAAGAGGAGGAGAAATCCTTTTTGTAGGTTTATTTTGACTATTTCGGTAAAGAAAACACACAAACATACAAACGATGTGTTGTATTACCCGTCCGCCTTTTTGGTGCTTTGGTATCCTCAGGTTCATGAGTGTTGTTGGATAGTTATGCAACACCAGTTGCCCTGACTTCTCCACTCCAAAAGTAAACAGAACATCATCTAATGGGTTATCGTCGAACACCCTCCGGGCGTGGTCGAAAGAATATTTGGGGAGACTGTACCTTTTTCCGTTATAACTACCTAAAAAAAAAGTCAAAATAAAATAATACAGTTCTTCAAGATTTCGAGCAAAATTCTTGTTATTTGAGAAGTTAACGGTTCGAAATTCAAACCATCCTTTGATTAAGTCTACAAAATAGTTAGCAGTTACATTTTGTTCTCAGTTGTTACAGCTCCGGTTGGCGGTGGTAAGTGACGTACGAATCGTATAGTGTCATATAAGCTACGGTTCGTTATTTATGGCCTATGGGCCCCCCCCCCCCAATCCTTCCCCCTCCCCTTCCGGCGATAAATAATAAACGATCCCTGAAGTGACAAAAAAAAATGAATTACTCACCTGTACTCATCTGACGGATGGCAATTGTATCCGGTAAAAGCGAGTGCATTCTGTAAACAGACACGAATTCCTCCGTCAGAGAAAAAGGAACCCCTCTGTAATCCGGTGGATTATTCACGTGCGTCGGAATACTGTTGGCGCCGATACTAATATTCATGCTCTGCAATATCTTTTCAACTCGTGGACTAACTTTACCGTACCACTGAGCTATCAGCGACTCGTTGATGAAGTCCGTGTTCAGTATTGCACCGGTCCATTCCAAAGTGTGGATTCTAACTATTTGAGCCGTGTTGATAAGCCTGATACGAAAAAAGTTAATATCACTCCTGATTGAAAAAAAAAAAGAAAAAAAAACCAAGCAAACAAAATAAGACTAGATAAAACAATTCGCTTTTCAAATAAAAGAAAAAAAAAGAAAATGATAAATAATGGTATCCCTAAATGAAGTTTTTTTCATTAGTGTCGGTTTTAACAGTGGAGTCTCACAATAAGTGAGAATGTGCCCCAACATTTTTCAGAGGGAAAGGGATCGGGGGGGATACATTTCTTTATCACAGGAATGGGAGAGGGGAGGGCACTTGTTCAAGACCTGACCAGTAATTCTGTGTTTGCTCAATCATTTCTACAGCATAAATTCCATTGCATACTTTTTTATGCAGTATTATCGGTATTGTTCCACTTACCTCCTTTCCCCCCTTTCTAAATTATATGACTATCCTCCCATTAAAATAAATTACTCTGGGTTCGACTTGTTTTCGCTGTGATTTCATGGTAATCATAACAGACATTTATTGGTTGTAAGGTTCATATGGCGGTACCTGGCTGTTTGGAAAAGTTGATCATCTGTCCAATCAGGATGATTTTTGAAAAGCATATCGCAGATTCGGTTGTGTTCTCTTGTAAACAAGTTGTGCAGGATACTTAATCCAACCCACCAGTTTTTGGAGAATCCTGCATACATAAAACAGTAAGGTAAGAAATACGCACAAGACAAATTCCTATCATCCCAGGGGCATGTCACGTTGTCCGCAGCATATAAAAACGAAAAGTGTTTATTGAAACCCAAACCTACTGTTAGACAGAACCCTATCAGTCCTTGCTGACATTTATTCTTTTAACTCCCTTCTATAAATACGCTGAAAGTCTGTTAGGAGTTCTGGCGATGGTAAATTGAGTTGTTTTCTTCAACGAAATAATTTTCCCTCACCACACTTCTCTGTGGAAAGCGTGGAAAATTTTTAAGGAAGCTTGACAACTAAATGTTTGGACGTGCTTAATAAGAAAACTGGGTCGATTACATCAAACCGATGCCTAGAGATAAAATTTCTACCTGAGACGAATACAGGAAATCAAGTCTTCGTTTGATTAATCCTGTTTGACCTGGAAAACGTTTTCAGTTGCATGATGGGACTCAAAAAAAACTCAGTAAGTGGTTTAACCCATGCAAAACATTTGATCGTACAGTCTGGTCGTTCAGATGAGAGTAGTCACAAGAAGGACTGTTAGTTATCGGAAGTAGTGACTGATGTTTAGACAACTTTAGCGGAAGTTATCACTAGTGTCCTGTGAGAAGTTGTCGGCCAGTAGAGTGTTAAATGTCTGGCTCGCACAATCAGTTTTGCGTTGCAATGCCTCTTAACTAACAAGGACGAGGCGATCAACAAACAAGGAGCGGTTACAAATGATGAGTTTTTAGTCCCGAAAAGATTAGCTAGCGTAAAAATATTTGAACAAGGCACATTATCAACGAATGTCGTTCGTGATGTATTACCAGGGTCTTACCAGTGACGTCAATGTTGGTTTTAGGATCCACAGGTAGAAGACCATCGTTATCATCAACAATCAGCTTTCCACCAGCAAAGGAACGGACTCGCTTATGCGTTTCTATGTCACTGCCGTACAACTGTGAGCCGTCCCACCAGTGAGTGACGTCATTTTGATAAATAGGTGGGTCAGTATCTTCTCTGCACGAGTCTGGCTTCGTCCGAAGAACTTTCATGACTGTAAGAGCGGGAAATATTTGCAGTGATGTCCACTTACAAGGGTCAGGTAAATCTAATAGACTATTGAGAGTGGTTGGATTTCTAAGTAAATTCTTTTAGTGCCAGTTCTCACAGAACGAGAATGATCTAACACTTTCGAAATGAAAGACATCTTAAAAAATGAAGCAGATAAAATAAATACGTGTCATTTGTGCGGATTTTTAAAATTCCCTACAGGGACACGAAGACATGAAGGACAGGGGCTAAATTTTCGGCTGAATCTTTGAAGAAATTTATTATTTATTATTTTACTTGTTTATTCTTCTTTTTTATGCATTTTACATTTTTATCTTTGTAAATACCTATTTTTTATCTATGCATTTCTTTGATTTTCTTTTTTCAAGATTGTGTAGCGCTATAGAGTAATATATATGCCGCTGTATAAATGTAATAATAAATTATTATTATTATTATTATTATTAATAAGAAATGAATGACCTATGAAGGAACCTCAGGCGTTGTGCTCGCGCCACTATGGAGTTATGGGCATGTCTACTCAGCCACAGCTGATCTTCAAATAGAATTTGCAAAATTTTTTTCGGTGAAAGGAATGGTCACGGGCTTTAGCAAAATTACTTAAAATATTTCCACAAGTTTTGACCTTATTTAGTGCTATTTTACTGTTTATTGTTTCCAAAATTGAGCAAAGTGGCAGCAAAATCAAGCAGTGATACACAATCTGTAATCGTACAAAAGTATTGTGGACTCCCAATTAGACATTACAAATCGACGCTTTCTAGATGAATTGAAATGTGGTAGTCTTCATTAACTGAAAATTGGAAATAAATTCTACAAAATTTAATGCATGTAAAGTTATAAACACATTAATCAATATAGTGATACTAACCTTTCATTCTTGAGTACAGTGAGTCGTTAGATTGCAGAGGAATTTTGATCTTATTTTCAGTAACTGGCGTTCCGTGGTCAAACCAGTCATGAACCATAAACTGAACCCAAGCTGCTGAAAGCAGATTTAACCAAGGGACTTCCAGAAACTTCTTTCGCTGTAATAGCCTACAGTTTAATAGATAAGAAAAAGGAAAATTTGGCTTACAAGACAGAGGATTCCACTTGTCGGAGTTTGTTCCAATTCAAGGAGCATGAATCAAGTATGAGTATTTTAATCACCCCTTGGCGGGATGCCAACCCATCGAAGGGTCATCCCTTGGCAATTTTTTAGATTTCCGTGACAGTTTTCTGGTTCTGATTTAAGTGCCCCTGAATGGAGAGAGGCAATGTGAGGAGAAAGGTATTCGGGGAGTTAGTATCATCCCCAAAGACTCGACACGATGACCTATGCAGGGCTCGAAATCAGATCTTTTCATCTAGAGTCCAGTCCACTGGGCTACCGTTTATTTCAAAATTCAACCCTAAACTCTCTTACATTTCTTGTTCGTTGATTTAAGACATTTAAGATTTAACCATTTTGGTCAGAATTGTAAGCTGAAAAAAGCTTTTTAGGGTTAGAGAATCCCCAAGATGATCTTTTTACCACGGCAGCTTGCGCAAGCGTAGCTGAAGGCTTGCAATTGCACCACGGAGGAAAAAAATAATTTTATTCAACGTCGATAAGGGTGGAAAGAAGAAACAAGGAAAAAGCCTTGATTCCTCATGTGGACCTTTTTGTCTCTAAATATCCTTTTTCCTCTTTTAACCAACCCGCTCCCCCCTGTCATCTCTCCAAACTCCCAGCGTCAGTTTTGTACAATCGCATACACGAAGGGTAGGAAATGAAAGAGTTCTATAAAAATACAATGCGTGTATCTTGAAACCTACGTTCTGGCCAAAATCCGTGGATCGGGGCTCAGGAGACGGGTTGAGTTAGTGTAGGTGTACTCTAGAGGGACGTTCCTACCAAACCGGTAAAACCTGCTTCCAGCGGCTGTGTTGTTTAGATCGTTACATGTTCCATCGATTGTCCGAGCTGCTTTCATTCTCTGTGTACAGAAATCTGCGGAAAGAAAAGGAAAAGCATAAAATTTAGACAAAAAGAAAGTCTTGAATTGGTCCCATGGCAAAGAGAATGAAATTATTTGAAACTTCTTGTTTCACGAGAGTGCACATGGTTTGTGGGTGAGATATCTAATCAGATTATTGGGAAGAGGCCATTTTTTCACAGATTTATAAATTGGCGTTCTTAGAGTTAATAGATATTCTTTAAATATCAAAAAATTATTCTACGAACGCGCGTTGGATATGAGATGATAAGTGGCCAACGAGGCTCGTATTATGCTATAACCATGTCATATTCAACAAGCGCGCAAATCCATTTAAAACGGCCCAAAATATTGATAAATCTTCCCAACTTTATTTTGTAAGAACAAAAGGAATGTTGCAATTTACAAAAACACTTTCGGTTTAACTCGTCTTCATGCGCACGCATGGTATAATGGCTCTTAACTCATGATGGCCAAGCCAAAGAGAACTCTTGAATATTATTTTATAACATACATGTTTTATGAAGAGAGGTATGTTTTGATCCACCGCATCGCTTTTTTTTGTCTCCGCTACACTTCCTGCGACATTTACATTCTTTGGACTTTGCTTGAATTTCGTAGCCCATACCACAATAGCATCTAAGAAAAAAGGTAAAATGCTCAAACATATGCATAATTTGCCTTGAATTTATCCTTCGAGAACAACAAGTACTGTTAGCTTCGGATGAAGGGAGCAAAAACTAGATTGACTTGTGGAAGTTTGTTAAACGATTCAGGGAAAAGAAGTCACCAACGCCAGAGAAATTCCGAAAAAATTAGTCGGTCGAGTCTGGCAAGTGACAGCAGACGTCAAAATGATTATCAAATACATAGTTACATACTTTTTTCCTTTGAGTAAGGCTGCATACGTGAACATGTTAGTTTTGCATTTGTCAATGCATGCCTCGGGAGTTACTACACTTAAACTCTGTTCATCAAATCCATAGTTTGTCAGCATTGATGCTTCAAAACATCCAACGTATCCTTCCCCTGCAATGATAGCATTTTTTTTTAGTGATTAATGATTTTTTGTGCTAAGTTTACGAATGCGAACGGAAGGAAAATGTTTTGGAATTCACTGACGCATAAAAAGAAACAGTGAAGGATGGGGTCTGTATAACAGATCAATTTTCTTGAAGCGCTTTCCAAACCATGCCAAAAAAAAAAAAAACCGCCACACATACACTAACAGTTACAGGACAATTGAAAAGAATGAATTTCTTCTTTGACATGATTTTAAAAAAGAAAAAAATCAGATCAAATGTAATAACTAATCACTGTTACCGTGAAAAAAAATTATAGGACGCTTCAAGTGAAATCTGTCATCATGATATTTATTCGGTTTCTACTCTAGTTGTACAACCGTTATATCGTTTTAGAAGATAAACTTGAGGTTTTTCGGAGAAAAAAAAATTGAATATTTATGGTAAAAGACTCTTCTCCTCTTCTCCACCGAGTAAGAGACAAATTATCTTCAATGAAAAAAGAAACATCGATAACGTCCCCTCCTGTAGTTTCCATCAGATTAAGAGAAAATGAAAGAAAAGCCCGCGCAAAAGAAACTTAAATAAATTCCCTTCAATTATCCTCTCAAATTTGTTTGCATGCAACAGTTATGTGATGGAACATACAAACATTGTGGAATCTCACCCAACACAGGATCATTGCAGCGTCGCTTGACTGCAGGCAAAGGGTTTGGATACGAATCAAAAATATTGTGATCCAGCAACCTTTCTCTGACAAAAAATGTGTAAGCCATGGTCAGTACAAGCGACATCTGCCACCACACGTGACCTGGTTGTTTGAGAAATTCTTGAATCATAAAATATATGCGAAGGAGTCCAGGATCCATGATGGGTATGATCAGCGGTCTTTACCAATAAGGAACTGAAATCAAAATGAGAACAGTTTGAATTATTTATTTGTCTCTCCATCCTATGTGGGTTAACCAAGTAGGTAAAAGTAAAATAAAAATGAGATCCTAAGAATAAATAGCGTCAGGAAACAAAAAACAAGCACGAATCAATAGGAAATTCTTTAGAATACGAAAGTCCATTTTGACAGAAAACTTTGAAATTTCCATAATAAAAGGAATCCGAGTAGATTTCTCGTGAAAATCTTGATCTTGTTCTTTCTTTAAACGCAAACTCCCACTAAACCCAATACTTGTCCTCCCTTCGCCTCCCATATAAGTGCAGTTAAGCCACGGCATGTAACAGCCTTCTTAGACGGAATAAAATTGAATTTGCTAACATGAAATTTGGTGATCATTGGAAATTGTTAAAGAAAAAAGAAACACACACACACAAAGGAAATATTGAAAAGACAGAAAACAGAATACTAGTCTCAAAAAACTAGTTTAAACCGTAGGTGGGAATTTCGCAAAACAGAGTCATTAAATACTACCGGTGGACATTTAAAAATGGACTAATATGATTGGACTCGTATATCATCTTGAATTGGAAATCCGTACATGCTGCGCTTTTCTGTTAGAAACGAGTCTTTCATTAAAATTCACTGATTTTCGAAGCCCCTACATGATTTGTCGGCTTAAGATTTGTAGAGGCTTATCTTTGCCACGTAGAAAAACGAGGGTTTTTAATTAAATTTTCAAATAATTTTTCTCACAATTACGCCAGTAAAATAAAGGACTCTAACTACTTTTTCCTTAGCCTTTGCATAAAATCGAACTGATTATGAATACATCTTTTTATCGAAAAACTATACTGAGTGCAAATACGAATTATAGGTGCTGTGAAGGCTTATGCAAGTCATTTAAAAGTGTCAAGTTTTGAACTGAAACTCACCAGAATCCTCGAAGAAGAGCTGGGGAGGTTAGACGTTAGCGTCACTCACAACAAAATGCAAGTGGGCCACTGCGAAATTAGAAACATGCCATATACAATGTAAAGGAAATGAAAATTCAATTGGATACAATGGGAAGGCAATTTCCGGCCCTTGATATTAATTGGCCTTGTTTTTCAAATACTTCATCGCAATACAGGAAGATCCGGTGATAATTAAACCATACATGGCATAAGAGCATTGTAAACATCTCTGTTTGTTTAATATTTGAATATCGTCCAAATGCAATTGGAAGTTCTCATAGATATTTAGGGGCAGGCGAAGATCAGTCCCCAAGCGATTCCCCACCAAGTTTAATAAAAGTTCAAACAGAACTAATTAGTAGTTGAAAAAAAGACCTGAAAAAAAAAATTTTTTTCAGGTCCTATTTTCAACTACTCGTTTCAGTAGTGTTCTTAGCTGCGAGGATCTCTTAATTTCATCTCTTCACCGCAGTGCAAACATATTAATTTCATGTATCTAAAATCATCATTCAGAACTAAGTTTTTAGTTTTAAAAAATTTCAGGAAGCTTGCTATAAATCGTAAAATTGTTTAATGTGGACAAGAGTAATTAAAAATTTTAGTTTTGAATTGTATTTTGATTTTAGACAGCAAATCGGTTTAAGTTTGACGTCGAAGGTTTTGAGACCAGACCCACGCAATTTAGGTCTTTTGTTTTTCTGTCAGGTAAGAACTCGTTAAACTGTTAACTTATCGGCCTGTCAATCTTCGAACGACTCTGTCCACGTTTTGTTTGTTGAGACTCAAGATCTGATTCTTATTAAGTAAATCTACGACACAAAGAGTTAGGATGCTTTGTTGAAATAGATCAAAAAACCCTTTTGAATTTCAACTTTTAAAAGCATAAATTCAATATTAGCTAGTAACTTATGGCTCTAATGAATTTATATTTTAAAGGAAATGATTGCATCTCAGATGGTAAGAGCCGCATTAAGTCTGATCTACGCATCACTTGTTGATATCTGAGCTGTGTCCAATATGATGCATCGTTACAAATGAAGAGTTTGCGCTCTCCACGAACTTTGCGTTTAAGGCGAGGAACAATGGCAGTCGACAAGATAGATTCAATCAATTTATTTCATGGAAGATATTTTTAGCTGATAATCAAGACTCATAAAACATTTGACAATAAAAACGAATTGATTTCAGTATGTTTTCTTAATTTTATGGTTTGGAATGCCATTTCTACTTAATGGTGATTTTGCTTGGAATTGTTGCATTTAAAGGACAACGTAACTCATTTACCAGTTAGCAAATGATTTGATTAATTGTCATAGATACGTAAAGCTCCCGTAAGATAAAAAAGCTTTTAGAATAGGAAATATTTTCATTGATTTCATTGATTTTGAATACCATAGATAGTTCATTTAAAAAGTTTCAATCTTCTCGTCATTGGACGAGAAAATGTGCAATAAATGTGCAAAGTGTTATTAAAGAGAACCTATTGAGTCAAGGGTATGAATGATTCCGTAAAATGACCGCACTTTTTTTTCCAATGATAAACCTCCCATGTTAGCTCGAGACTGCTTTGGTCCAGAAAAGACTGCCAAAAGTATTGTGCACCACTCATCACACTTTTGCGAGAATTAAGTGGTATTTGTAATATTAGTTGTTATTACTTAGGAAATCTTCGCGAGAAAGTTGACGCCGAGCCTATAAAATTATCCCACGGACTGCTTAAAGTTAATTTAAGATTTAGGGTTAATTTCTAGGATATGAAAAACTGAATATGCTTCCATATATTATTCTTCGTTTCACCAAGGCTTTTTGAAAAAAAAAAAAACTCGCCATTTCATAGATTCTTCAGTAATGGCCAAATGATATTATACGATCAGTTAACATGGACGCATAGATCAAGTTTTCTGATTTTTCTGATTTTTGTAATTTCCAGGTATTGTGATCAAGGTAAATTATGTTTATAGAGGAAAGTATGATAACGATTAAAACTTCAAATACAGGGGTGATAAGCTCGTATTCTCTAAAGATTCAGATTATCAACGATTTCCATTGTTATCTTTGCTCAAATTTTGAAACCATATTCACCGTTCACCTTGATTCACAGCGGAATGAAGATAGTTGATCAGTTCACTCTGATAAAACGGACCTGTAACAGTCTTCTTAGAAGGTTAAGGCTTTGGTTGAACAAAAATTAAAGTTTTACGACCTTAGAGGGAAGCAACTTAAGTACTCTCGAAGAAATTATATCTTAGCAATGGAAAAAAACAATTAAGCATGCCACTATGTAACCTGGGAAGTTTAGATTTTTAATACCCCTTGGTGAACATCAAAACTTTTTCAGTAGAACTCATTCTTAAAAGGGTACGATCAATCTCGTTCCTAACTGTATATAAGTGACGGTAAGCGATTTTTTTAGAAGACGTCAGTAAAAGCTTTATGTTTAGAAAGAGCCGCTCCTGTGATTTCAACAAGGTTTTACTTAGGTTGCCTTAGGAATTAAATGTTCCCAGTTATAATGCAACACTACACCAAAGAAGAAATAAAAAACCTTCTCAGGTTTTTTCAGAATACGATTTCTTTTTTTGACTAAGAATACGAATTGTACAAAAACAAAAAAAAAAAGAATACAAAACGAAATTCACGGCATTTATCGAAAACTTTTCGTCACTGTTTAAGGCTTACTGTTGCATCAAACGCTTCACACTTAGTACAATAAACACCATTATTCAGTTTAAAGACAATAGGCTTGGAAATGACGTTTATCGACCTTTACGTCAAAAGTCATTGTACACAGATTATTTGATCCAAAAGCCTTATCTGTACTTGATTGACAAGATGTAATTGAAAGTAATTTATTCGCACTAAAGCTAAAATTAAAGAAGTTGACTTATCTACGGTGATTCTGTAACGATCACACTCTTTCTAAGGGAAAATTACATTTAAAAAACAACTTGATGGGAAATATTCACTAAACCAAGACTTTCTTTGTACCTTGCTATGAACTTTCTTATTTGAAAACGAGAAAGTTGGTCATTGTATGGATTTTCCGAACTGTCACTTATTGCAATGTACCTTCTGAGACATCTGCTAGAAGCTCAATTTTTTCCGCGTCTATTCATGCGACGAAATGTTCGATGAAAATCATAAATACCCTATACGTTTCTAACTTGGTGGGTCTTTGTTTTCTGTCTTCGTACTTCCGTTAGAGTGCCAGATCTCAATAACTGGAAAAAAAAGCTAATAATTTTGCGTTTTTCACTGTATGTCAGGACACACACGAAGGACAAAAGAAGCCGGAAAATTACAGAATTTTCAAGACAGATTTATTGTAATTGAACATGGTATGTCCGTCTTGCGTTTATGAATAGTTGAATCATTTGAAGTAATGTTGAGAAGTCATCTCTTTCATATTCTACCTATTTTAAAATTTCGTCAACTCCCATATAAAATGAATTAAGAAGGACACACAATATTTCCAAAGTACCCGTTTATATTGAAAAACTGACAAGCTACCTATGCAAACACTTATCATTCTTCGGCTGAATGTGAACAATTATTTGGGGAGGAAATTGTCTTTAAATACGATTTAAACATCAAATTGTTTTTCAAGGTTACCGATACTTACGAATGGCTGGAGCTATTGAGTTATAACACTTTCTATCTTTTAATTCTGTGTTTTACAAGATGTATAAAAAAAAAGGTCCCTCGGTGTCACTGATAACTTGACAACGGTTTCAATCAGACGTTACAACTTAAAATTTAGACTTAGAGCTCTGTCCTTCATTTTTGGCTTAATGTTAAGCAAAGGCCTGAAAACCTTCGATTATAATATTTTCCAGTATATTCTAGGGAAAAGTTTAAGAGAAATACCACAAGTCAGAGAAAGAACTCTTCTTTGGGGAAGTATATGCCAAAATAAACAGAAGCTGAGCTTGTTTCAGCTTTAAAAATGCATAGTTTACAAAAATCACCTAAAAATGAGAGCACACTTTTAAAGACTTACATTCTGTTCGTACAGAGGTGAAAA